ATGAAAATGTCAATAATACTAATATGCCATAATGGATGTACTTCTTGGTGATGCACACAGCACACAAGATGTATAAATGTATTACCAAACGTAGAACTTGCAAAAGCCGACCAAAAAGTGATTTTCCAGCACGAGGAGCATATTTTAAAGTTCTGTTTGAAGTAGAAACATATATTTTTCTGTACAAAATTAGATGTGAAATATTATGTAAAGTTTTAGTAAAAAAGTTGCCTAAACAATGCGCCTTAATAAATGACTAGTGTAGGATAGGCAAATTATTAAAAAAAAAAAAAAAACATGAATTAAATTACTAATCACATATAACTACAAATTGCACAAGTTTAAAGTGATAATTGATTAGGTTCGACCAGTTACAATGATAATTTAAAGTAACGCACAACAATTCACTGAATTGAATAATTACCAAGTTGTTTTGGATATTCATTTTTTCTCGAATCGGCAATTAGCTATGCAGATCGAGTAGGTTGACTATATGCCTATAAAAAGCGTTCTATTAAATAAACGGTATTTTTAATAGAAGTGTCTTGTGTTATAAAATCGAGCAAAATATATAGTCAACCTGACCAATATTTGCACAGAAAGCTATTGTCGAAGACAACAATGTCAAGTTAAAAGGTATTTGTGGTTCGTTAGTGGAAAAAAAAATTCGTTAAATTTGCACGATTAATCGACTTGCCGAGTTAATTTTCCAACGTTAATAATTTTTTCTCGTGAAATAATAACAACACGTCGAGATAATCCGAGTCTTATGCATCCATAAGCTTAACACGATAAAATAAAATTTAGAAAATATTAAAAATAAAAAAATATATATATATATATCAAGGTAGATAAAAGTCGGTCTTAAAAATATTTACGACAAGCAAAAAAAAAGTGGTTTTGGTCCAATTTAGTGTATTAATACTGCAAAACGCATTGTTAAGTTGTATAATAGGAAAATACATTTTATTACAGTGTAAAAAACTTTGTTGTAAACGCAGTCCATAATGAATTTTGACCGTTCGCTGCTGTGCTTCACTTTTATGATGGGCCTTACTGGTGTATACTTGCTGCGCCCCTTTCGTTTGAAAATAATATACTGCCAAAAGATAATAATGTTTGTATATAACTCAAAAATGATAAGAGACAAATGTTTGGCGACAAGAGATAAGAAATAGCTGATAAGTGATAAAAAATAAATACTAAGAGATAATTGATAAGAGATAAATACTAAGAGATAATTGATAAGAGATAAATGATAAGAGATAAATGATATGTGCTAAATGATAAGGGATTAGAGGTAAATAATTAGAAACTTAAATTGAAATTTAATAGATAAATTATTAGAGACTAGAGGTAAGAAATAAATGATAAGATAGTGATACGAGAAAATAAATATTTTAAGTTGGGGTCGAAAGGGACTGAAAATGGTGTAACCCTTCTTGAAAGGTGAGCTTTTGGCAATGAATAACAGGGATTCATTATTTTTCTTTTTTTAAGTCATTATTTTTTTACTTAACTGACGAAACCTTTAATTTTTTACTTATCAAAAAAATGAAAACGGGGGTCTCCAAGATGTCCAATCACCTTTACTTATCTTCCATGCTGGAACACCTTGTATAAAATAAGATGTGCACCGGAAACGCAACAATATTACATCCTAGTTCTACTTATTGGCATGTTGCACATGTACTATTATTATTATTATAAATAATAGTGTCGTTAATCATTATCGGATCACACAGTGTACGGGTACCCTGTATTATTATTATTACTTGTGAAATAATATATTCTATGTGCTACATTTAACGCGCTCCTTGCACAAATCACGACCAAAGTACGCACCTAAAAAAAAAATACAATACCCAATAATTATGTTCAAATGATGGAATTTGTTGCATTTGCGATTAAAATCGTAGAATATAAATAAATTATATTTAATTATTACTTTCGGTGGCAGACAAATATTATCATGCAAGACATCCTCTAAAAAAACTAATATCGATGAAGTCGAATCGGTTTTGGCTATTTGTCCCTATCAAAAATAATCGCCAAATAATCAATGATCTACATATATATATATATATATATATAATTATTATGAACCAGTTTCGAACAACTTGTTTGGTTGTGGTCGAAAATCAAGAGACAAACGCGCAGGTGATTCAAATGTTTTTAATTCTGAGATGTTCCAAAAGAAGTATAATTTATATCTTTGTACACAAGAAAGATTTATATTCATTAAGACTTTGTCATTAATTATTTTTAGCATTTCGACTAAGATCAAAAAGTATTTTTGCACAATATATAATGTTCGTTTGTTTACTTTTGTGGTTATTTTACTATACTATTATACGGTTTCCAAATCGACCAGTCGACGTTTCCGGTAGATTAGTCTCAATTCAAAACGTTAACGAAAGACGACGGTAGAGCTTTAAGCAAACATAAAAAAAGGTAAGAAAAAGGAAGTCTCAATCTTTCTCCCGAAGGAATTACATTGGATCATGAACAATAATTTAGAGTGGTCCCTAGTTTTATAGTGTCATGAATGATTAATCTAAACTCAGTTCAAACATGACAGCTTATATTTTTGTCTTTTTATCAGACCACATTCTCATATCAGATGTCTAGAAATTGTATACCACTTCATCCCCACACAGGAGGCGACGGGATATAACTTCCCCTCCTCGACTAGTGACAAAGGCAAATATAATAAGTTATAGTCCCGAAACGTTAAATGTTATGCTCATATTGGCTTATTTATGTACATATCAGATGCAGTTGGGTGAACAGGAGCACAAGTACATACAATAGTTGATTATGATCACAACACATTGCCCCGAAGGCGAGAAATACACAAGAGACGTTAGGTCCTTTGTCGAATGCACGATAAACGTTTAATTAATATGATAATATGGGACCGGCTAGTAATAGGACGCCCCCCCCCCCCATGTAACTGTGATACTCGAATAGCTGCTAAAACAAAATTCTAGTACTTAGTAATACTTTACATAAAGAATGTATGGAATTCCATCACATACATGTTTGGAAGTAGTTATACTACTTTTTTCAATCGGTTAGAGTAAGCTTAAAGTTGAAAATATTTACATTTATTAGGTGTTTCTCCTGCTTTTAGTTTTCTTCATCTTTTTTTTTCAGACCGCTCTAAATTCATCGAAAAATAAAGGAAAAGTTTTCACTCCTTCTAGATAGAGGAAAGGGTTTGCGATATTTTGTTTGATTGTCAACGTTTATCGGTTGTAAATAATATGTCTAAAGGGTAATTCATACGGTTCTGGGTGTTGTCAATGCAAAACTGTTGATGCGATAAAATATAGGGGTCGAATGAAACGGTTAACTGTTATTAATAAAAGTACAAATTTAACTTATATTTGTACATGTTGATGTAAAAAAGTATTTTTTGAACTTGTGCTATTATCGATAGAACTTATTTCAACACTGTTTTTGTCATAACTTTTATTTTCTAACTGGATTTATAAACGTTTTTATTTAACAGTTATTGTAAACCATTCGCATGCATAGGGTTCAATGATAAAAGTATTAAGCTTTTACGTTTTTATTAATAGGAAATGTAATCATCAATAATTGCACTATACTACGCGTTTAAGTATTTAACATAAACAAAATTGAAAATTTCAATTTCAATGAACAAATGATGATAGTATATCAATATAAGTAACATCAATAGAATAGTAATATATAATTATCATGAAAATATTTGCATAGTATAATTTACAGTTTAATTTTTTTTGAGTACAATAATTTCTATGTAGAAGCAACCGAGTACTTGACAACTTAATAATAATTTAATTTTTTTGTACATATAACTTTAAAAGTTAAGTTAAAAAGTAAAAGTTTAACAAAAACTTTTTTTGTGGCATTTATTTAGATGTTAAAAAAGCAAAAACAGTTAAAGTCGAACTCATTTGTAAAAAGTGGACATGGAACATGGATATTGGAACTTAGGACATGTACATAGCAACATGGATATATGTCTTAGTATACAAGTATAGGACCCTGGTACTTTTCGGTACTTTCTAATATCGAATGTTCTATCTCTAATCTTTTACCTCTTACACCTTATCTCTCACATCACCTCCAGCATCCTACTGGACCATCTCTTAACTCTAATCTAATCTAATATATGTATACTTGGTAACGTTCAGCGTGATGCACACACACAAAGATTGACCCCCAGCCCAATAACATCCATGTTAAATAAAAAATAACTATTTTAATCCCTGATAAAATGCCTTTTAGGGAAGACTTTGCTCTATATTTTGATCTACACGGACATATATCCGCCCAACGGCTTAAAAGGTATCGTGGGTAGGTTAGGTAAAATATACCTTCTCGGCTGAAGAGTATTTCGGATACGTTCATATTTTTTAAATATTCATTTTCATATTTAAATCAATATGATACGGCAGGGTTTGTACGATATAGCGCGACCCGGTTAGGTTGCCCCGTTTGGTTACATACAGCAGCGTTATAATTAATTACTATAATGTGTCTGTAAAGGCCGACCGCGTGTCGTATGTCGTCGAGTTCAGCTATTTATTATCAGCTATGAATTTCGGCTGACTGGGAGTTTGTACATTTTCTTATTATTGTCATGTTATGTCTTTACTTTGGCACGCAACCGGAAAAATCGACAGGCGTTACGAAAGAACCTAACGAAAATTATAACACTTTTATATATATATCCTTATATATCTTTACATCCTTATATCCTTCTAGATCCTCATATCCTTATATATATATATGTTCTAATATCATTCTATATAATGATAACCTTATATCCTTCTAGATCTTCATATCATTATATATATATATATCCTAATATCCTTTTATATAATTATATCCTAAAATCAATATTTTGTATTTCAAAAATGATAAAAATCATGTCTGAAAATCTAGCATAAATTTATTTTCAATCAGTTTTTTTCATTAGTTCATTTTTGGATTTTTTTTCACAGAAATGCCTAGACCGACGACGGCAGAGCTGTGTCAGAGCACAGCGTTAAAAGGCGGACGAATGCAGCTGTCGGTCGACCGTTGCTGTTGCTGTTGTTGGAATCTTAACCCTTGTTAGACGCGGCTAAGACAGCCCAAGACAAAAGCCGAGCAATACACAATAACATGGCCAGCACTACTGCAATGGTCGTCGATGGCGGAGAAGAAGGTGGTCAGCTGCTGCTGACGACGGCAATGACGACCACCCAAAGATATGTCAACGTGTCCGACGTGTACGCCGACGACGGGATTAATTCTTTCTATTTTTACGAAGTGAGCCCGAAATGTGTTTACCACATTAATAATTACAACTGAAATAGCCCCAGCTATCCGTAAAGTCGTCCAAACAACAACATTGTTTCGTTTTTAAATAATAAATAGCCGGTTGACCCGAAAGTTTTTATTTTTGATTAACATTGCTCAAGGTAATGGTTTGATTATAAAAAATATGCATGTTTTGAACGCGGCCATTTCTCATTCATGAATTGGCTCGCTCAAAAGTTTTTTAAATTTAAAAACAAAACAATATAATATTATTATTACACAGTGTACTAAAAAATGTGTCAAGCTGTCAACCTACACCCTATTATTATACCATAGGTAGGTATACCGTGTTGCTGACGGTTGTGTATAATGTCCGCGCTGTACACACAAAAGTTATGAGCGATGAATTCTACATACGTCTAGCTCTTTAATTTTGCAAGTTCAAGACAAAAAAAAAATACATTTAATTTTACCTTCAGCTTCTGCTATCAATTCCAGTTACCTAACATGTGCACAGACACATATCCGTTACTTGTGTATAATTGACGTTTATCAATGAAACGTTTTGTCTTTCGAACGACTGTCGACTTTTAAACTTTCCAAACAAAACCATCAATGCAGTTGCTTAAAACACGAGACGAACGACTTGTATTTACACGGTAATTAGTTATCAATCAATGCCTATTGATAAAGATGGTTATTGATAGAGACTCGCTGATAAAAGATAATAATAAATAAGAAAATGTTGATAAGGATAACTGATAAAAATAATAAAATGTTTAAAAGGCTAAGATCTCATTTGGTGAGTATAGAATGAAATAAACTCGACAATGTCAAATCACTAACTGGAACAACACACAAAAGCACAGGCTATATTACGAGAAAAGATAGCTCACTTGGTATGTAAACAAAAACCATGACTGAAAATTAAATCAGTGTGGCCACAGATTTAATCATTAAATTTCATAATAATATCACAAAATAAGAAATTGTCTAATCTGTGATAAAGTAGTCAGTTATCATTTAAACCTTATGATTAATAAGGAGTTTGTATAATAATGTTATAAAATATCCGCACAGTGATTTACTAAACTAATTAAATTGTGCGTAACACAAACAACACTTAACTTAGAAAACTGTAAAACATTTATACTTTTTTGTATAAGTAAATATGGTGGTGTTGATTTCACGTGGAATTATCCTATTATATTATTTATATATTCATTCTATTCTTATATTTATACTTCATATACTTAGCATTGTGGTTTTGGATATGAGTATTTTCGAATAAAATATATTTTTCCTGTTGGTTATAATATGATTTCCCGTTATAATTATGTCACAATAGAACGTTGGAATTAAAATTAAATTATTGAACTTAGTGTTATATTCATTTTTTTGTTTTTTGCAAAACTGTTCAAATGTTTTGCCACCCAAGTAAATATACTGGGTAGAATATGTTTCGTCTATTTTTTTTTATTTTTTTATAAATAATCAGCGGTTCAAGTGGGGAAACCCGAAGTGTCTGTACACGGTACAAAGGATTTTACAGAAATGAAATACTGGCCTTAGGCCTGTAAAATATATATATTTTCGAGGGTGGTTTTATTTGGGGGGATGTTTATGGCTACTGCTGCGGAAAAATGTTTATGGATGATAGATCGTATTCTAGTCGAGAGAAATTTAGGGGAGGTTTCACAGCCCCAAAAACTTATTTCATGGTCCATCGTTTTCATCGCAGTGTATAATATACACTAGGTTGTCCATTGTCCTGTTTATATCTATTTTTTACCAATATACATCAATACATCAATATGTGGTACTGCTCACGTTTTGGTCGCTCATTGAAATATAATATAATTCCTAGCAACGACTTCGGTGTTTACTAATTTTCTATTATTTTTTATTGGACCAAGGGGGACGTGGGGAAGAAGAAAATTGGACAGTGTAGGTAGGTACCTAAATCCTAATAAACCCGCAAACTATCGACAGAGTACATAAGTACAAGTTACACTGTACATAAAAGTACGACGGCAAAACAAACTTTAAAGGCTTTTGTTTTTGGTTTTTTTTTCTTACATTTTTCCCACAAACAACGACCGTAAGTATAATATCCCCAGTGACAACTTCATCGTCCACCAACCCTTTTCTTTCCAAAAATCCCCAATCCCATCCATATTGAAATTTACAAGCAGCTTTATTAATTTAATTAGTTAATAGAGATATAACACTGTTAGTTAAATTTGTTTAGTTACTTATCCTGTTTTTTTATCAGAGCATAATATCTCAGCTTGAAATATAGATTTTCATCGGCTTTCAAATATTTTCTTAAGACTTTGATCTTTCGAGTGGACTAAACGGAATAGACTTATTAATATTAACTAATTTGCTTATAATAACAATAAAATGTTGTCGAGCCATACCCTCCTCAAAAAAACACCAGAATAAAAAAAAAATAATCAATCCTAATTTGAGTTTTTATAAAAAGTAACGTCAAAGTCAATTTCAATTTTTCTTTTCTTTACAAAAGCATAAGGTAATTTTGCTAGAACAAACAAAAAATATAATTTGTATCCATTTTTTAAGAGGTCCTAAACTTCTTTACCAAAATTGTGTGTTCACCTGTTTGAGAAAATCTTTAAAACAAGTCGGATAAAATGTTGAATTGACAGTTGAAGAGACCTTTATAGTATATATAGAAATTAACTACATTTTTTTTTATGATAAACGAGTTGTGTAATTTGTTACTAAATGTACGTTTCAAGTGACACTCAGTTTTTTTTTTTTACTTTATATATAAACCGTACGATAACGATACATTTTAATATTGTGTTATTTTCCGTCTCATTTGAAAACAACAGTTTTTACATTCATATAATAGATAATATTATACATTCATCAAAAAACTTGTGTATATATATATATATATATATAGTGTACGGTTGACGTTAACTCGGACGAGACATTTTTAATTTGATTTGTTTATCGTTATTTTCCAAAAGCGTGTACTTGGGTATTTTATCTGTGTGTACTTATATATTTATATTATAATATACAGTATACGGTTACTCGACTTGAAAGTTGTACGTACACAATATGTCATCCAACTTGTACCGCCGCCGTTATCTAATCTTGAAATAAATTTGTTTTGCCAATGCTTTGGGCCAACAAGACTTTAGACTAAACGCAGGTTTCGAATTATTTTTATCTGTTCGAAAACAACAAAAAAAAGGTACTCTAGGATTGAAAGTTTAAACCTTGCCAAACTTCACACCAGACAAAGCCCCTACCACGTGCTCGTTACCGTTCTAAAGCTATATTATATTAGGTTAAACAAAATACACAAAGTATAAATATGATTTATATAATATTATGATAACGAGCTACTCTCGCGGGCACACATCTTTGATAAAATTTGGGCCACTTTCAGTTTTGAAAATATTTCGACGGATATCACTTCAAAGGTGGAAATCCCAAAAATGTCATCATAGAAGCTTCTCGCTTTTTATTTGCCCAATCAATTATCTATAAGTCCAATTCCACAAAGGAATGAGCCCCAGGAATATGAAGACTTCCACTTGAACTTGTTACACTGTCTTAATTACTTTAATTTCAATTGTTTACTGTTGACCGAACAGTATTGCGGTTTTTTCGGTGCAGGCTTTTTTTAAAGTGACCTATCACTATGTCAAGTGTGGGGCCTCGAAAGGGTCAGCCATAGCTGTTGACCATAGACCTTGCGAAAAGTCCGGGATGTGAGGAAATAGCTATTAATTGATTTTTCTATCTTTGTTATTCGACGATTCTGATTGACATATTTCGTCCACCTAAATACACCCTAAACGAACACAATGTTCAAGACATACAAAAAAGAAATACTAACAATGAATCGATGAACGCAAACGTACCACTTTCGGTAAAACCACCCACACTCTTTTCTTCTTTGTAATAAGAGACTAGTATTTTGACATTTTATGTCTTTGCTTTGGCACACCACCGGAAAATTCGACAGTTTTATCATAACGAAAATGTCTGATAAGATAAGAGAGATAAGATATTAGAGTGTGGATGTGAATGGTTTTTTATTTTTAACAGAGATTTTTTCCTTAGCTTTTTGTGTTCAATCTATAAAAAACCAAACACGGTATAAATCAGTACAGTAAGAAGATAGCTAAACTAAAATAAAAAGATGCTTTATTTCTAAATTTTAGTATAAAAAACTTCAAAACGGGTAACATTATAAGTTTTTGGAGGTCTTTAATGTCGAATTTTGTATCAGTTTACAAATTTTACCCTTTACTCAATGGGGGCAAAGTCAATTTTTACTTATACATAAGAATAAAATTAAGTATGTTTACGGTATACGTATAGGTACTACATTTCTTGTTAGTAAACCCAAAATAGCTTTACAAAATCCACAATTAATTAGTTTATGGAATTTAAAATTACAATAAAAAATTTACAACAGGTTTTTTTTATACATGTTATAGACCTAGTTTGGATTCATCTTCTGTCTAATTTTCCACTGTTATATTTTCAAATTGCGCCAAAAAAATACAAAAAAAGTTTCAATCCTCACTAAACGTTGGGGGTTAATGAAATTTGGGTCTTAGGCATTTAGATTTACAAACAAAAAGTGTTATTTATTGTAAATTTCACCGGTATTTTTGCAATTGTTTTATTAAAAAAACAAAAATAATATCAACTGCGCTTTAAACTCTTCTAGTCCTATATTTGCACCTGGTAAAATTTCAAAAATAGAACTCAAAGTACTAAACTACTAAAAAAAAAAATTTACAACTATAGTAATAAAAAGTAGTTCCATACTTGTTAATTCTTGAACTAATTTTCCATATAAAGTAATTAAATTTTAACAGCAATAATATTAAACGGTTTTTTTTTAATTTAACGTATGTTTTTTTGTGAAATACTTATTTGTAAAATTTTCGAAAGCCACAAATGTATATGACATATTTCATAGTAAAATTCTTAGTAATTATATTATAAAGTAATAAATAAACAATTAAAATTGGCGTCAAGTCTAAAATATAAAACAAAAATCGTTTTCTCATTAAACCGTTTGCCTTTAATATAATTATGAATTTTACAGTAGCTCTAGTAGTTGGCGAATATTCAATGAATTAAAAACGGTAAAAATATTACAATGATTTAGTGTTGCGAATAAACTAAGTTTGATTTTCATTTAAAACGAACACAATTAAATTATAATAATAACAATGAGAACAATTTTATCGCGCGAACTCGTTTTCGACGTTTAAATGTGTTTTTTTTTTTTAATTGTTTTTAACTTTATTTCTATTTTGTGTGGGTTGATGAATTTTTTAATACAGGTATACGACTATAGTTAGTTTGGCCTCTTTGCTGAGTACAATTTACATTTTTGTCGAACACAATGGCAATGTAGAATTTGTATTTGATTAAAAACTAAAAGACAACTTACCTGAATTCGAAACGTCCCCTTTCTGAAACTAGTTATTTATATTTTGTCAAAGTAAAAGCACACATTAGATAAAACCAAAATGGTGCACTTCGTCATAATGTACTAACAACTGGAATTATTTTACTAAACATGTTTTACAGTAATATGTCATCAAATAATTAATTGAATAAATGCTCAATCGATGCTCAATTCCGAAACAATAATTTCTCATAAAGAATTTTTTCTACAAGTGGTTACTCTAAGTTGAGGAGGGTTTTGGTTTGTTTACATTTTTCAGCGATTGATTTCGGTATTTATTGTTTTATTACGGTACATAAAATACCTATTTTTTAAATTTAGGTGCGTTTTTAACTTAAATTTTTTCTTAATTAATACAAATAAACACACTTATATACGTCATACTTTAAAGATTAATACCTATTCTACGTAAATCATAAAATACTATATAAAATAATTGCTGTAGTGTTTTTCATCTTAATAGGTCTACGTGGCAGTGTATCTTTAAAGATAAGGTAAAATTGTCGACAGCATCATTGTAATTTGTAGCCAGACATTAACCATTGTTACAATTATTTATCTGTTGCTGCCGAAACTGATTTAACACGTTTTCCCGGTTAAGATAAGCAACAGTGTCGCCTGAAATGACAGAAAAAGTGTAATTATCCTTTCGTCCATTTCGTCCAGTTCTAAGTGTCTTTTCTGGTTACTCTGCGATAAAAGCTTGTAGCTAATAGCTATTACATGCACTTGTACCGTGTGTAGGATATTGATAAACCCTCAGCATTTGACTTTTGGAGAAAATTGTCCGTTTAATTTATTTTTAGACAGTGCGACCATTAATAATGATAATAACGATAACATAACCTAGCGTCAGCTACTGTAAACGTGTCGTTTACACTAATCGTCCGGTCCCCGGTGTCGACCGCAGACCGAAGTGTATTATTCGGGTTAAACCGTACTTTCCGGTCGATTAACGAAACTAAAAAAAGTAAAAAAATAGAGGGAAAAAAATCAGGATAAAACATCGGCGAGAGTGAATACAATATTTTGTTATGTTCGTTGTAAATTTCGAGAAATTGACAAAACGCAGTTGGCCAAGCGCGCGAGCATTTGCGACAAATTCATAAAAGTTTAACAAAAATCAATACCTTCTTCTGAAGTAGAAGTACACTTAAAGTCGGAAAATACTATACCACACAAAGAGAACATACCGGACTATCGGCTAGCCTATATAAAAGGTCCTCGAGGAATTAATTATCATTCCCGTTTAGGTACCCTCAGGGATATCGTTTAGATTCCCTGGATGAACGTAACATACAATTTTTGCCGGTTCGCAAACGGTCATACATATGGCCGGAACATAGATGAAAAATATATAGAGCTGTAACATCATGTGCATCAGCAACATTCAAGAAGGCGAGCGACGGTGTGACCACTTTAGACAAAAATACATACTTTTTTATAGATTGTTAAACACTGCTCAGTGTATCTAGTCCTTATCAACTATACAGATCAGTAGAAAAATTCGAATACTATATAGAGATATATAATAAAATAAACTAGATTGCTAAGTGTACATGCCGCCATACCATTATCCGGCATTTTTGTGGGAATTAGAACCTTATCACGTGTATATAGCTGTTATCACTGATTATAACAATTATAGGTTAAGCTGATAGCACAGAATCACATATATATATGTATTATATATATATTATTTTATACACACATAAATCCCACAAAATGGCCGACGTCGAATTCCATTCTTGTCATTAGTTAGCAATCTAGTTTATTCACAGATATTTATAATAAACTTTATTGCTAACTATTGACAAGGACGGAAGTTGACGTCTGCCATTTTTGTGGGATTTATGTGTGTATAAAACTATATATATATGTATATCTTTGTTATCAATTTAACTTATAATCGGTGATACCAGTTATAAACGTGTGATAAGGTTCTAATTCCCGCAAAGATGGCTTAATTATCTCTATTGGCGGGCATGTACACTTAGCAAATCTATATAGTTTATAATATGAAGAGCACAGGGGAAAAACGGTAGTAGTCACATTATACAAAATTTTTTTTCAAATAATTTTTTTTCAATTTATGCCAAGAATTTTTTTTATTTTTGTCAATAGATTGTTTAAATAAATACATTTATTATTAGAGTAGTATTTAATGTGATTTTTTTTTGTTCTTATGTAAGAGGTAGAGAAATTCACGAACTGTTTTTGCTACACTCTAAAATTTTCATAATGTGACAACTACCGTTTTTCCCCTGTGCCCTTCATATGTACCTGTGGGTTTATTGTAATATGTATCTGTGATTGCATATGACAATATTATAATGCGGCAATAATAGGAAACCGATAAGCCATAAGTATGTTTCGTGTCACATGGTTGTAGAGCAGTGAACCAAATTGAAAATATGTACTAGAGAAATGTGATTTCGCCAATCTGGTCACACTGCGGCTCGCCTTTTCGGTTACTTCATAATATTTTACTTTTTGCGATCTGACCTAATCCGAAATGACTTTGGTGGATGTTTTTCGTCAGTTGACTCTTTTTAGTTTACCATAAGCCCTATTGTTAATAAACAAACTCGATACCTACTATATTTTAAATGGCAGCTGTCGACGACGATAAAAAAAAAACGTACTTAAGCGCTAAAACGTGATCGGAAGTCGATTAATTCGTGGCGCGTACTCGCCGTCTTATTGCAAAACTCGATGGTATTGATTTTAATTATTTATCGCCCACGTTTTGAGATGTTCATTTATTTTATTAAACGGCCAGTGTGTCTTTTTTTGGCACGGGCCAATATTGACGAGTGCCACGTCCGGCCAAATGTACATAATTAATATTATAAAATAACTTTATTATAATATATTATATTGGCGTTGTTTTTGCCGATATTTCCGTTTAAAAGACTTCGTGCAGAAACAAAACAACGTCATCGACCTAATAGGCAAAAATCACAATATTGCTATTGGTTCTTTTATTGCCCTAGGTTTTTTATTCCGCATGAATAATTAATAACGATTATTGTTATTCATCCATTCATATTGGCATGTTAAAATGTCATAGATCGATTTATACATTACTAATTGAGATTTGTTTGAATTTAAATGAATTATTAATTAAACCCAGTGAGATATTGACTGGTTCATGATAAAAAAATCACCCTGTAGATATAGTTTTGTTTACATCCCGAAACCGTGTTGAACAGTATTTAGTTGGAATTAGATCCCAATTTAACAAAATTCATAATAAATACCTACCTGATTTTCGATGCTTTTAGATTTAGACTTATACATTGTTAAAATAGTTAGTTGTTAAATTCAAGCCCCGGTTACTTTTTTTTGTATTAGAGTAAGATATAGCAGGGGGTCGTAAACAATTATGAAGTACCTTAAAGGAAAAAGGCGAGTTGCAGTGTGACCAGATTGGCTAAATTACATTTCTCTAGTACACATTTGTTTAATACTACAACCATGTGATACAAAACGTATAACTTAACAATTATAATTGATAATAGTATGATAATTATCATACTATTTAATTTATCCATAATTTTGCCATTGATCTATGTATAGAATGTATTTATTTTTATTTAAAGTGGTCACACTATCGCTCGTCTTTTTCATTACTTCGTTACAGGATTACAAGGCATTATAATAATATGATGTCACAGCTGTATTTATTTTTACTCGTTAGTTTGTACTAGTGCCTGTGATTTTAAACGTGTAATTTAAATACACGTATACACGAACCCCGTGTAATTAACATACACGTGTATTTAAAAAAATTTATTTTGTCAACAATTTTAGTTTGAGTTAACGTAATGACACAATTATACTTGTGTTTGAGTTCGTATAATTAAATAGACGTGATATTAAGCGTAAAACTAAAATTAATAACAAAAATAATTTTTTTTGAATACACGTGTATGTTAATTACACGGGTTTCACGTGTAATAGGGACCTCTAGTTTGTACTATGTCTTTCTGTCATAGAGACAAAGGTCGAAGACAACCTAGCAACGGAGTTGGGTAAAAGTCACGTTGACCGTGTACGTGACGCGAAAACTGTAATTAGGCATTCGGATTAAAAAACGCACGAGGGATGGAAATAAAAACCATTAAAAAAAAAAAACCACTCGAGTCGAATATAATGCAATTTTTTTGTGTGTTTTCGTCGTGTTGAACGCGATAACAATATAAATACACATTATATGTGTGATATATCATAAGAATTTGTCTTGTCGCCTAGTTCTATCTTGGGGGGAAGGGAGGCCGTTTGTAGGGGATGCATACACATAAGACAATGCAGGACAAGAGTGTGTATCCTTTCTGGCAAAGGAGAGATAACCATTTGGACGGTCCAACGACCGTGTCCGTGAGGGGGATGAAGCGCTAATTCCCGGGATTTACTGTTATAATATACAGCCGTTATTCATTAGTGTATAATTCTATATTTTATTTCTTTTCACTTATTTCATTTTTATTTGTTTTTACAGACCGTACAGTTCACCGTCTTGTGGATACTGTTCTTGTCCATTGTGTTCGGCAACGGATCCGTTTTGGTGGCGTTGTCGTTCAACAAAGCCCGGAAGAACCGCATGAACTTCTTTATCATGCATCTGGCGCTGGCAGGCAAGTGCAAAACTATGTTTAAATTGTAACGTTAACATCGAAAAGCCGAAAATTTTCCTGAAAAAATTAGAGAATTTAAAAAAAAAAGAAACAGTACTTGTACATAGTTGTGTGTAATCCCATGTAAGGGATTTTTCCAGTCAGCAAAAATATATTTTTATTTAAAAAACTCGATAGAAAATATATTAATATTGTAATGATATTTTTTAATCATTTTCGGCAGGTTTAATCGTTTCAAGTATATTTTTTTCTAAATAATTTCATTGTTTAACTCAAGAATAATTTCCTGCCGAAAAGTAACTAACAAAGTTTCACAATATTCATAAAATATGTTGTAGTAAAAAATATACTTTTGCTGTCTAGCTTGTTAAAAAAGGTAGGATCATATGTTTACTTTAAATTACTACACTTTTTTTTTCTCGTCAAAGATAGTTATAATACTTCTGATGATACTATAATATCTCTTATCACTTTCCTTTAATCTCTTATCTATTATATCTTATCTTTTATCACTTATAACTAAATCTCTTATCTCTTATCACGTGAAAGTGTAACGTGAAAATAACGACATGCTATTTATTGATCCAGCCCAATAACATGTGCCCAATTCATGTTAATATATAATACAAATTTAAGAAAATGAAAACGTATAATAAATGAATACCCAAAAATGTCGGCGTAGACAGAAAAACCATAAACCAAACGTATGTGTTTTTGATAATTTCTTTTTTATTAAATAAATGCACGTTGCCCGACTACACGGTTTTACTGTGAAAATACAAATTAATTACAAATAGTTATTAATGGTCGGACTTTGCTACAGAATATTCATCGAAATTCGATCAAAACAATTTTAGGTAAGTATTCGGTTTGAACAATTTATTTACTTTGCGTCGCTGTTGTAATCTATTTTAATACCCCTTGAAATTATTAAATAATAATGCAGACAGGTATACAGTCAATAGGTACTCGTTGAACGTTTCCCATAATTACACCGTATCAAGTCGGGTTGTAGTGTAATTACTTTTTGAAAGCGGGTGTTTACTTTGAGCGTTTAAGATGAATACATTATAACATCTTTGCACTAATCGCTCAATTCAATTTACAGGTCAAATGAAACACGCCGTAGAGGTAATCGATAAACTGTCATAACCGATGGTTAAAAAATCAATAAATAATATGTCAGTAAATTAAAAAAAAACACATTTATCCGTTTAAATACAAACCACATGATTTTAACGCCAGTTTCTTATTATGAACACTAAAAACATACACACATAAATTATGAAAAGAATTTAAAAAAACACATAATAATTATTTTCTAAGAATTATTATATAACCGTTATAATTAATATTATAATAGTAAAATGTGTTTGATTAATTTAACGATTTGAAAATAATTCAATTACTATTTAACGTTACTTGAGAATTTTTCTTAAAACAAACAGCCGACGACGAGGCTCTAAGTGACTGTAACTTTAATATGAATGTGTTACTATTTCCAAGGCGACATTGGAAAAATTTCCATTTAAATTCAAAACGCAGTTTTTAACTTTAACCTTCATCGGGTTACACGAAAAAATCTAGTTATTTTCTCCACTCCACAGAAAAACATTGAATCATGGATATGTTAACTCTTATCACTTCTCTCTTATAATTTATCTTTTATCACTTTTAACTAATAACTTATCTCTTATCACGTGAAAGTGTAACATGAAATATTGGCGATCTCGGAAAAAATTCCATTTCCTTGCAATATAATAATATAATACAACAAAACAATATCAGTATAATAATTTAAAAACGTGCATAGGTGCACTTCATTATGTTGAAACTACCATGGCCAGGCTAGTCTCGACTTTATTAGGTGTATTATTACTTAAGTCATTTGAAAATCTATACCACGCTAGTTTTACTATAATATTGTCTGAAATATTATGTAAAAACTTTACCTGAAAATTATACACAACAAATTTCGTATCGTTTTCCCATTACTATTATTGTCCGGGTTCAGACACGTTTAAAAATATTATGTGAGGTAAGAAAATATGTGCAACAATAGCCTGAAAGAAATACTTTTTTTAAACAACTTAAAGTAAATTGCTTTACCCCGGGTTTATATTAAAGTAATAAATGCTTGTCACACTCGCTTTAAAAATGAAAGTTGCTTATTTCCGGACAGTGTTGTTTTCTTACCAAACTACTCGACAAAATTAATAAAAAATCCACAGAGTAAGGTTTTTTCGGAGAAAAAATCCTTTATAAGTAGTTCTCATACGATATGGTTTTGTTTTGGTCTTACGTGAAAAATAAACACTTTAAAACAAATTACACGCCAAACAAAAAAACTAAGCCTAAGTAATTGAACGTTCCATTTTGTTAAAATACGCAATAATAATGATTATAACACTTTTTTGACCTCAACAACTAAAATTGTTTTAAAATACTTGTTTTCATTTTTTTCCAACGCCTCATATTTTTACAATTATTATAGTATTATTATTTCATATTGTTTTATGAAATATTTTTTTTAACAATTTTTCGTTGATTTCCGAATCACTTGAGCCAAAAGAACACATTGTAAGTTTAATTTATTAAATGGCTCTGCTGTGTAAAATTTGATAAAAATCACATTTACCTTTCGGACAATGACCACTTCATCATTGTATTATTTGTGGCAGTTTATTGTTTCCTCTGTAGCTCATACAGTTGAAACTAACGAATAATATTGGGTTAGGAATTAATGTAACAAGCCCATTGGTAACAGTGTTTCCCAAATCAAGGTATCAAACTGTCTACACTGAATATTGATATTTTATATAGGCTTATCAAGTATAAAATATTAGGATCATACGTATTACGCGTACGGTATATTGTATCACAATGTATGGCTACACTGATGTTGTGGGGGGGGGGAGTGAGCCCTTTAAGAGACCTGGCCTTCAGGTATTATCATTTATAATATAACTCGTCCAGTTGATCTTGACACTTCGTGACGTCACGCGTCTGAACAGATCAAGGGTTCAAAATAATCGTCAGAAGTCAGTGTTACCAACCAGTATTAGGGAATATGAAACCACGATCCACTGTTTAGTGATACTGACTAACATTTGGTCGTTGTCACGAGTTAAAATCAAATACCAATAATATGTGTTTTAATTTTTATTTATGAAAACCGTGTTACTCAATAGTTAATACAAACTCTACAAGAAATACGTTGGCAACACCTCTTCATTTATACTACTTTGCTGACCCCTACAACTTTTAAACCGTAACGGTCGCCAGGTGTCAGGATAAACTGGATGCGCTATATTTGCTATAATGTGTAATAATCTAATGATAAATTATCGACTGTTGTTATAATGCCATGATGTGTGTGTGTATCTGAACAAATAGATCTGTTGGTCGGACTGGTCAACGTGATGATCGACATGATATGGAGAACGACCGTGACCTGGACAGCCGGACCTATCGCGTGCAAAGTCGTCAAGTATTTACAGGTTTGAATAATAATATGAATGTATATTATAGACACGATAATAATTATTATCCGGGTTTAATACCGATCGGCCAATGACGATTAACATAAATAATACCTACCCGTGTAAATGTTATGCATCTTTCCAGTAAACGTCGTCCGTAGTGTGTTTGTGTAGCACGAGGTAAATATGTACCACACTGTCTCCCGCGTTTCCTATTATCTCCTTGTTCGCACAAAACCGAATACACTTCGGACTTTAAGCTTGTAACAAATAAAATCGAATCATTTTGAATCATTAATGTGTACTTACTACCATGGTCCCACAAATATTAATCTAATCATAAACATATTGTACCCGCTAGTAAAATAAATAACATTACGAATCTTTAAATTTTATCTTTCAATGATCAACATAAAAATATGTCAAACGACGACCATTTTAGTTTTTATGATGCCGTTCGAGCCATTTATACACTTTACTACTCTATTTAATTGCTTATAATATTTTGTTGTGTACTACTTTTAGGTGGTCGTCACGTATTCGTCAACATATGTGTTGGTCGCATTAAGCATTGATCGGTACGACGCCATCACTCATCCCATGAACTTTTCCAGTAGCTGTGAGTTAATAAACCGTGAAAAATAAAGAAATACATATTTTTTTAAACTTAAACATCGGTTACACTTGTCATTTTTTTTTGCAGGGCGCCGGGCTAGAGTATTGATTGGCTGTGCGTGGATTTTGAGTTTTTTGTTCGCCGTCCCCAGCGTGTTCATTAACGAAGAAATGATAATTCAAGGTATACTTCAAAGCCAAAGTTAAACAATTAATCTCAGATGAGCTAATTTCAGAAAAAGCGTTTGCTGCATTTTTTTTAGGAGGGGGGGTAAAAAAATACAAATTTAAATTTAAATTATTTTAGCTGATAAGAGATAACTATGATAATAACGGTACTATTGATAAGGAAGGACAGTACGATAAGACTGTATTGATATGGATGATAATATGAAAACTTTAGACAATGAATAGTTGAAAGTTGACGCAGTTAACAAAATATTGACCTAATATTGTACAAAAAAGATGTCACGGAAATCTAATGTTTAAGATATTATACACGAGGGGAACTCAAGATATATATCACTAGTAAAAAATAAAGCAATTTGCAATCATAAATGTAATCGTAATTGCGATTAAATTATTAATGTTGATTAATGATACCATTAATTTAACATTACAATTACTAATTGCGATGGGTAATCGTAATCATTCATCGTTAACGAGATTAAAATACGCCCAACACTGCTAGTAACGTGTAATGAAATTTAGAAGTAATATTGGTCCTTCGTACCGGATTAACTTGAAAGAAGCCCGACCATAAAATATTGGATACCTTTCATAAATTCAAATTTTATTAACTAAAAGCCAAGGCTTACAGATTTCGGAGGCGTGTCGTTTTTAAATTAATACTTAGTAGAAAAAAAATTTTATTTTTTAAATTTTTTTAATCAAAACTAAATGTCAGTAGCTACCCGGTTGATTGAACGGTAGGCGAGTCCTTTACATTTGGCCATGTGTAATTTGTGAGCTCTGCGTGAACAAACAGCAAAAGTTTAACCGTCATTTAATGACGGTAAATATTCAAGAGAATCGTTTAAAGGACCTTTTGTCGTCGAAATTAGTTTCCCGGCAATATCGAGTATGGTTCAATTCGCCAAATGTCACAGTATACCGGTAATAACTCTCTGGAAACGGGAAATGACAATGCGGTAACAAATCACAAACGTCAAAGTGTCATTTGCGGAATATCATAATATCTGCCATATTGTGTCTGGGATAAAATAATATACCAATTATATATGAGTAGATATCTTTATCCTGTAGAAGGGTTAAGTGATAATTGTCACACGCACGAGGCCAAAAGGGGACGACGTTGAAAAATGCACAAGTCCTCAGAATGTGGACCTGGAGAAGATTACTTTGTATTAGTTGGACTGTAAGGAAGATCAATGCAGAAATTCTCCAAAAAGTAGAGGAGAAAATAGTATTGCTATCCATCAATAGATCAAGAAGCGGAAAACTTATGGATTACTAAATAAGACATAACCAACACAATGGAAGGACGAATCAATGGACGCAAAGAAAGAGGAAGACATTCATAGGAGAGATGATTGAAATGGCTCGATGTAACGGGTATCACACATGAAGACTCTGGCATTAAAGAGAGAAGAGTGGAAGTATATTTTTTCGCTAAGACAAGGCTTAGCCTTAAAAAAAAAAAAGAAGAATCAAAACAGTACACATAAAAATATATTTATACCAATTTTTTTTTTTTTTCAAAATTTGTATATAATATATTAATAGCCACTTTGCTTGTTTTCCAAATAGGCCGTACTCAGTGTTGGATTGAGCTGGCGCCGTGGCAATGGAAATTCTACATAAGTGTGGTGGCTACTACGGTTTTCGTCGTGCCGGCAATCGTCATCAGCGGCTGCTACGCCATTATCGTCTACACAATCTGGTCAAAGAGCAAACTATTGTCGCCATCCAAGAACAACACCACACTGCAACGTGGAACCAAAAGTATTGGCAGACATGAGTTTTGACATGAATATAACATGATGTCTTATGGTTCGCCTCTTATCAGCTGTTTGGCTCATCAATAATCTCTTATCAGTAATGCCGGTAAGAAGAAATCAGTAATCTCCGGATGACTGATAAGAGATTGTTGACAAGCTAATCAGCTGATAAGAGGGGGATGAAATTCTGAAGCGGCCGTAAGACATAATATTGTTCGTGTTTAGATTTCTTTCCTTCGAGGAAAAGACGCGGACATTGTTAGGGTTCTAATGCTGTTATGTTATTGTGTATTTGTTTTTGTTTGCCAACAGAACCGGAAGAGCACGACATAAGACGGTCCAGTTCCCGGGGAATAATACCAAAGGCCAAAATCAAAACCGTCAAAATGACATTCGTTATCGTTTTCGGTCGGTACCAAACGACTACTACTTCATTTTTTTTTTTACTATTGTCTCTATTGCCAAGTCGTTTGGTCGACGGTCAAATATGCCGAATTACCATGGTCGTTTCTCTTTTGCTGTTGTAGTTTTCATTCTTTGCTGGAGCCCGTACATAGTGTTCGACCTGCTCCAAGTTTACGGATACATACCAAAGACCCAGTCGAACGTGGCGCTGGCCACATTCATACAGAGTTTGGCACCGCTAAATTCTGCCGCAAACCCCATCATTTACTGCCTGTTCTCCACTCACATCTGCAGATCTCTCAGGTAAATCCAAAAAAAAAAAAAATCTAAACGGTTAATAAAAAACCGTACATCCTTTCTGCACTGCTAATTTGATGGCGATCCAGTGGCACAAATCGATATAGCTTAATAGTAAAAAAAATATTTACTTGCAGTTATAAATTCCGAGGTGAGTTGAATCCTCGAGATTTATCATATTGTTTTTAGTACTTGATACACACACTTGAAGAATACTACAATTCTTACTTAAATACTTGAAATTTCAAAATACACATTGAAATATTGAAGTTTTGTCAATGAAATATATTTTTTTCCTGGCATTTACACACTTTATAGGCAATGAAATCAATTAACTGGTAACTTTTCAACTAGTTCCTATGGTTTTGCTTATAAGGCTCAATGACTTAAAGATAACTCCGCATGTATCAAAATGTTTCACTGGAGGAAATATAAAAATACTTGGTCGTACAAGATTTCAATTTTCTTGAAAAGGTGTGGGTTTTTTTTGTGGTGCTTGCTGCGTTGTATTTATATTCAAATATAAATGAAAACCTTGAAAAAAACCAGGCATTTGTTTTAGTTTTGACACATTGACATATTATTAGATATATCATAATAAAAAGGTTCTCGACTCAAGGTCAAGGTCTTGTTTGGCAGACGTTCTATTGTGGAAATAAAACAAACAAAAGGAATATTTTACATAGTTTATATTAGTTTTTTTAAAGTATAGTTAATAAAACAAAACTATACTTTGGCGGTTGTTACCGCAAAACTCAAAACAATCATCCGCTGCTCTGTGGGGCGTATGTAGTATAAAATATGCATAGATTCATTTCGGACGTTCATTCAAGCAGCAGATATAGGAAAAATATTGAAATTTCAATCAACATCATATTTTATGCACATTGTATGATATACGAGCCGTATCCGTTTGTTTTCCCGGGAAAACTTATAAAATACAATGTAAACTGAATTTTAGGATAATATTTTTGTCGTTAGGCAGATCAACAATGGCCGCGAGCACGTGTTGGTTAATTGAACAGACCTAAAAAAAAATAATAAAAAAAAACTCTGTTGAGTGGTTTTTTTTAATTTTAATATAGTTTAAAACACAATTCAGGCGAACAGACTAATAAAAAAACATCAAAGTTAATATACCGGACATACCGGAAGTTAAAAACACCCCATTTCAAACGGTTTATTATTATTTTTTTTTTTCCAATAACAATATATCATATTTACAGTAAATAATGACAATATAGCTAATAGATTTTTAAAACACTTAAAACGTCACTGCAACAGGCTAGGTTACCAAAATAAAGTACAATTAAAAAAATATACATTGGTAAGTACTCATAAAAATCACTTTCAATGCAAATTTTGTAATAGCAGTAAAAAATTGTTCATAGTAACATAAAACATTTGTACATACATAAAAAACATGAGTGTGTTTTTTAGAGAATTTTAAGAAGGTCGAAAAATTCTAAGTATAAACTTGGAAATATTAATTCTTTAGTGTAATTGGTAAAAAATCTTCTCAGTTTTAACTAACCTTTTTTTTTTTTTTTTGTGGGGGAAGGTACTTATTGTAATATACTAAATATCTCACAATAATATCAATATAATATCAACATGATTTTGAAACAAAGAACCAAAATATAACTGGTTTTTTCCGCCAAAGCTGGCCTCAGAATTTTCATTGTTTTTTTTTTTTTGGAAATAAAATCTGAAACTAGGTAGGTCTGAATCCAATAATGAAATCATAACAATAAATATCGTTTTAATAATCAATTCCAATCTTTTTGGTATTTTTAAAATAAAGCTTGTTCGTAAATTTTAAATATCTAGACTTGCTAGTCAAAATCCGATCTAAAAAATGTCTTTTGGTTCTTATTCCAAAAAAATGTCAAATTTGTCTGTACTATGTAATATTTTCTAGTTTATTAATATAATGAGTTAGATAATATTTTATCAAAAAAACAATTAATAACAAACTATAAAAAAACAAAACCAATATGAATACAATTTACAAAGGCCTACTTAGGATTAGGTACAACGGACCCGAATGTCCACTTTAAACGCCATTAAAACAATACTACATATTTGATTATTTTTATTTTTCTATTCATTTTTTACTTAAAAAAATAGACAATCTGTTTAAATCAAAATATTTCATACCGACATCACCGTTTTTACTCCTTTTAATCCTACATATTAAAATGAAATAAATTTCAAAAGTAATATATTATGCTTTTTTTCTCTCAGAATCTCTGTTTTTTTTTTCAATCCCCAAATAAACTGACAGTTGACATATTACAAACGCTACCGTATTCCAAGTGCACCGGTTGCCTAAATACGGATGTTGGAATAATAATAATAAAATATGTACACAACAGCAATGGACGAAAAAAATATTGTTTTGTACATAATATTATACGCTATTAATTATATATTGTATTTTGAACATAAAAAGTGATGAAAAATTAGTAAAAAAAAGGCGTGGTGCTAGTCATCGAAATTAAATAGACCCGACAAAATAATACATGACAGCTTATATTTTTCACAATACTAATTAGTGAAAATTCAATAGCCTAATTGGTAGGATAGATAATCGTTCAACGGTGGCACGAGATGAGCTAGTAAAAGTAGCTACTAAATTTTTAGTTAGGTTAAGTTAAGTAAAACAATAATGACTTAAAAAAAAATATATTCCCCGTTATTCAGTGCAAAAAGCTCACCTTAAAAGAGGGGCACATAATTTTCAGTCCCTTTCGGCCCTGAACTCAAAATATTTATTTTCTCTTATCACTTATTTCTTACCTCTAGTATCTAATAATTTATCTATTATCACTAATACCTTATCATTTATTTCTTATCTATTTCCCTAATTATTTATCACCTATCTCTTATCTTTTATCTCTAATCTCTCATCGTCGTTTATCTCTTATCAATAACCATTTATTTCTTATCTCTGGTCTCCAATAATTTGTCTGAGGTTTGTATTTTGTTATAACATGTTAAAAACACAAGTTCGAAATTAAAATTAGATTAAATAGGTAAAGTTAGGTTACATATTTTATGTTAGGCCTAACTTGAATTTACCATCTCATCCCGGAGTGACAGGTCCCCGTTATCCGGGAACAAGCCTCTAGTCACCGTCTCCAATGTAGCGGCTTCCATCTGGCCCTCGTACATTTCGCGCGCAGGCCAGCGATCTCTTCCGCGTCCACCAGTGGACGGGTGGTTTAGCGCCCGGGGGTCCTCTTTCTGGCCGGGAGAGCAGAGTTACAGGCGATTGTGGCCCTTCTCTCAAACCCGGCCGCCCACCACTCGGACCGCTCCGCTGGGTCAACGGGAGGCTCTTCCAATGACCAACCTAACCTTACCTTTCTAAAGATCTTCCTGTATGAATATATATCAACCATACTATAAGACGTGATCCAACGTTTTTAATTCCAGGTGAAAACTAACGACGTTTTTTTGTTCTTCCTTTTTTTCCCAGGCAAGTGCCTCCGTTCAAGTGGTTGCTGTGCTGCCGGAACGGCACCCAAGAACAACTTAGCTACACGGAAACGTTGACCTCGTCCAACCGGCCAGTGAACACGTCCCTTCTGCGCAACGCTACCGTTCACGTCCACTCGGTGGTCAGAGCTCCCATGCTGAACCGGATGGGCATTTCGACGGAAAAGAACAGCTACGCCGATTCACTGCTCTAAGATAACCACAGCAACGACGACGGCCCTCTAAAAATAATCGCATGCCAGTGTTGCCAACTGGGACTAGGGTCAAATTTCCCTGATCTTTATTAAAAAAGTCCCCAGATACGATACGATATCCCTAAATACGTACACCCATATATTTTTGTAGGTTTTGTGCTACTTAAGTTAAGCTATTGTCCAATCATTATCTTAAAATTTTAATAGCCAATGAAATAAATGTGGTTATATTATATGTACTACTCCGTTTGCCGGGGTCCTAATGATAACAGTTAACAATGATTAACATTAATTAGATTTTACAAAAAAAATCCCTATACAATATTGTAATTCCCTAAATATGGGGATAAATCTCTATAGTTGGCAACACTGTGACGCATGCATTTGTGCGCTGAAATGGCCAACAATGTCTCCGCGCAGTACCGTTCTCTCGTGAGACAGAAAATAATGTATGATAATTTAGGTGGCTTCTAGTAATCAAAATGTGGCTTTTATTTCTCTAGATAATAATTCAATACAAAAGTAGAACAAAGTCAAAAATCTACAATATTGAAAACGCATAATTAAATACATTTATAATAATGATATCTAAAATACTTAATCGACTTTTTAAAATTTTTATTGTTCATCCGATAACATTAATTTATGTTATACTATAATTCCCTGTTTTTCAATAAAGCAAAAAAAAAATTATAATATTCCTATTTTCTATTGTCATAGTTTTATTTCTGTTTTTGTAAGAACAAAATTTAAATAATGCCAAACAAATTTTTAATATAGATTTCCATTCGAATTTTTACAAACATGCGAATGAAATTAACTTCCGGGTCCTGGGACTTATCAATAATACCATCAAATACTACCTATTCATTTTTGATATAAATGTATATATTTAGGTGTATAATATATCTTCAGGTGAAAAGATATTTCTCTATTTGTTAGAAAATCTAGTTTTAGTTTTTACAGCTGATGTCATGTACGTGGAAAATAACCAGAAGAAAAAGAGGAATAATTTTTTCTACAACTAAAAAAGAATCAATTTAACGTGGCGTTATATTATATTAATCTATATTTAAAAATTCTATATTTTTAAATGTCAACTGTTTAAAATTCAATATTTATAACGCAAAAAAAATTAATAACTAAAAGAAAAACAGAAATTTAAATGACCTAAAAAAAATTGAGAAATATTTTTTTACCTGAAGTCATACTGCTGTCACTAGTGGAATAGGAAAAAGGACATTATTTTAGGTCCACTATAATATATTTGTGTGTATAATATATATATACATGTTTTGTATAAATATTAGTTATTAAGTATTATTATTATTATTACCTATTATATTAATTAGAACATACATTTAGCTATATTCTATGACTGACTTGAGCCCTTTTACTTTATAATTATTATAATAGTTATTTCTGTACAAACTTACTGTACTTATTCCTTATATTATATTGTATCGTCTCGATTCCTATAACTCGTACTTATGTGCTACTCATTACGTCATATTACATGTACATATACTATTATATTATAATATATATATACATATAGAAAATTGAAAAAATGTGTTAAAACCATAACGTTATATTAGATTAGGTATTATCGTAACGCTATTATAAGATAAAACCGAATATCTTAGCTTATTCAAATTGGTAGCATAACATATTAAAATAGATGGTTTTTTAATTATATTATAACTACGAGTGCCAAACGATAACGATACCTATTTACATCTGTTTATTTATGTAATACATTGTTTATTCTGTGTGTTGTATTATACCGTTGAGTATATATACTCAATGATTATACTTTGGAAATTTGTGCTTAAATTACAAAACTCATAGAACAAAATATAAATTTAAGTATTGTACAAGGTGCGTTGTTAAAAATGCCTCCGATATCAATTTTTTTTTTAACGCTACAACAATGATTTAGTGCAAAATTGAATGTCGCAAAAACATTATTTACAAAGTATTGTCAAATCTAGATTTAATTATTGGAAATAAAAAAATGGTTTAAAATATATCATGTGAAAGTGTTACAGTTGTAATATTGTACTTAAAATAAAATATTTTAGAAACTACGTACAAAAATATATCGTTTTATATCGTAAAATATATGTAAACAACATTCGTGTCTATGTCGAAATAAAAAATATACGAAAATTAATTTTCAAGCAATTCAAAGTTTTTAATGCACAATACACTAACAACAATATAATGAAATATAACAACAAAACCCGTATAAAAAAAATATACGTATTATATTTTTCTACATACTAATTTACACAAAACGATGACGTTATTTTGTTCTCAGCTACTCGTCTTCTCTTGAATTACTTTCTTGAGTTCGTCCATGGTTTTTTCTGTTTGGGAATAGTTGTATCTACAAAATGTCCTAAAAAAAATTAAAATCACATTATTATGTTATACATATTTGTCTTAACGCTTTTGTTTTCAAAAATAATAGAGTCAACATTTAACCTTTCATATTAAACCTTTGAAGATATTTTAATAAAGTATTTAAATAAAAAATACCACTAAAAGGCAATTTTTAAATAACAAAGAATTATTTCAGTTACAAATGTCCTCTTTTAATGCGTCAAAAAACTTTTTAGTTACAAATTTTAATAATAAATATTAAATTTTAAATAATTTATCACTCAACTTTAAAAATAAATATTTTTTTTTTACATACATCATTTTTGTCTTTTTTAAAACATATATTTATTAGATTTATTATTTTTAATTTAAATACACATAATTTATTTTCTATAAATATTTCCATTTTACGCGATAAATTATTTTAGTTAGTTAATTGAGATTTTATATTTAAATAATTTGTTAATTGAAAGAGTTATTTAGGCACTAAATACATGTTTGCCGTTTCATAGATTTCCAAAATAAATAATCCAAAAGTTTTATGTTGTGTAACTTATGGCAACCACATTAACAATGTACTCAACATTTTAAATTTATTTTCGTAAAAAGTCATTTGCGGGTTGTTAATAAGATATCGGCTATTTTGAAATTCAATGTATACAATAACAATTTTTTCCTAATACTTCAAAATTGTAACGCCATTCTTCGGTCACTATAAACAAAAAACGTCGTTGTGATAATTTCTGAGCAGTTACCAACTAAATATGTTGAGTAATTTTTTCAATAAAAAAAACAGGTAAGCAAATAACATAGTATTGCAATTTTATGGTCAAAAACTAAAGCGAGAACTATCGATCGATAAATAATAAACGCCAAAAAGCATTTTATTGAAGCATTTAACTAAATATTGTCCTTCGATGGCATCGTGCAATGATGTAGTGAGTACATTTTTTTGAGAACTTCAGACCAATTGTTAATATTATGGTCCAGTAAAAAAAAATGTACCTTCGACACCTGTACAGCTCTATTCTGTCAATATAGCTGTTAATAATATCCTATATTATAATATAGAATTATTGTTATGTAAAAATTTTTACCAATATGAACTGGCTATGACGCAAAACGAGCCGACGCCAAAATGCATGGACCTTTGTGTTCGACTCGTAAACATAAAGTGACCCAGTCCAGCAACGAATCCACCAACAATGCTGTACAAATAACTATTTCGAAAACAAGGAATTTTCGAAACGTCTTTTCCCAAAAACATGTAGGCCTGAAAAAAACCAACAAAATGTAGTCATTTAAAAAAAACATTAAAAATTTTATAATATTATGTGCTTTTTATATCTATTTCAAATATACAATAATTGAAAACCTACAAATTTCACTAGTTTTTAAGATATAGCTATTTAAAATTTGCCCTTTATGGTTGCACTGTTTTAAGTATTAAACTTGACAATTCCACACAAAACACACTCCCTTTTCATGGTGTTGTTTAATTTTTCAAACATTTGCCGATAAGATTTAGTTTCAGAAATGCGTAATAAAAATTGTATTTATTATGAACAAATTGTGTTCAATTAAGATATTATTATAACGGTCAAACGGGGTTAATGCAATTTTCCTAATGAGCGAATAATACAGTAAATAAAAGCAAAATGTTGATTTTAACTAAACAGCTTGACTTCATTTCAGCTATTTTGAAACAAACGTACTTTATGGTCGTCGTCACTTGAAATCGAAGCCATGATAAAAAAAACCAAATTAAAATTAAGTGTCTAATAAAAAATACAATTAAAATTATACGGAATTCTTCTAACAAAAAAAATTGGAAAATTCAAACACAAATTCTATTAACTTAGAATGCGAATTAAATTTGATCAGTTTAATAACTGAAAACTTCTGTAATGTCAATATAATATAAGGTATACAACAATTAAGACTTAATATTAAGTAAGTATTTCTTTTTATTCCTGAATACAATTTAAATTTTATAGTGAAAACCAAAATATGAGTTTCGAGTTCCAGTCGGTAATCAACACTCCCACAAAATGATAACACAGTTCATTGACAAGTGATTACACGGTCAAGTAGGTAACCAGGTTTGAACCGTGGTTATGGTAGTATCGAAAATTGAGTAAACAATAAACATTTTGAATTATTAAATTTTTGTTTTATAAGCGATAATGTTTTTTATTCCAACATTGAACGGTAAAACTTAAAAGTAGCTTTAGAATAAATGTAGTAGAGCTTAAATAAATACATTTTTTTTCTTTGCTTGGACAACCAGCGTGCAGCAGTTTTCCAAAGCTTCCATACTAATATTCCCCATTTTTTGCCAGCCCAGTTCACTCTCCAAATGTCCATTGCTATTTTCTTATTTATCAAATCCACCCAAGTGTTCTTCTTCGGTCTATCTCTAAATCTGTCCACCGAGATATTCCTAACTTGTTAACACACAACAATGGATGTATTTTGGTTTTTGTTTCAGGACAATTTTGCCGTAGATAGAAAATTTCACTTCTCTCAAAACATATTTTTCTATATTAATAACAGAGAAACAGGAAAACCATTTTCAACAATATTAACAATTCGTAGTATATAACTGACAATTGAAGTTTTAACTGCACTTCAACTGTATTAGGCTTGCAACTTTTCAAAATGCAACCATAATAATCATATTTATAAGAGTTCATGTCTAAGATGACCGTTCTCTCAGTTTTGTCTTGACTTTTACACAAGTCCAAATTTTAATCAGACCTGGGCATTATTTGTATGTTATTCTATAATAATACCAATAAACAAATGATTTGAATACAATTTTCAATTTCAACTCTAAATAATTGTTATTTAAATAAAAACGGAAATAATAATTCGAATTTAAATATTAATTAAATAATAATAGGTAAGCAATAAATTTGATTAAATACAATTTTTATTGTATAAACAAAATATTATTTGCAATTGTAATCAATAAAAATTTTCAAAAATATAAATTATTGACAGTAAATAAAAGTGCATTTCAAGAGAATAAAATGATTTCAAATAATTATACTATTTATTTTTAAATAAATACCCAGGTTTGATTATCAAATGTCAAACTTTACTTAAATGTGATAACGTGAGAACAACCACATTTTTTTTTACTACAAATTAAAAAATACTTAAGATTCTCAATTTAGAGAAAAAAATCTGTCAGTTCTCTGTATATTCTTATAGTCTTTTCTCAGCTAATAAGTAAAGACGACTCACATAGTTTTAAATTGTATAATGGCTTACAAATATTTCTTTTTTGTCTAAAAAGTGGTTTATAAGCATAAAACCTTATATTTAGCTGTTTTTTTTTTATTGTGTTACCGGTATTATTTTTTTAACAATATAACAAAGCTTCATTATAATGATAATAATAATGCAATCATGTAAAACTGTAGCGGTTGAATCCTCCACAAAAACATAATATAATATATTAAATTTAACTATTACAAATTAGATAAAGGCGAAACCCTAATAACAGCTTTTCGTTAAAAAAAAACATATTTTGTAATATAAAATATTAAAATTATTGCGGAGAAATATGATCAATACGTTGAAAACGGGCAGCGTCGAATAAAACAAATAAATTATAATTTTTTTAAAATTGAAACATGATACACGTAATAAAATTTCACTAAATGTTTGTAATTTTTCAGTTTTTTTTTAAATTTTTATTATTATTATTATTATTTTCCGGGTAACAAATAATTATGTACATAACTCTACTTAGTTTATTCGCTGAAACACGAACAATAATGTTTACTTTAAACTTTTAAGAATACAAAATTTTACGAGGACAACTTATATGTGAATGGATTCAGTAGCTTTTACACAATTAATTTGTGTTCTTGGCTAAGGTGTCAGCCTTGGCGACTACTTCTTCAATCGGTCCAACCATGTAGAAGGCGACTTCGGGCAAGTGATCGTAATCACCGGCCAAAATTTTGGTAAAACCCTGAAAAATTAATTGTAAATAATGATGTAATTAAAAACAACGTACACGACGGCAATAATAATATTTCGTAAAATAAAGTTTAGAGGCTCACTTTAATCGTTTCTTCTAGAGGTACCAATTTTCCTGGATGTCCAGTGAACACCTCGGCCACTTGGAAAGGTTGGGACAAGAACCTTTGGATTTTCCTAGCCCTGGCAACGATCAATTTGTCTTCTTCCGAAAGTTCGTCCATACCCAAAATGGCGATAATGTCTTGGAGCGATTTGTAATCTTGCAGGATCTTTTGCACTCCACGAGCTATGTTGTAATGTTCTTCTCCGATGACGTTGGGGTCCATAATACGGGAGGTGGAATCCAGTGGATCTACGGCCGGGTAGATACCCAACTCGGCGATGGCACGGGACAACACGGTGGTGGCGTCCAAATGGGCGAAAGTCGTGGCCGGAGCAGGATCAGTCAAATCGTCGGCGGGTACGTAAATAGCCTGAAATCGATAGAAAAAGACATCAGTAGTAAACATCATATCATTATTTTTCTTTTTTAAATTTGATAAAAATATATTACCTGCACCGACGTAATGGATCCCTTTCTGGTGGTGGTGATTCTTTCCTGCATAGTACCCATGTCGGTGGCCAAAGTAGGTTGGTAACCCACAGCGGACGGGATACGTCCCAACAGGGCAGACACTTCGGAACCGGCTTGCGTGAAACGGAAAATGTTGTCGATGAAGAGCAACACGTCTTGTCCTTCTATATCTCTGAAGTACTCGGCGACGGTCAATCCAGTCAAAGCGACACGGGCACGTGCGCCAGGGGGTTCGTTCATCTGACCGTACACCAACGCTACCTAAAAAGTAAATTTAAATAATATAGATCCACTAGAGATAATTATCAACTATCAAAACACTTTTTTCTTTCATCAGATTTACGATTAACATACCTTCGAGGTTTTGTCTTTGAGGGAAATTACGCCGGACTCAATCATTTCATGGTACAAATCATTACCTTCACGAGTTCTTTCCCCGACACCGGCAAATACAGAGTAACCACCGTGAGCCTTGGCAACATTGTTAATAAGCTCCATAATCAATACAGTTTTTCCTACTCCGGCACCACCAAAGAGACCTACGAAAAACACAAATTATAAATACATTGTGAAGATAGATCATTTAAGATAAATCATCTCGACTGAATATTGAAAATTACCAATTTTTCCTCCCTTGGCGTACGGGGCCAACAAGTCTACGACCTTGATACCAGTTACTAGAATTTCCTGTTCGACACTCATTTCAACGAATTCAGGAGCATCGGCGTGAATGGGTGCTCTTTTGTCAGTTGGAATTGGACCCCTCTCGTCAATTGGCTCGCCTAAACACAAATTCATTGGTTTTATTGGATGCCATATTATTGTTAGTTTAGCGTAAACAGCTTTAAATAATTACCAATAACATTAATGATACGGCCCAAAGTCTCGGCGCCGACTGGAATTCTGATGGGAGAGCCGCTGTCGAGTACTCCCTGACCTCGAACAAGACCTTCGGTACCATCCATAGCAATGGTTCTGACAGTGTTTTCACCTAAATTCAATTTGAAGATTTTTTTTTAAGGAATCCATATTAAAAAAAAAAAAAAAACTACTCAAAACAAAAAATGTTACCCAAATGTTGAGCAACTTCAAGAACGAGACGGGGAGATCTGTTTTGTACTTCGAGCGCATTGAGGATGGGGGGTAGTTCTTCATCGAATTGGACATCAACGACGGCACCAATAACAGCAACTATACGGCCTTGAGATGTACCAGCTAGGGGTTTTGTGGCTGTTTTGTTGTTAGCTGAAAAATTTATGTTTAAATTTCAATATAAGTTATACCAAATATTAATATTTTGTGACATACTAACAGACACTTTGCCAAATTATAATAATATGTACAAAAAGACACATTTTACATCCAAATCTTAAATGTTCGCTACAAGTAGGTATAGTAGAAAAAGTTTTTTTACATTAAAGAGACTTGCAAAAAGTCAATATTTTAACTGATATGGTATATAATGTTTTAATGATATTGTATCATACGAGTGATATATTTAAAAATAACTACTAAGTATAACATAACTAAAAAATTGAATAAGTACAAACGATCTATGGTTTATTAAATGCAAAATAAATCAATACACTTTTAAATTCACGTTTCATAAGTATCTATCAAATACATATAATTGACTACATAAATACGTAATAAAAATCAATTTTTTTTTTAGAATTTCACGCTTAAGACATCTAAGTATATTGCCAGAGAATTTAAATCTTACTCTTCGTAATGCCGTACCAGACTATGTTACATAATTTCATGGATAATTATTACTCTTAAGGGGTAAAAGACGGGCACCTTTAAATTCTAGATATCTAGGCCAAAGTTTTTATAATCGACTTTCGCTGGAAATATCCGATCACGGTTAATAATTGATGAAATGCGAGGACTCGATCATGAGCTCCCAGCTCCGATTACCGAGCTCCTGCCTAACGTTAAAAAAATCCCTGAAGGTCACAAAAGGTCATATCGTCTGTGTTTCTTTTCGAAATCGGACAGTTAGCTCGTTTTTTATAAAATTTGGCCGTTTAATCGAAATCGTTCATGGTTGCTGGCCGAAAAGTATGGACAGCAAGGTGTAACCGAATGGCTTCTCGTGTATGGTTTGTACAAAAATCAATATGACCCGCACACGAGCGAACCGGGTCATTCCGGGTCCGACTTGCAAGGCAGATATTCCCTTTAAAATGCAGTAAAACCTTTTGTCGACCGGGAAAAAGCTGGTGTAGGCCAAGCAAAGAGGTCGTTTAGGTCAAACGCCGGGTCGGTCCGGCGCCATTAAAAACATACGGGGCAAAATAGAGAAAATACTCACAAGTCGACGTGGTGGCCACCATTGCTTTGGGCAATTCATTTTGTACGGATTTCGGTGTTAAATTGCTTTTGCCGGCCTTCAGGGCTCCAAGAGCAGCCCTAGATAATGCGTTCAACATGATGTATATTCGGTAAGCGATCGAACTGAATTAATATTAAATTTCAAAAAAAATAATACTCTGCTGCGGCTAGTCAGGACTGAGCACGGGAACGGCCGGACAAAATGGACGACCTACGCCTATGTTGCGATACGGCGATCAGGGTTCACCTTTTCGCGTCAGCTGTGCGCCGGGTCGGTCGTCCGACCATGTGTTTGCGCCCACCGCCGGTGGCAACACTGACGGCGGTCACCGTAACCGCGGCCGCACGCGTCCGGCGTTACCGGTGTAAACAGTTTACTTTTTTATTTTTTAAACATGTGGTCACACTGACGCGGCTCCGAGCCGCTGCTGTTTTGTTGTAGCCACAGATATAGATATATCTGTGGTTGTAGCAATTCTCTTATCGGTTATAACGTCTTATCAGCCGTATTATTTGAAAAGTAGTCGCCGCCGCAGTGAAAAATCCAAAAAGCCATTTATCAAAACACACATAAAAAAAGGACAAGACAATAACACTTTAGAGGATCATAGTGAAAAGTGTAAGTAGAGTAAGATAAAGAGTAATAATTATTAGCACCTAAACTGGCCAGAAGGTAGACTTATTAAGAAGTGAATAGAACGTCTTACCTATGTGTGAAGAAATGCAAAGAGAGAGGATAACTCGATCTATGACACTTGTATAATGGAAGAAGGCATAACAAATTGTTTGTGTTTTATTATTAAATGATTGAGAGCATCCCTTGATGTATAATTTATTTATTGTTTCATATATAATTGATGAAAATATGTGATGCTAAATCATAACAACAGAAATAAATATAAATATTAAAAATAATATGTATTTTTTTTTTTAAGTGGCTTTATTATACTTACTACATTTTTTGCTAACACAAAAGTGTCCGTTTGTCATTGAACAAGTTCTAATTGTATCGAACAACTGTGTGTACTGTAATAGGTAAATCGGATTTGTTAGTATCAAAGAAATCCACACAAGTAGATAGTTTGACCAAACTATAACGAATTAATACAAGTATAATGTTTAATATTTGATAATCAACTAGAACATAAAAGAAAAAACAAATTAATCTAGTTATGAATATGCCTTTATGAGTATTTTAAATAATTTAACACAGTCAAAACTTTAAACGCTCGTTTTTCAAAAATTACAAAAAAATTAGAACTTTTTTTCAGATCAATTTACTTCATTAACTCTAATTTTTATAACTTAGTCTTAACCAATTGTCAATCTTATTAGTATTCTACAAAAATGAAATGTTTTAACGACCTTCACTTATTTATTTATTTATAAAAATAAAAACAATTTTAAAGCACTTAAATTTTTATTTGGGAATATAAATATAATATAATATAATTACTTTTTTTTGTCTTGTATACCGGATTCCAATTCAAAATTCTGATTTTTAATACTGTTTATAATAATAATGTAGTTTTTAAATCAAAGGTTTTGCAGGGGATAGTTTAAATTGTCATTTAATCATTAAGATACTTTTTGATTGATGCTTAAATACAAATTAAGGTTTTTTAAGAAAAATAATATTGAACTAAAAACTTAAACTGTTATTAAGGCCCCTGTATACCGTCCGTTTTTTTCAGCCAAAACACATAATTTTTTGTCCATCGCACAGGGTGAACCATTAATCCGATAAGCAATCTAAAAACAGATATGAATTCGTCATTAAGTTTACTTGAGATCGGTTAGAGCACTTTTTTCAATTTTTAATTTTAACCCTTTCCAAATTTGATTTTAAAATTTTATAAAATATTCAAACGTGTTTTATGCGTAGTAGGAATAAGATATCAAAAAAGTACGCTGACCGATCTCAAGTAAACTTCATGACGAATTCAAATCTGTTTTTTTTTTAGATTACTCATTGGATTACTGGTTCAGCCTGTGCGATGGACAAAAAATGTACTATTATATTAACTAAAATGGCTTTTACTCATAGACAAAATGATTTAAATTAAAAATAATACCATAAAGCTCATATAAATTAACCGGTAAATTAATTAACATGGTTGAAATTTAATAAAACCACTTTTTTCTTAAATATTGCCTATACAAAACTCCTTAAAAATGGTCGGTATCCAGGGGCCTTAAGAGCATTGCACGCGGTCTGTTTTTAAGGAGTTTTGTATAGGCAATATTTAAGAAAAAAGAGGTTTTAATCAATTTCGACCGTCTCAATGGCCTTAATTACCGAGTAATTTGTATAAGCTTCGAGGTATTATTTTTAATTTAAATACAATTTTCTATGGGTAATGCCTAGTTTAGTTTATTTTAGACCAGATTCGAGTTCTTTGGCTACTTTGTTGTGTTAAGAGTAGAAATTAATGAAATTAATTAAATTTGGTTTTTTCATTTTTAAAACCCATTTTTTTACATAAAAAAATCAAATATCTGTTTCCTACATGACCAAGTAAAGCTATCAAAGATTGCCAAAGTTACCAAAGTGGCTTGGTAGCTGCATCGATAATTACTAGTTATTAGGATAAGTCATAATATAATAGTTGTTAGAAGTAATAGGAGATATATTTATATGGAATGACCGTGTTGAAAGAAGGTAAAAGAAATATATAGTTGAACGAAAAAAGAAGACACGTAGACACAATTTATTCCCTTAAAATTTTTGTAAATAATATTTACAACGTTCTCACTCTGATTATGAAAACTTTAACTTACTATTTTGTTATATAATGTAAATTCTTAGATCCCAACTATAGGTTACCTAAAACATAATATCAGAAACGTGGAGGAATACCTACAGTACTATCAAATTATCAGGATCGTTATTTTCCAGTTGTTCTAAACGTCTAAAGCTTTCAGAAGCTTCAAGCTGACCGAACAAGTGTATTGTTTTAAAATTAACATCTGGTGTTAATTTATCTGTAACGTACTTGACCAGTACTCGAGTGCCAAACAAGCTCTCACTTACTGTATTAAATTCGGTGTTTTCATCAGCCGGTCTGGGAAGTCCATACTTGCTAATGATAGAACCAACATCCTCCATTGTCCGGCCGTTGCTGTTTACTTGATCGACTACTTGCATCGGTTGGTCAAATGGCATTTCTTCTGACGAAATCTCTTTCAATGATGCTGACAATTGACTTACATACAAGTCGATGAAAATGCCATCAGAAAAATGTGAAGATGGACTGGACAGCACGCCGATTGCCAAACCCAAGCGATGGTCGTCGGTTAGATGCAAATACTCTGCAAACGAATTCAACTGCTCCACCATTTCTGTATTGTAATATTTGCAAAGGTCATTGTTATTAGTATCTGCAACAAAACGTTTTAGCTTTGCGTCATCCATTCGCTTCATGTTAGACAAGTATCCAACGACCGTCCGAATGGCCACGGCTTTCATAAAGGTCAAGAAATGTTTCTGAAACAAAATTATCCATCTTATGCGAGCGTGCAAATGGTTGCAGACGTTTGTGCCCATTCGATAATAGTGGCTGAGTGTTTTCCCTATGGCAATCAAGTCCAACTGAACACCAAATTTTTCAATGTCTTTAATTCTGTCGCTATTGCTGTGATCCAATAAACGAGACAAGAGCATATGTTCACCAGTGAAATGGCTTTGTGCCCAGTCAAATCGCACGTCTATCATGCGGTTATGTTCCAACTGTCTGTTTACCAGTTCTTTGTTTTGGCACACGACTTTTATCAACCGTTTTAAGTTTGTATCCGTGTGTATGATTATTTTGATATTGGACGATTGATTAGTAACCGGATCGAACACTTTGCAACAATGCGATTTTATGAACTCTTCGAGCATATTCACTACGACTTCGTGAGTTTTCAACACAGTCTTATTGGTTTCTTCTGGACGACTGATGTCTATCGAGAAAAGGTGCTGTACCAGTTCAGCGTACATGAGAAATATCCACATAACTTCTCCGATGGCGTTTCGGCTATCATCTTCTTGGCGGTGGTGGTCGTTGTACATAACGGATAATATTTTATTGGCTTCCAGTGTAAATAAAACACTAGTTCTTTCTTCAGCTGTTAGACGGTGTTGATAGCTGAAGTCCAACAGCAACGTCTTTGTCAATTGCATATGGATGGTAGCGATCACAGCGTAGCTGCACCACAGTTCTCTGAACAATTCTTGTTTGCACTTATTCAATGTGTCAAACGATTCCAATTGAAAAGGCCCACTGTAATAGCCTCGGTCTACACGTTTCGCCATTGCAATAAATTGTTTTAAATCTTCATTAGAACGAACACCGTTAATAATTATTATAGTGTAAACGGTGAAAACCCATACAAAATACATTGCTTTAAAATGCGCCTTGATACTCACAAAGTTTTGACAAAGCGTGAGAGAATTATTGCAGTTTAGAATTTGGACGTTGAACCATATAATAAAATAGACAACACCTAAATACACATATTTTAAAAATATATTTTTGTACATTTCAAAAAAACCAATAGACGAAACATGTGTCTACACAACGTTTATACCATATTATATATAGTTTTTAGAAAAGTAACTTGTATTGTATAAAACAATACTATTTTAGTAGTGTGTGACACTTGTGAATATATGTTTAACTCGATACATCTTAACAAATATTTTTACTTTTCCAATTATTTGTTTAGCCTGTAAATTCTCTATTCCACCTTTTTTATGAATTTTTCAGAGCTCTATCAACTTTTGTAACTTAAACGGTAACCTATGTATTTATTATTTAATTAGCTATTCTAATTAAGAATAATTTACTGAAAAATTTGACTGACCGATAACCGTTTTGGATATTTTGATTATTGTATAATAACACACATTCAAGTGTCCAAAAAGAAAAACTACAAAATTTCCATTATTTTCTGAGGTAATGAGCGTCTTAAGTTTTCTAACATTATAGTTATACATATTATAGTACTATGTTATATAAAATTATATTAATTTGCCAATCGAATATGACAAGAGACACATAGTTGGGTATTAATATTTAAAAAAAAAAAAAATACTTATACAATGTGGTTACTGACTACAACAATAAAATGTCTAAACCAATTTCGGTGGTATTGTAAGAAGTTTAAATAAATAAATTGCTTATACTCGACCCCGTTTTTCAACCAGGCGCGTTTCTTGGCGACTTAAAAAAGTATAATTCTGTACAGTAAAATGTAATTTAATATTTAAACGGGTTTGGCATATTAAATTTTTCATCAAGCCGGTTAGGCCCAATTGAATGTAACACCTTCCCTTCTGGTGATTTCCTGCGTCTTTCCAATAATTCCATCTTCAGAGCCTGGCAGCTGAAATGGTCAGCTCAATCTCCTAGCTTCGCCAATTGACATAGATTGACATGTCCCTTAATTTAAGCATTCTCAGGAAAATCATTTCCAATGTTCTGCCGCCTCATATTAGGCCACAACCTTCTTCCTAAAAGACTATTATCTTTAAATTACTTTCCTCTTTTTTCATTGCATTGCGAGAAAGTCTTCAGAGACTTGTCTTATTATCTCCTCGATTGTCCTGCTCTGTCTTGTGTAATAGAACAGTTCTTTTTAACTTCCTAGCTTCCAATGATATCCTTTTTCCTTCTCCAGAATTTGTCAGAATTTTATCCTTTCTTCTTATTTTTATTATCATATATTTTTTTTAATTTCATATTGTATACATTGTTTATTTGTAGTGTCTAATTTCAAAATTTAATTCCTATAGAATAAAGGCTATAGAAAAAAAAATGTATTTAATAGAAAACATAAACATATCGCAATTGATGAGGAAATTGAAGCAGCTTATTTTGAATTAAAATCTTACATTTGAAGATAAAACTATTATCAGTAAAGAGGATTTTGAACAACATACAATCTAATCCACACTTATTTTAATAAAACGTTTTGAAATCGTTTTCAATACTTTTAATAACAACATAATATCAATAACAATACAATTACAAAAAGTTCATACAGTTACTAGAGTACAATCAAAGTTTATAACGTTAAAAAATATATTATAAAATGAAATAAAAAAATGTAACTTTCTATTAGTTTACAAGGTCTTGGTAAAACGACACTTTTTGAACCTACTTAATTTTATGTGCAACTTAAATACATCTACAGCTTATCTTTTTCCAAAACTATCTCAATCGTATTTCCTTGGTAACATTTTTTTTTTTTAAATTTCATAAAATACAGAAAGCCAAGAAGTTCGTGACGGGCCAAAGCTCTAAACAGTTAAAGCGATAAAAAACAAAATTGTCACAGTTTAGTTATGATGGTTTTGAACCGTTCTTGTCGCTCGAAATCTTCAGTATCGATTTCGGAGTTTCGCATACACTCCAGCGACGAGGAAATGATTATCGGCTGGTGCTTACAGATGGGAGGCCAACCCGGGGAAGTGTCTAACTCGTGTTTGACCACCCGGTACATACACTGTTTGTTGGATTGGTGTGAAGCGATTTTCAATCGTTTCGTTAGCAAATAGTCGACGACAAAGTACTCGATTATCAGGCACACGACACAATCGCACAGGGCCAACGCGACCAGTACGACCGGAAATCCGATTTCCGGTGGGAATTCCAACTGGAGTGCTTGCTGCACCCAATCGGCCGGAAACACCGTGATGTACACACAAACGGCCGTCATGGTCAGCAAGGAAGTGAAGAATATCTTGTTCTTGTAGATCGGCACCCGGTACGGCTTGCCGTAGGAAAATATGAACGCCAATATGATGTACTGGAACTGAGACGTGGCGTACACCGCGTAGTTCTCGTAGCATTTGTACTCCATGGGTTGTGTAAAGTGGAAAGGCTTGAACCACGAGAACTGGTGGACGAGATAGAACGACAGCACCTGAGTGGACATCAACACGATAAGGTTTGCCGTCATCGAAAACAACGGCACGAACGACAGCAGTCTGGTGAGCGGAGGATTTTTGAACAAAGGCCCTTTGAACGACCGGTTTCTCCCGAAGAAGAACATGAAATGCACCACCAGGCCGACGTCGATAAACAGGAACTCAAAGTCGGTCAAGTTGCTGTCGATGTTGTACAAAATAAATGTCGAAGTGAACTCCAACAAACTGTAGAGCACCATGAATTTGAAAATGCCAAACGACGTGACCAACGCCGCTCGGCCTTCGCGAACGATCAAAGGCATGCAAGATATGTCAGCTTTGTGCGACGTGAAAGGAGAAGCCACCGACGATTCGGCTTCTGACAACGAAACGCCCACGTGGGCAGCTCGCAGTGCACCACAATCGTTGGCGCCGTCACCACACATTGCTGAAAGCCAAAGGCATAAGATTGGGTTAGGTTGGGTAGGAGCAGCAGGCACGAATCCAAAAGGTCAGGCCCACAGCAGTTCGGATCCTTTGAGGTGTCTTTCCGGTAAAATAATGAGTAGGTTCGAATGAAATACATAAGTGGCAGTCTAGGGGTTGCATCAATTGTGGAGAAAATGAGAGAGAATAGGCCGAGATGGTTATGAGAAGAGATGAGGCAGAGGCAGTGAGGTGTTATGAAGATTAATGAAGAGGGAAAAAGACCATAGAAAAGATGGACGGAATAGAGAGTGATATGAGGATAGCTGGGGTGTTTGAAACTAGATGTAGAAGACCGAGCTCTACGGAGGTGTAGGACTAGGGTAGCCGACCCCATGTAGTTGGGAGTGTAAGGCGAAGATAAAAAAGAAGAAGAAGATGGGAGAGGCGAGGGCAAAAGTAAAGGAGGAGTAGGGAAAGCTGGGGTGTGAAGGTCAGATGTTCAACATGTTTCAGATCAACTGATTTTCTATCAATCATCTCTCGATGACTCTCGGTTGACCCCTAGCCAAAAATCATTACCATGTTAAACGTGCTAGTTGAATTCTTCTTCGCCCCCGCCACCTTTGGATCCGCGCCTGTTTTAAAAGTAACTACGGTTGGCAGACTCACCGACGTGATAACCGATGTGTTGTAGTTCTTGAACTAATTGCTGTTTTTGTTCCGATTTCATTCGGGCGAAAACCGCTCCTTTGACGAGTATCCTGGGCAGAAGGTCCGGAAACGTATCTCTTATGATGGCCCATGTCCGACCGGTCAACGCAAAACAGTATTCACCGGTAACGCGGGCTTCCAAGTCGACGTCGTTTGCGTTGGAACTTCCAAAAACCGTAGTAGACCTCTAAATAAAAATTAAAAAAAAAAAAACAGTAAGCTCTAATGTCTAATTCCATAGACAATAGTTCTGTTGAGATATTCACGCAAATTATTTGTCCATACCAAAGGTGAAGTGATACCGCTGGCGGTGTAGTATATTTTAGGATTGTGTCCCTCCCTTTCGTCGGCCGTCACGTCAACGATTGTTTTCGATGGTAAAACTATACCGCATTCTTTGGCCACGCTCACGGCCGTTAAGATATTATCACCTAAATACATTTTCATATTGTACCAAAAAGGTCGGAAACACTTCTAGCGAATCTCCTAATTGTAACGATTTTCAACATACCTGTTATCATAACGATTTTCATATTGGCTCCTTGAAGTTCTTCGATGACCGGAGTGGTTTGGTCCTTGAGACGATTTTCTAAAATAACTAGACCAGCAAAAGTCAATTCGCATTCGACTTCCTCTCGCCTCAGTTTCGATATTTGAACGAAATTGCATTCGTCTAGTACTTTGTAAGCTATGGCGATCACTCTGTAACCTTCTTCGGTATAACCTCTTAACACCGTACTGGTTTTATTTGGCACTATATAAAAATAATTCTTGCTAAATATCCACTCGTAGGTAAGGTTTTAGTCTGTTTTACCTGTACTCGGGATACACAGAGATTGAATCATTTCCGGCGAACCTTTGGTGTAGACAATAAAACGAGGATCGCCTATCGTTTTGGTTATCATGCTCATTCGTTGCAAAGACGATGAGAAATGAAATTGATGTATAAGACCTATTTCGATTAGTTTCGTGTCTTCAGACGCAGACGACGGGGACCTTACGATCGAAGGTATTAAAACATCAAATTTCGAAGGGTCAACCACTTCCATCTCTTCTAGGCTCCATCCCGTCGACTCGAACATCTAAGAGTCATTTCATATTAGGCACGGGCGTATAAACTAAACAAGTTTTTTGGTTTAAGAACTATTATCGATTACCTACTTTAATATCGAGTGGATCGCCGGACACAATCGAATTCAGCAGAGTCAAAGAATGACAAGTGGCCATGCCCAATTTCAACGAATGACCATTAGACAACGCGGTAACATCTCTAATGGGCGATCCTAGCTCTTCGGTCGTTTCCACCGGCACTATTCCCCACATGTCCAATCCATCTTCTGTTAGCGTTCCCGTCTAAATTCATTCACACATTGTTTGTATCTAAATCGAGATCATCGTTAAGACCCCGCAATATGATCAGAAGTCTTACTTTATCGAAGCAAATGCAATCTATGGACCCCGATACGTTAATCACTCTCGAGTTTATGCAAGAAATTTGATATTTTTGCAGTCTCCTCAACGCGTAAATCTTTCCAACCGTCATCGCTGCCGGAAGCGCTGGCGGAATGACAATTGTGAACAAATCTAATGACTTCACAACGATGTCGGACCACGTTATACCTCTAGACGCCTGCGTGTGGCACAAATTATATTGTTAATTAACGTATTTCATGATATTGGACGTGCAATTATTAACAACTGAACCGTGTGTTCATATACTTTCGACAATCCGGTGTAAATCGATCCGATGGTCGCGATGGTGGCCAAAATCCAAATGAACCGATACGTGTCTTTGTCGAATCTAAAATCAGTTGGCGGAGGGTAAAGGATCGACCTCACCAACGAACCTTTGGCAGTCAGAAAACCTGTTCTCAACACCACCGCGTGTACTTTTCTGTCGGAATGGTATCGCGCCTGCAGGACTTTCGTTCCGGAAAACAGAGTGTGGTTGGTGTCTTCGCGTTCGTTGTACAGAAAATTGATGTTTGGCAATGTGGTTTTAACTACCGGCACGCTTTCGCCTAAAACGACGTGTGAACCGTCGGTAATCATAATTTACTATCCCCCAGTCAATACCGATAATAACTGGCGTAATTACCTGTCAGCATGCTTTCGTTAACAACGCACGTGCCACACAGCAATGCCGCATCGCAAGGCACTTCAAATCCATAACGCGGTATGACAATTATGTCGCCCGGCACCAAATCTGTAGTAGAAATTTCTTCATATACTGATTCAACCTTTGGCTCGCTTAGTCTTCGGCAAACGACCACTTTGTCAGTAGAATGCACCGTTTGCCGCAATGTTTTTTGGTTCTAAAAAATACATAAAATTCGCATTAAATTGGTAATACAATAGCTCTCATTTTTTCCAGAAGAATTAGGTCATGAGACTTGAAGAGTGGAGAGAACCGCTTGAAGGGAAAAAATTGAGGATTGGTAGGAGTAAAACGGAGACAATCGTGTTTGATTTTGGAGAAAGTTTTAGGGTAAGACAGGTAATGCAGATGGGTAACGATGAAGTGTGTGAGGTTGATAGGTTTAAGTACTTAGGATCGGTGGTACAAAAAAATGGTGAGTACGAGGAGGATGTGAAAAATAGAATAAATTGTGGATGGATGAAGTGAAAGGGCCCGTCGGGTGTTTTGTGTGACAGAAGGATGCCTATAAGATAGAAAGATAAATTGTATAGGTCGGTAGTGAGGCCAGCAATGTTATATGGGCCAGAATGTTCGGCAGTAGATAAGAAAACTGAACAGAGAATGAGTGTAGCGGAGATGAGAATGTTAAGATGGATGAGTGGAGTGACTAGGGAAGATAGATATAAGAAATGAATACATAAGGGGAAGTCTAGGAGTTGCATCAATTGTGAAGAAATGAAAGAGAGTAGGCTGAGATGGTTCGGTTATGTTATGAGAAGAGATAAAGGCAAAAGCTGTGAGAGGTGTTATGAAGATGAATGTAGAAGGAAAAAGAGGAAGGTCTTACTGCGCGAGTTTGAACAACCGACGATGTTATTCCAAATACAGACATGACGACAATCGCTCCTAGATAGTACACATAACCTTCGGAAAACCACACAACAAAGGAAAATGCCTGAAAGATGTACAGTGGATTGAGAACTTCCAGTCCTATCAGCGTCAATATACTTTGAGTGGGTATGTCAATTGTGTTTGGGCCATAAATAAAACGTCTGCAATTGAACATAAGTGAATAATTATTTATTTATCCGTTTTTTTTCTTGTGCATTTTTTTATTATATACCTTATAAACTGTTCTTGAACAGAATAACCTTTGAAATTGTGCAGCTGCGCTGTTGTCAGTCCTTTATCTAAACCAACAAGTTTTTGAAACAGACCTTGCGACTCGCACCAAACGTAACAAATTTTTTTTATATGAATCGCTCTGATTTGACATACATCTGAATTTCAAACGTTCAAATTGACATTATCAAACCGTTCGTTTTACGGTGGAAAATAAAAACTCACATACCTTGAAACGATCCGTCGTTCAAATGTATCCTAATCGATTTCACATCCGATCCTTTTTCGATTTCATCGTCTTTAATTGGTTCTAAGATATCTTTCGAGTAGGCCTCGTTATCGTAGACACTAAAAATGCAGTAAAATCAAAATGATCTATTCGAACAAAAAAGTGATTCGTTTTTTTACATATTATGATGGCTCACCCGATATTTTCGATAGATACATTTTTCACTTTTTTAACGAAGTACGACTTGTACATTCCTTCATAACTATCCTAGAAAATTAAAGTCAACCCGGTTAATTCGAGATCAGATTCACTTGAATCGCAGGCAATACAAATTACGCACAACAACCAGAACCCGTTCTGCTTTGCTGAGTGGACACTTTGTAAACATGGCGTACACAATCCAATGTGGATACCAATGGAACAACAATCGTATAAACCCCAAAGACAGAAAAATAAACATCCATGTTAGTATTGTCAACGGGACGCTTCGTTTGTAACCGAATATTATCTAAAATTACACTTGTACACAATTAAGATAGTAGTAATATATATATATATATATATATATCATTTACAATCTAACACCACATTCGAAGCCACCGAGTGCACTCGCATTCAATAAGAAATTGGTGTTTTGTTATGTGCCCTTTCAAGAAGGTACTTATTACTTAATACACCGCATCATATTGTATATTAGGCAGTAGACTTATATTATATGTCTATTGCCAAAAACAAATATTAAATACTAATAAATTATTATATTTTCCATTGTTTACCATTTCATCTTCCTCGTCGGCATTGAGTATTGCATTATATTTCACTGTCGATGCTCGTTTTGATTGGTAATCGAAGCCGTTCTGTTTAAAAACTGCCCCTATTTTACACAACAAAGAATATTATGTTTTTAAACAATAATTACCATATAACTATTTAGTTCGAATGGTACACGTTCAACTGAAAGTCATCGAGTGATACGCTAGTAGAGATGGACATCATTCGAATGTGTGTTTAATATTTTTCAATGAATATATTTTCGGTTGTAATAGTTAATTAGCGAAATATTATATATTTTAGGTAAAAAAGAAATGTTAAATGTTCAATCATGTATAATTTGTGTATTTGCGTATAAAAGTTAAAATATTGCAAGTATAAGGTGAATGTCTTTGTACAACAGACGATTAAAATCTTTAACTTATAAACCATTTTCGTGGACATAGAATGAACATTACTTTCAACACAATACACGTTATGTTAAGATGTTACTTGGCGGACCTTTCGGCTAAAAGTCGACAAATTAATAATTGTAAAGCTGAGTAAATGTATTTTACCTTGAGGGCAGTTTTCATTTGATGCCATAATCAGGAAATTTTAAAACCCCTAACGATCGTGTTAGTCTGATATTATTAACCGCCCAACGTACAGGCATTCACGAGCCGTTCCGGTACCGTCTGATTTGGTCTGCCACTGAGACCCTGTTCATAATAACAAACAAAACACACAATTATTACTGCCGTATGAGTAATCATTCTTAAAACTCAATATGTCAGCAATAATAATATAATATACAATAATATTTGTGTAAACCTACACACCGATGCTTATCAAAATTTACTCGATAACGGATGCTGCTGGCGCGAGCCGATAAATCACAATAGTCGTACATTGTTTTTTAAATCATTCCCTTAAGCGATTGTTTTAAACGTATGTTTTCGTTTAAGATTTTTTTTTCTTTTTTAAGAAGTCAAGCCACTTTCAAGGACTCGTAAAAATTATTTTACGACCGACGGACAATAAGAAAAAGGTACATGGAAAATTCAGTAGGTACACGCGAATGAGAATTGGGTATTTAAAAAATATTGTCTAACAACAGTAAAATAAAAAGTGTTACGACATACATATTTTTTTTGGTTATTACCGGAGGCTTGGATTTGCGGTATCGTGGAAAGTCTGGTAATTACCATATTATGTCAGTAGCTGTTTTCCAAAATGACTTATATATGACTCTACGTGTAACCGACAATTTAGTCTTCTATCTGAAAATAACCTAACCTATCCTGAGTTATTTACGTCGGTATACCACAAGTAATAATACAGTATTTTTGTTTGACTCGACATATTTTAATAAACAATAAATCTACCTCAAAGCGTTAAGTGAAAATATTACCAACATTAGTCAGTAACTCATTACAATATCCATAAAATATTAAGAATAAAAACCAGTAAGTCTTCAGAAACCTAACCTAGCCTAACCTAACTCGACCCTCGGGCTTCTCTATGGGGGCTACTCTTTCCCCCCTTGTTTATCGTCTTCCCATTTCGAGCGAAATCTGTAAAACATAGGCTGTATGTTTTTTGTATATTATGCACGTCCCTTTTGATGACGTCACGACTTGACCGTGAGCTGACGTCATCAAACGAGCCTTGACGGAATTCCGTCGTGCAAAATACAAACACTTTTAAGCTAATAATTAAAAACCGTAATGATTAGCTTACTCAAAAGAGTGGACCGCAGCTCCTACGAAACCGTCATCGTCGATTAATATTTATCATTATAACTATACTAAAAAAAAAAAAAATGTTTATACACCAATGATTATAAAAAAAACCTTTGTGAGAACCTAAATTGACAAAAATTAATATTACTGTTCGGTGTACATGAATAACCGACAGTAAATAATCCGCTTAAATGGTTGCACGGTGTTATATCCATTTTAATTAGGACAAGTACTCGTTGAATAAATCTCTATAGACAACAGCATGAGTTATTAATCTACTCTCAGACGTTATCACGTGGTATGTTTACACTTTACCAACGGGTAACTTATATCTTAGTTTTCTCTTCGAGTAGAACCGCATCAGAATTTGTTGTCATCATTTAGCTTGCACGTGTGACAAGAGAGCTTTGGAGTATGATAATATTTGCAAAATAAAAAAAACATTCACTATTTTATTAATTAACATCCACCAACATACTATTAATATCTCAAGTGTAATATTGTTTCACTCGTTTAAACATGGAATTCTTGTACAGGCAGTTTAGACATGGTAGACAAATAGAACCGCAGAATTGGGAAAAAAATAATTTAAGCAACGAATTAAAAAGCTAATGCAAAAATAATAAAAATACGTACTAGTTTAAACAAAAAGACACTATTATTTTATTGGAAAACGCACTGTTATTACTAATATCATTGAGTACAACGTATACTCAATGCTAACATTTAGAGTTTATTGGTGAAAAATGTAAACCAAAGTAATAAACAAAAAAGCTAGTACAGTGGGGTCGGGGCATATGGAGAGGTCATAGGTCTACAGAAATTATTATAACTGAAAGTGATAAAATCACTTTTAAATAAACGCTTCGATGCGAATCTGTGGGTAGATGTATAAACCACAAATAGCAACTAAAACTGACTACGGTCAAAGTGTAATTTTTCCCTATTTTTTGGTTTTTCCTTAATAAAAAAAATGCTTGGCTATAGCTTTTCGAGAAAATGTTATATGTTATAGCCCATTCTAGATCTACCTTTGGTCTAATTTTCATACATAAACCCCTTAAACTTTGAATGCAAAAGCGAAAGAAAGAATAAAATTCCACCCCTTATATGAGAAAGAGTGTACGATAATTATTTAGGTTGTCAACGTTTGTCGGTAGTACTATTTTTTAAGAATATTCTGTACAAGTTTGGAACTAATTGGACTATGTAGAAAAAATATATGAGCGCCGAAATTTTAAGTAGAAAAAAATGTGATTTTTTGGTCGTTTTTCTCGATTTTGATGGGGAAGGAATGAACTTTTTAAATTTTTAGTCTGACAAAGTATCTTACAGATGTGATTTTTGATCTTAAGAGCTGCTACACGAAGAAAACGGTTCAGTGGCTTAAAAAATATCGTGGGTACAGACACAAATAAATAGACATAAAATAAAAATACATCATTGTAAATACAATACCTTCTCAGCTATCGCATCGAAGCTAAAAGCATATTATTTAAGCTTACTAACCAAACCGACATTGAAATATACTATTAAGTGTACTTAAACAAGAAAAAACAATTCAGCTGTCACTACCATAGAATAATTAATTACTTTGACTAAATTAAATAATTCATTTTTAATTAAATTGAATGTAATTAGTTAATTTTATTAGTAATTTAAGTTTACCTAAATTATTTATTAATAACTCATAAAATCCTCCGGCCTAAGTCACATTAACTCTTAAAATATGGAATTTATTCTGAATTGTATTTTAAGTTTAAATTCATTGGCCCAAAAACAAATATAATTTGATATTTTTTTATGATTTTAAACAAAAGTTTATATATTTGAATTATTTCATTATGTTTAAATGAATAATACAACTAAAATTTGCGTTTATCTTTACCTTTGCTTTACGTTTAGAACATTTTTTATCAGTTTAAATTTTACTTCTGTTTTTATATGAAATACATCAATCCAAAACACCCACTGAATTCATTAGTTAGTACATATTTTTTCATATGGAATGAAATATCGGGTGAGTCTTTTAACGCTTTACACCAGTTATCTGTTCAAATATTTGATACTTATTATTTTGTAGTTTTTCTTTCTAAAAAACATTTTTGTTTTTGCTATACTAAAACATTGAATAACATTATAATTTTGATTTTTTTAGTATTTTCTAGAGCTTTATCAACTTTTTAAACTTAAGTAGTAACGTTATATTTGATTGACTTTTTTTAATTAAGGATAATTTACTGAAATGTTTGACTGGTCGGTAATCAGTTTTGAATAAATAGTTTTAGAGTTATTTAAGTTTAATATTTAAGATGGGAGGATGGGTGGAGTGTAGAGTTATTTTTAACACTGCACGCAATACTCATTCGCATTTCACCTCACGTTCTTTAATTTAAACTTAAATAACTGTAAAAATAACTACTCAAAACTGATTATCGACCAGTCAACGTTTTCAGTAAATATGTTACAATTTAAGTTCCAAAAGTCGATTAAGCTCTAGCAAATAATATTAAAAAATATACGCTATGCAAAATTGCAATAATTTTAATAGAGTGAACTAGTGTAGGACATTAAAAGAATCACCCGGTATATTTGGACGAGGGACTTTGTACACCGTTTGTATTAAAGTAATAATACTTTAACTTGGAAATTTGTTGAACGAATGTTATTATAAACATTTAGGTGTATTTTCAAGTAGTAAAATTAAATTGTGCTGAATGAAACGATGGCCTTTTGGGCAAAGTGTATAAACACTTGTGGACGAAGAGTGCGGTAAACCATTAGGTTTTTTTTTAAATAATAATAATATTGTAAAAAAAGCTATGAGATTTATGTGGGGGGGAAAAACAGTTACTCACAGTCGCTTGACTAGTAGATGTAAATGATTGTTGAACACCGGTTTTGCGATACTCCCAGGCACGATAATGGACACTAGTGGACATAGACTGATGAGTGGTCCAAGGTTTCGCTGTTGGATATGATAGTTTATGGTTCATTTTAATAAAAATTTGCATACTGCTATAATACGTCCACAACACAGCTGTATACTGTCGTGTGCGTAGATGTTAAATGAATAGTAATTAAGGCCATTAACAAGCTTCAGTGGTTGTTTTCTCTAATTAAGCCAAATCAAGGGCAAACTTTACGAATTTATTTTCCGTGGTACTACTTACCTTAGGGATCTTTCTTTCTTCGGATTCGTCGTCATGTAAAATAGTAAAAGTAGCGTCTCTGAAATAAAAAACAACACTACAATAATTAATCTTCCACGCTAATAGGTTTGTGATGTAGGTAGTGTATATATTATGACAGTTAATTTTATCTATAGCCGAAGGAACAGAACACCTCATTTCTAATTGTTTCAAAAAAATTAAAAAAATTCGTGCTGTGAAGGATTAATACTTTATTAATTCCACCTAACCGTAATGTGACCGACCACAGTGCTCTAATAAGGGTTTATACAGAATCAATAAATCCAGCATAAGTGGCAATACAGGTGCTATACACTATGAAACGGTCTCTCTATAATAGTCTCTATGACGCAGGTTAAGAAGTTCACAGTTTTTTATCTCTTTAATCCTAAAGAGGTAGGACTAGACAGATTATAAAATAAAGACGCTACTAAATCGTGTTCGATGGTGGAATATTATGGTGCGTTAATTTTGATCGTATTGGTCACATTTTATATATTATGAATTAATCATATCGATCATTTTTGTTCTATTATATCTCCAATATCCAAACTCACTTTTGAAATAACTTAAGAGTTGAAAATAAAATACTATCGACAGTAATTTGGGTTTGTTCGTTTTACTAAACAATTAAAACTATTTACATACCTACATTTTATTTTACATTATTAATTATTTAACACAAATTAATCCATTGAACGATTTTTTTTTTAATTTACATAATATTGAATCTTAAAAGTAAACGAATACATGTTGTCAAACCTTACCTAACCTAACCTAACCTGCCCAAACTGATGAAGCTTTAAACACTTAAAAAAAAAAATAATTCTATTCTAAATTTAGTACTTATCATTAAAATATTAAATTCCTTATAGCCTATTTTCTTAGTTGACAAAACTCACACAAAAATAAATCTATATAAACAGGTTTTTTTTTATCGTGGGCCACTCAATATCTCACTTGGTTTAATAAATTTTTTTTTTTTCATAAGAGTTAAGTACATTATTCTTAATTTAAAAAGTTAATGAAATGTATGCGTTACCATTTAAGTTACAAAAGTTGATATAAAAAAAAGCTAATTAGAGAGGGGCTAGGAACATAAAAGGTTGTGGAGAATTGAGATTACTTTACTTTATATGAAAACACTGTGAAAAAAAAGGTCAACTATTAATTAAACCAAATGCGAGTGGCCCACGATAAAAGAATCACCCTGTATAGGAATCACTGTTTTTTATCAATTTTTTTTAATACTTAACGTAAACACAATAAGTACCTTATTAATATGATAATGTTGCGTTTGAACTTGATCGACTCGTTGAACAGTAATATTTTTATTTCATCAACAGCGATTTTACCGACATAAAAAAACACAGGCCATGATTAAACCAAATTGATCTCAAAAATTAGTATCCATCTAATAGGTAAGTACATCGCACGTATCAAACGATCAAACGATTGAAGCCAACTACTATGTAGGTAGTAAAGTAATCGACACATAGCCTAAGCCAGCAACAATCGTGTCGACAGTTAATAATTGTACAAGGCCTAATATTGCCTTATCACTTGTTCCGAGGTATGCCAGAAATGTAAATGCTCTCATTAAGACGTTCTTTGTAGAATTTTGTAGGTTTATTTTTCCACTACACGTACCTTACTGACAGTGCACTTATGTCCGTTAACCGACACCATGAAAATCTCTACGGAGAAGACTGGGGGAAATATCATCACTCATCATATATTTTTTTAAAAAAACACTAGATAACAAATGGTTCTTTTGACATTTGTTCGTTTCACGACAATATTAAACAATAATCTAATTTTTCTGCGTTTTGTTTGGTTTTTTTTTTTTTAAATTGTTAAAAAATATATATTACAAGAAGGGACTTATGAGTGTTTATAGCACTTCTCGATTTTTACTATCTTTTATAATATGATATATTATATTTGTTGTACTAATTTACGGTGATATGATAATTTTTTTATTGGAACAGACCGAGTGGGCGTTGCACGTGCATTTTTACAGTATAAAAACACGAGTTGGCTTTCTGGTACAGCTCTTCCATAAATTATCTTACAGGAAAGTTACTTATACCGTCTGAAAGTTAAGAACTTTATCTGTGTCGCCTTGACGATTTTTTTTTAATGACGCAATTAGTTTTTTATTCAAATAAAGGTAAAAAAAGTTAAAAAAAAAAAAAAAATTTTAAGCACTCGTTTTGTTTTTAATAATAAAGTTACTATAAAATTCTCTCCTGTCAGAAAATGTTTGGAAGATCTGTATCGAGAAAAAGGAGACAGTTTTTCTATAACAATTTTTTTAAATCTCTGTCGAGGAAGCTGTGATAGTCCCAAATATCAACATAGAGTCCTAATTACTGAACTATTAATTACACATCACAGTTTAACCTTCAAGTTAAGATTTTATAAAAAATTGCCTTAATAAATGGGCGGAGTGGCGTCCTTATAACGTACCTTGTAGCATTGAGTGTACAATATTTATATTACATTCTTATAATAGAGTTTATTAGTAACTTTCATCCCACCATAAGACTGTACGTGTAAGTGAAAATATACACTAAAGCAAATTGTGTATTTTATTTCAAAACCATCAAACCTAATCTAACCTAACCACTAACCCAATACATCATAATAGGTATTATGTAAATCAGGGTGATTCATTATGAATAAAACACAATTTGTTTAATTAAAATTAACTACAGTTTAGTAGTTTTCCTTTTTGAAAACATTTTTGTTTAAATTATTTTACAATATGATACTACTATTAAATATTTACATTTTTTAGTACTTTCTAAAGCTATATCAGCTTTTGAAACTTAAATGATAAGACACTCATTTTTTTCCTAAAATTATCGCAATTATTTCCATACATTTTTTTTTGAAAAATACATTTTAACCGATGAATTCAAGCCCAGGTAAGTATAGTTATGATACTAATTTATAACTTTAATAATAACGCGTACTCTAACAAAAAAAATTTACTATGTAAGTATAATTTAATTAATTAATAATTTATTATTAATAGTTTCTAATAAAGTACCGCCTAACCAATTAAAGTTATCTAATAAATCTATACTATAATTCTATTGTTTTCCAACCACTCAAAAATATATTATTTTCTGTTGTCATTATTTTATCGCTGCTCTTTAGGGTGTTTCAATTGAGCTGTTCACGATAAAATTATCACCCTGTATGTATATATTAAACCTATTAAATCTAACATAGCCCAACTTTTGCCTTGGTTTTTTTTATACTGTCACAGTAATGGAAAGAATTTAGTATTGCTTCCCTTCGTGGGACCATCTTATCCTAACCGAACTTATCTAAATGTTTTTTATTGTACAACATTTCCTGATAACACCGATTGAAATACGTTATTGTCTCATAGGTAAACCTTGAAGACAGTGGTGTTTATTACAATTTCAATAGCTAACGCTCGTTCGCACGGTCAGTGAAGACAATATGTATGTACATTAATAATAAAAAAATTAAAACAATTCCCAGTTTGCATACGGTTTACGATCGCGTAATACATGTCATTTAGTCAGAAGCTAAACCGGCAGTTATTAATTATCTCCAATTAACAGTGGTCGTGACCCATGTAAAACGGTACACATATAACAAAATATTCTGCGTTTACACCATTGTAATTAGGTATACACGAACAGTTGGTGGAAATGTAACAATATTTTTTTTATAATATACGGCCTTTATTATACAATATTGGGCGAGATCCTTTTCCGCCAAAACAAGATTCAAATCAGTCGATGAATTAAGCGTAAGTAGCCCATTTCCAAAACTAATTATCCTCACTTTTTGAATTTTCGAGAAAATAAGAAAAAAATTGTTTACACAACTAGAGGTATAACATACAAATACTATTATTAATGGCCCTATACGTTATTTTATTTTTCCAATTATGTTCAAAATTTAAAAATTAAGCTAAGTGGAAATAATTTAATACAAATTTGTTATCAACTTGATAAACAATAAGTACTAATACTATAAATAGTATAAACTATACTAATGAGTATAATTATTTACCTGGTACTTTTCTTTAATAAAATAAAATTGTTTCTAACTTAAATATTAAAATAGCTTTTATGAAATCCGTTTTGTTGATAATATGTCCACAATATGTTTTGACTCAACAAACGTTTTATATTATAGTATGTTTATTACTGCTGATAATAACTTTTAAAAATAAACTTGTAAATTATCATTTTAGAAAATAAATATCATTAAAAGCTGATGGAATACTTAAGCCAGACAAGTTTTTTTTTTTAATCTTTGTCAATAACAAAATAATAATAAGTAATAACTAAAGCATTAAAAGTAGATATAACAGACAAATCATTTATATTGTTTTCTAATTTTAATATAATAACTTAATCATATTTTATTGTCTTAAGTCTTTAAAACTATTCATAATCCATTTAATAATACAATTTTTTTCTTGAAAAGACAAATGTAAAGTGTATAAAAAAGCCATAAAACGCAAAATATTTTTAAAACTTATCAAGACCATTTATAACAATCAAAAAGTTTAAAAATTAATAAAACACCCAGAATATGTAAATATGCACACATAATGAAACAATGTGGATTAAGGCAACACAATAAATAGTCACATAAATGTATGTTGTAGATAACTTGTATAATATACTAGTGTAAAATAAGGAAATCCGTGTTTATAAATATATTAGGAAATACATTTGAACTTTTGTGTTGTCTGGGCATCAATACATATTATAGCACGCTGTGTTTGCAATATTGTGCTTAATTCATCGACTACTTTGAATTCGATTTTATTTTTGGTAGAAAAGAGATTTGGACGTTATCTTTATACACTTACACACAATAAAGTAACGTTACATTATTAAATAATAACGATTGTTAAGCTTTGCAACTTATTAGATTAGCAAGATAGAAAATGAAAGGTAAAACAAAATGAAAACTCGTAATGTTAAAAAGAGATTGAAATAAGCCAATTAAATTGAAAGGCCGCAGCGTACGTTCAGTATGTTAACAGTAAAAAGCGGAGGCTGAATGTTTAGGGAAAAATAAGAAGTTAAATAGAGAGAGAGAGTGTTTTATTGGACAATGGCCGGGCAGGTTAAACAATATGGGAATAAATTATTAAACGATCGAAGTTTTAATGGCCAAGTCTGAGACGGTAGAGGAGGAAGTAACATTTCATTATTATTGTGTAGTTATTATTACTATTTGTCTTGGTTTAATCAACCCGTGAACGCGGTTGTCAATAGTATCGCGCGACAAAAATTAATAAACACAACTGTTCGTGTTTAATAATAAAATTGTTTTTTTAAATTCAACAGTTCTTGCCGTCATCGATTTTAGAACACCGAAAATCGTTGAAGATATTAACCCTATTTACCGGACACGAAGTTGAAGTAAGACACGCCGCAGCGTGGTCTAAAAATATCCAGTTTTAATTTTTAACATTTTTTTTGTTACTCTAACTGCTAGGTTAAAGTTGAGAGGTCACGTACTGTTATTTTTTACCTAAAAAAATACTCTATATTTAATCGGTAGAACTATGTCTCAAGAATATTCTTTACAAATTTAGACCTAATTGGACTATTTTTAAAAATATATGGAGCGCCGTAATTTTAAGTCGAAAAAAATGTCAATTTATCTGGTGTTTTTCTCGATTTTGAAGGGGAAGGGAGGAACTTTTTTAATTTTTAGTCTATCATAATTGATACCTTATTCTAATTAGATAGATCTAATTATTTCTGATCTTAAGAGCTGCTACACAAAGAAGTCGATTCAGTGGCTTAAAAGATATCGTGGGTACAGACACAAAAATAAAAATAATAAAACATCATACAGCTGCCACTACCATAGAATAATAAATTAATTATTTTGACTAAATGAAATAATTTTTTTTTTTAAATTAAATTTAATGTAATTATTTCATTTTATTAGTTTAACAATTTATATTTACATAATTGAAATTGTTCAGGAGAGCAAATTAATTTGTTTACTTTTAATAAGATTGTACTACAAAATGTTCATTGTAAATGTGAACATCGCAACAAATATAAATTTGAGATTTAAAGAACTTTTATAAAAATTAAAGCACATTTAATTCTCTACCAATTAGTACCAAAAAGTGCATTTTGAAAAAAGTGGACTTACAACAAGTTTGCACTAAGTTATTTTCGATGGTTTTTTTTGGATTCTAAACCACTGGGCACTGTGCGCCGTTAAGATTAACAATTAGGACTCGCGAATAAACGTTTTTTTCCAATAATAAGGCTTTGGTGATTAAATAATACTAATAATACTCATATTATTTATACTATTTAGATAACGGCATTTCCAGGGTGCATTTATTTGACTGGCTACTTATCTTGTTGACGATTATTATTTAAACGAAACGTTAAATACCACCAAAAACTACTAATCGACATTGTCGTTTGGAGCGACGAATAAGAAATTAAAAATATATATATTCCTAAGTTTCATTCTTTTTAGTTGTATAATAAATAAATTTTAACTCACCGTTCAGAAGTAGGTCGATTGGATTGGATTTGTGACGTTATACGAAGGTAGTTGTTTACATTCGGCAATCACAGCTAGTCTTATAACTTTCACTTACAAATATTGTATGCAGAACTTTCTCTGAAAATAATTATCCACTTTTGAACAACTTAAACGGTAACTAATTTGGCTGGCCCGTACACGCTTACCATGGCGTCCAAACGTTAACGATTAAAAAAAAAAAATTTTCAGAACTGCCGGTAGCGACCAGTGGACATTTACTAATTTTAAACGACAACAAAAAAATTATATCATAATTTACGTTACCGTTTAAGTGTTTGTAAACGACAACAGAACTCTGAAATCGACCAAAATAAAAAAAATGAGCGAAAACCGGTACCCAGTTGTTGTTACATAATTCGAATATTTTATAAATACTTTGAAAGCGGTCGCATATTTTGTTTTGTTTTTACTAATGACGTCATACAGCCAATTTTCCAACGTTAAAACGTGCCTATGGAAAATGCTTTTTAATCGCTCCGTGATGATTTTAAAGCAAACAAATATCCCTATAACAAAAACGAAAGATAAGATTTTGAAGATAATGTCATAATAATATCCTTTACAAACATGCCGTGATAGGGCGAAAAACACAAATTAACTAACAAAAAATGTTCGATCTTATTACTAAACTACACGTTACAGTTCAAGGTTACAGTTAAGATTTTGCAAAAAATTCCTAAATAAATAGGTAGGCCAGGTTAACGCGACTGTTAGTTAGGGTCGTAAACAGTGTTGCAAACTGAGTTGAAGTAAAATTCCCCAGATTATTATTAAAAAATCCCTTGATACGATACAATATTCCTAAATACACATACCTATATTTTTTTGTAGATTTTGTTGTACTTGATAGCTATTTTTCAATCGTTACTTTAAAGTCTGTATAGTAAAATGAAAAAAAATGTGATTATATTATTTGTATTATGCCGTTTGCCGGGGTCCTAATTATCACAACAGTTAACTACGATAAACATTAGTTAGATTTTACAACAAAGTTAATTTGCATTACATTTCCAATTGCATACGTTTTAGGAAAAAAATTCCTATATACCTATAGGCAATATTCTAATTCCCTAAATATATAGGGATAAATCGCCCTAGGGTTGGCAACACGCTGGTCGTAAAGGCGAAAAACGTTTTGCAAAAGTCGTTATCTAAACTATAAATAACGAATATGACAACATACCTGGTAAATGGTTAACCACTATCGACCGCCGTTACCCAGCGTGCGGTCACTATAATGTTATTATCATCACACCGTGTCACAAATTGTTATTGCAGTGGAGACGTTTCACGCGTACCGGCCGTGCGGCGACAACGCGGTTTCACCGTCGACCGCGGCCAAGCTCGGTACCTGTTTGCTGCACATGTTTGTTATCAGCGTGGCGTCGGCTTTGATTAAACTCTGCTTGCATTTGTACCGGCGGCGGTTGACGTTCGCCAAAGATTCGGATTATGTCAAATACGAAGCCGTCCGCATCTTTGTCGAAACGGTCAAGATCACCGAGCACTACTGTTACGTGATGGCCATCCGCATTGGTGTGGTAAACCGACAAGGCAAACTTGGGAATTCCGGCGGGGAAGGGGAGGGGGTGCTTAACTGGCTTAAGGCGATATGGTAGTTTAGATTGCTAACTTTCTTCATTTTCATCCCCAAGGCTTTTTAAACTTTTTTTTGAATGAAAGAACTGATAAATAATTATTTGATAAGATATGAGATATAAGAGATAAGATATTATGTATTAATGATAAGAGAATAGAGATAAGAGATTAGGTACTCCTAATTAGGATATTTAAGGATATAAGGATAGTCAAATGAATTTGTTAATTAGGCACTTACTTACTGGCGAACAACGGAAATTGATTTATGAGAAATGTTAAATATTGATAAATATAGCCAGTATATTGATTAAGGGGATTGCACGCGGTTGGTTTTTAAGGAGTTTTGTAAAGGCAATATTTAAGAAAAAAGTGGTTTTAATAAATTTCGATCATATCAATTAATTTACCGGTTAATTTGTATAAGCTTCATGGTATTATTTTTAATTTAAATTATTTTGTCTATGAGTAAAAACCATTTTAGTTAATATAACATACATTTTTTGTTCCATCGCACAGGCTGAACCAGTGATCCGATAAGTAATCTGAAAGCCGATTTGAATTCGTCATGAAGTTTACTCATGTCAGAGTACTTTTTTGATATCTTATTCCTACTATGTATAAAATACGTTTGAACATTATGTAAAATTTCAAATTTGAAAAGGGTTAAAATTAAAAATTGAAAAAAGTACCCTGACCGATCATAAGTAAACTTCATGGCGAATTCGAATCTGTTTTTAGATTGCTTATCGGGTTATCTCATGTTATCGGGTTATCTTATCACTGGTTCGGTCTATGCAATGGAATAAAAATGATGTGTTTTGACTGAAAAAACCGACCGCATGCAATCCCCTTAACGTCAGATATTATAAAACTCTTAATAGATACTCTTAATTTTATATAATGTAGATATATTATAGTGATCGGTGGGAATTAATTTAGGGAACAAAATGTAAGTCCGACCGACTGATTGGTAACCGAGTAAACTCAGTTAAACGAGGATATGTCCTGATAGTTATACGATTATTTCCGATCTATAATCTCCTTGCGATATATAATGATGAGTATAGTCCTAGTTCTGGCCAAACGTTTTCTAGTAGTTTCATAATATCCGGCCTTAATCGAATTACTGGCAACATTTATCAAATACTCAAAATTTCTCATAAATCAATTTCCGTGGTTCGCCGGTAAGTAAGTGCTTACCTAACAAATTAATTTGACTATCCTTATATATATCCTGCAACTGGATGTATCTGCATGAAGTGTGGATACATCTTTTATACAATTTTATAAACTATAAAATTATAAAAAAGAAATTACATTTGTTTCTTCTCCTCAGTGCTCAGGCTGGATATACCCGGCAAGACCGTAGTAGTGTTCCTGTTGAGACTGCTGTTCAACTATTGGATGAAGTTAACGACCAAATCGTGCGCCTACCACGTGTTCCACACTAACTTGATATTCGTCGTGTACCATTCGAGTCCGCTGCTGATGACCAATGTCTATGACAAGGTCCGCCGATGGTCGTGAGTGAATTTTAAACAAATACTTACTGGTTATGCCGACACGGTTTTCCGATTAGGAGGTTCTCATTGTGGTACAAGATAAAATTATATCACTGAAAAAATCTCAAAAACTGCCACGCAGATAGGAAAAAAAATAGACCGAGACGGTTAGGTTAGGTTTAGACATATAGAAAGATTAGTAAAGTGCAACTTACATACAAGACATAGAGGTTTGTGGAATAGACTAAGAAATGTTAACGAACTAAGATAGTAGACGGTCAGCATTTGGTTAAACTACTCAAAATAATTGGACATGGAGGGGAAGCAAATGTTACAAGAAGTCAAACTGACTAAGAGAAAATATACCTGAAAAACATTTTAAAAAGTCTTCTACCGAAAGTGTTTTTGAGCTAAATTCCACCTTTTACCTTAATTCGAATCACACAATGGAATCAGCAAAAGGCTCAGCGGTCAGAGCACTTGCATGCTAGATGTCTTTTGTTTAAATTCTGCCCTTCTATATCAACTAAACTTTTCCTATCTAGTTTTACTAAATTTTTTTGTGTAAATTTAAAAATTGAACATTATTTGCCAACACTTCCATTTTTAGGGAGGTTTTTTTAACGATGTTAGAGGAAAAGGGGCGAACTTTATCAGCTATGCAGCCATCATAGTATCAATCGAAGAAAAATGGCAAAAAATAGTAATACCACCGGTTGCTTCTAGTAAGGGCAGTAAGGGCACCACTAATTATTAGGACTTATCGACGTACATACTTTTCCATGTCTGTTGAAATCTATAGACTATAAACTACATTGTATCTATTGAATATGATGGTATATAAATATGTAAGTTTTGAACGACGTTATTGTAGTAGGGATAAGTTGCGCTGTTCGGTACGAATGTGCGACAGTGATGATAATACAAACGAGTCATCGAGACAGTGCCAACTCATCGTCGAAAAGAACGTTTTGCGAGGAATTGAGATTTTGAAAAAAGTGTTCATCCTGATCCTGGCCAGCTACTTGAGCAACAGGTAAATTTAGTATTAATTTATCTTTACAAAATATATAAATCGGGCAAGGGCAAGGCCATAATAATTATTTTCTGTTTTTGTCAGAATAATGTTGACATTGTGGACAAGTAATGTTATGTGCACACGAGAAGTATTTTTGGAGGCTCGTTGCAATGGTCACATGAAGGTTCCTAAAAGTGAATTGTACAAGTGGTTTGGCGGACAAACGAGTTACATTATTATTTAATTTCGTGTTACAGATTAACAGCACGTTTAAGGCGGCCACAACCGAAGCGGTTATTACCATTGTTTTCTTGGCCGTGCAACTGATTTTCGGAAACATAACCAAATGCTTTACCGCTAAATACTTGGTGAAAACAACCATAATAATGATTATTAATTTGATCGGTACGCACACTTGAGAGAGCATAATATAAACATGATTGATCGCTTTTGTCAATTTCCACAGCCCGTCCAGTTTATCTTCTTACGTCCGTAAGCTCTTTAACTTGTCTATAAACTGGACGGACGATGCACAGTAAACGTCCTTTCCCCACCCCCCCCCCCCCTCTTCTAAATTGTATTTTTCATCCTTTTTGAGGTTAGGTCAGAATTCTTGGGACGAAATCCCTTGTTGTTTTTACTATGAATGGGAATAAGGGTTCATAGGGTTAGGATTGGATTTTCAGAAACATATTATTATAATTATTAGTTTTGTACACATTTTGAAATGTCAGCGTTTTAAGTAGTTTTTACGCACTATATTTAAATAATGACTAGGTAATAGTTTTACAATTAACTTCAGTCTATGATTTAATTAGAAGGTAAGTGTGACCAGAAAAACGTGAAAAACACTCAAATACTCTAAAGGTCGTAAAATTAGACTCAACTTAGATCTGTATTGGGATTTGAGACTAATATATCTATTTTTTCTTAAAAATCTGTAATCGAACTTGTATTAGGGAAAACCAAAGGTATCAAGGAATAATTCCTGAAAACCTTCGACCCCACGACTTATGGCACATTTAGTTTCGGACCCTACAAATCTAAAAATAAAAACTATTTTTTAGGCACAGGCACTCTGGACATTAATTGTTGGATGTGTTTAGCCTTCAGGTGTGTCGGTGCTCTGATGAACCCCACGTACGCCACGGCCGGAATGTATGGATGCCAGGGAATGATTAACAGACAGCATTTCATAGTGTACTGGATAGGACCACTGGTCGGGGCTGTTGTCTTCGGAGACATCGTTAAAGCGACTCAATGCTTGTACAAAACGGTCACGTCTAAACTGGGGATAACGTGGAAATTTCCATGCCCGTTAATGTCAAACGACAGGAACGATTAAACGACGAGTCACAAGTCCACCATTCGAATCCAACGCCAATATCTGATTAAAAAAATTCATAGTAAAAGCAGAGGCGTTATTTCTGTATTTGAATGGAGAGGGCCAAACGTTTTGACCTACCCATAAAATTGAAAAACCAATTTACTTGCAATCCCTCAAAAAAAAATCCAAACTTATCCCAATGGTCATTGTTTGCAAATAGCATACTTTGACAATGTGTCTCGATTTGAATGTAAAAAACATTCATAGAAAATTAAGTTTAGGTCCGCCACAACAAATGGGTTTATCGAAGCTCTGAGTTCTGACTTCTGAATCACAACGTCGCAGCTCAAGTCGATGAATAAAAAATTTATAAGAATACAAACCTTCCCAAAAAAAAAAAAATCAATAATTACTAATTGTGCTTCACTCGCAGACCTTTGACGCTTTCCTATCTAAGTATTGAATAATTTTTATAATTAAAACACATTTTATTGTATTTTGTTGAAACATAACATTTTACACCAACATTAATTTCCTTTCAAGAACCAGATTTAGATCTGGTTATAAGTAGGTTTTAACTTTTAATCCAGATCTGGATCTTGATCTAGATCTTAATCAATATTCTATGTCTGAGTCTTGAAAGGGATCTAAATCTGAATACAGATCATCTAGCTCTGGATCTCTTTTTGGGTTGCTTCCTTGCCATCTCCATTGGACGAATTTGTATATAGGAAACAAGCCGCGGCAATATTCTTCAACAATTTCACTGAATAGTTCCAAATTTATGTGTTCTAAAAATAAATAAATAATATATACATAATTGGTAGACACTACGCGCTCTACTTTAACTTAACTTGTTATAAGTTACTTAATTTTCATTACTTTTCAAAGTAACAAAATTACAAGTCATCTTTATACACACTCTGTTCTTTTCGACCTACGATGACTATAGACTAAATTAAAAAATTAATAGTTAATAGTCATCAACGAAACGCAATATCAATTTTTCAACCTAATATACAGTAGGTATTTGATTGATAGTATTTAATACTGTAACCATTAATTTTAATTTCGATGCAGAGATAAAAAGATACTAAAATAAATACCTAAAATTAAAAGATAACGAAGTACAGTTAATAGTTACCTCGTGTATCAGCGTCAATGTTTTTTGCGTTCAAGTAGTTAGTAGTCTTAGTTACAACTGTATAGAAGCCACCAAAATACTTTAAAAGATCTTTTAATGCGATATCTGGTTTAAGTTCTTCTAAATTATAATCTTTCCTCACTTGTTTTCTAGCGTCAAGAAAACATCGTTTTAGCCACTGAAATATATATATTTTTGTTAGTATTATTATATACGAATATATATTTTTTTTAATGTTTTTAAAAATTGATTTATAAAATATCTATTATACTTTTCCGGTTAGCGGGTACCTTTATTTTATAAATTTTAATTAATTAATTGACTAAAATTGAAAAAAATAACTTGTAGGGGCGTTAGGCCGGTGTCAATAAGTTTCCTATTTCCATTGTACAACTTTAATTACTACAAAAAGTAAGTACTTAGGGTAATGTAAACACTTCACATAATTTTGTTTTTAATATTTTAGTTTTAAATCTTATTGTAAAGATGATTAAAAATTTAAAAAGTTACAAGACTTAGTATTATTACTTAAATGTATTAATAACAGAAACAGGGTAAAGTACGTTTTTGAGATTTCGCGTCTGTCTGTGTTTGTCAGTGGTCCGAGAATGAAATTTAGGTGGCAAAAATAGGCTTTTATAAATGTTAGTCAAATCACTTTTTCTTTCCAGAATCTCATTAGTATATGATAAAAAGTTTAAATATAAAATTTCAACTTGACAACATTTTTTGAACCGGACAAATTTTGTTTTTTCTATTATTTTGAAAATAAAAATGCCAAAACTTCATTAATTTTTTTGGTTATTGAAATGTATATGAAAAATAAACAATTTATTTTGTAAGTTATTTATTAAAATCATATTTTTTTTTATTAAGTCCTTAACGGTTATAAAACGTAAAAAAAACAAACGTTTGTGTGTTTTTTTAAGTGGTCTATTATTGCCACCTAAATTTTATTCTCAGACCGCTGTGCGACGCAGCGCGTTTTTTAAATGTTAAAAGGAATTCAAAAAAGGTACTCGGTAAAGTAGATTTGTTCCAAATTTTTATAAGTTACACTTTAGAACAATATTGTGATACAAGTCCAGAGAACGACAATATTCGTAAATGTTTTATAAATGTTATATTTAAATAAATTCACGAATAGAAAATAAACAGTTATTCCATTATTCATTCATTCATTCATTCATTTAGTCATGATTTATTAACGGTTATTCACAATAATTAAGGTTTAGATAAATTATTTATATTTTCACATTTAAATATACGTCTTAAATTATTTATATAAATAAAATTAAATAAATTATGCATAATATTATGTATAGAAATGAGGAAAAACCTGCCAATATTGTAAAAACGAACGATCAAGTGTTATTGTCTGAAAACATTTTAAATACTTACTTGTTTCTGGGTAAGTTGAAGTCCACCCTCCTGTATATAATAGAAAAATTGTACAATCAAGACGTGTCATTGTCTGAGAAAATAAAAAAAATACTTACATCGCCCTCGGTTGGTAATGGGGCCGAACTTGACGGTCCACCCGACGGTAAATTCAGGTCAGGTTTTGGGTCCAACCTCGGTGGTTTGCCCAATACATGGTTAGTAAGTAAAAAGTTCGATACTAACAAAATGGTGTACATTAATAACATTTTTTATTAGTGCTCGAGTTTGACTCGACGACAAAAAGAATGACTCGTTCTCTCTAAAACTGTTGGTTTTATAGTGAGTTTAAAAAAAAAACAGCTATCGCTAAAATAAATCTTTTTGAACAGAAATATATATTACAAATTTATACTGTAGAACAAATCAAACAGTAAATTTCATTAAATCGATATTGTATGTGTTTAATTAGATGTGAAGCGAACAGAGAATATTATTTACTTTCACAAACAAGTGTTTTTTTTTTTTTGTATAATACAATTTTTAGGCTCGACGTCAACCAAGAATGTTTGTGTGACTCTTTATGCTTAACCTCCTCTCCCCTCCCTTCACCCAAGTATCTTCTTTAATTAAATCATCGGAATAAGATATTTTATTTAAGGCTAGTTTTTTAGTTAATTAATTATAATAAATTTTAATATATGTATATTTAGATGGCTATTTATTTTTTTAACATAATATACGGGAAATATATACATATTTTAATAATAAATAACAATCAACCATTTTATCAAACGTGGAAATTCCCATGTCCGTTAATGTCAAACGACAGGAACGATTAAACGACGAGTCACAAGTCCACCATTCGAATCCAACGCCAATATCTGATTAAAAAAAATTATAGTAAAAGCAGAGGCGTTATTTCTGTATTTGAATGGAGAGGGCCAAACGTTTTGACCGGCCTATACAATTGAAAAAACAAATTACTTGCAGTCCCCCAAAAAAAATCCAAACGTATCCCAATGGTCATTCTTTGCATACAGCATTCTTTGACAATGTGTCTCGAGTTGAATGTAAAAAACATTCATAGAAAATTAAGTTTAGGTCCGCCACAACAAATGGGTTTATCGAAGCTCTGAATTACAACGTCACAGTTTAAGTAGATGAATAAAAAATATATAAGATTTCACACTCTACCAAAAAAAAAATAATAATAATAATAAATAAATACTAACTGTGCTTCACTAGCAGACCTTTTACGCTTTCCTATCTAAGTATTGATTATCTCTCCGAGTTGCTAAGCCAACTGAAGCCAGTGTTTTTAACTTTGGCGATTGCTTGTTTAAGTTACCTACATAATATAGTGTCACAATGGATGACGTATTAACTTCAAAAGAAATTACAAATTTCAAAGACATATTCGAACGGACTTTATTGAAAATATCATTACTCGAATCGTTGTACAACACAGACGACACGGTTGATACTATCAAATCTTTTTTCCAAACGACTATTAACAATTTAAGTTCATTTAGATCTTCAATAACATGTCACGATCTACGTTGGGAACCAAACGATGATAGTCGAGGTCCAATAAAACACAATGAAAATCATAATAAAAACAACGAACACACAAATACTCTTGAAAAAAAAATCAAGCAACTGAAACGAAAAGAATTGCAAGTCGACGCAGCGATTGAAAAAGACACAGTAAGTTGAAATTGAAACTGCTTAACTAGAAAATTTTAAGTAGGTTTCAAACACTTATTCGTACTTACACTGTCTTATTGTCTACAAATTCAGCAATTTTTTAAAAGACTAACCGGTAAAAATGTCTCAACTTATGCAATTAGCTTGCACGCATAGAAATAAGTCTTATACGATCAAAGATAGACACACATTAGTAATGAATCATTTCACTGTCCATTTTCTTACACGACTAATCCCAGCTACTTAAATATCTCTACTCTGATTACAACTTGCACGCTAACAACAGCTTACGGGGCTATTGTCTAAAAATTTCTCATTGCTAACTATTATGCAAAAATTCTAATTTTAAGCATGACTGTTGTATTCGTGATGCCTTCGTCCACTCCGCCCATTTTTAAACGGGTAAAGTAAAGGTAATATTTTACAAAATCCCAATTTAGAGTTTGAACATTAGTGTATACTTATTGATACAGCGATGAGGATACATTAGTGATTGCCATTTTTTTTTTAGTCAGGCTATCACAGTCATTTATTATCTATATTCTATAGGATAAATTACAATTTTTTTCCCATCAAAACTGACAAGTATTCGAGGCCTGTATCTGTACTAGCAGTTGAAAAAGACATCCATAGTCGTTTAAACACAGTCAAAATATCGTCGAATGGAATCTTTGAAAAAAAATCAACAATATTTCAATATTTTATGACTATTATTATTTTTTTATGTAAATAACAAACGACATGTTTTATTAGTCTATGATGTTTACTAAGACAAATTTTGTCGTACGGTATATAGGCAGTTTTGTGAGAGTTTTCAGTAACACACTGCTATATTCAGTAATTGTAGTTTTTTGTGTATGGATCACACAAGTAGTAGGTACGTTTTCAATCAAATTGTAAATGTTAAATCTAAACGATTTAGAATATACGAAAGTGATTTCAATTTTAATCGCGTTTTCCAAATTATAAACGTGCAAAACGTTAAGCTACCACTAATGAAATATTACATGGAAGACATAAGCGATAATTTGTTCAATATGGGTTCCCGCAATGACCGGCTACGGGCCACACTACCTTTATAATATATCCATTGTAGCTTTCAAACAGTATTGACATTTTATGTCTACTTTGGAAAATCGTCAGTTTTTATCATAATGAAAATTTCTAAAGATTAATCTGATAAGATAATAGATAAGAGATGGAGTGTGGATAGGGTGGGGATGTTTATTTTTATTTTAACATCTCATTCAGACGGACTTTATTTTCCACATAAAAAATAGTTACCGGTAAATTGAAATGATACAAATTCTTTTAATTATGCAATGTTAAAATATATGTTATAAGTTATAACTACACCAAGATTAAATCTTTGAAAATAATTAGTTTGGAATTAAATGATACAATAAAATGTATAATAATAGTCAAAAACTTGTTACTATATAACTGTCATAAGACCCTTGGTAATTATTAAGATGTGAATGCGCTTATAAAAAATACACCGAAGTATATCTAGAATTGATTTACACGTTATGTAATGGAAACTAGGTATAACAATGGAAAAAAAGGACATAAACTAGAAATTATAAACATCTCCAAACAGTAAAAAAAAAACAACTATTGTACATGAAAAGTCGTATCTAGGTTTAGTAAAATAACTAGTAAAATTTGCAATTTCTTAATAAACTTTTGCCAGGTGCAAGGAGAAAAAAACACAATACGAAGGGAAACGGAAAAACTCTATGTGGACAAATGGGAACATTCTCGAATAGAGCATTTCAAGATGAAATTTACCTTGGACGAATTGGAACTCGAGAAAAAAATCTCAGAAGCCCGGAACAAACTCAAAACGGAAACGTTGGTCGACAAGGAAACTAAGTCGTTTTTAGACCACAGTACAACCGTGAGAATGATGTTTAACCCTTGACTTGGCCGGTGTATCTTTAAAGATACACAAAATTGTTTTCAAAAACCATGTTAAAATAAATTATTTAGTCACTTATTTAGTAATTTAAGTCATAAATCGCATGTGTCCAAAAAGATACATTACCCTTTTTTTTCATTTTCATACCTGTATCCAAAAAGTTACATTGCTCCAATAGTAAAATACTTAACATTCTATAAAAATTAATAAATAATTAAATTAATTGTTTCGTTCTAATAGGTATTTATTATTTTATTGCGGTAAACAAAATACCTATTTTTTAAATAGCATTTTTAACTTATTTTCATTTTAAAAAAATGTCCTAAAATCAAATTTTTTCTTAATTAATACAAATAAACATACTTTTATACATAGATTAAGGAAAAATACCTACTCTACGTAAATTATAAAATACTATTTAAAATGTTTTTTTTATCTTAATAAGTATATGAGGCAGTGTATCTTTAAAGATACAACTATTGAATTAGTCAAATGGGATGTTATGTATCCATCATAGAGTAATAATATAAAGAGATAAACCAACATATAGTAGCTTGTATGCTAGAGCGAAGTAAACAGTAGGACTAAAACCAGTATGACCACATAAAGGAAAAAAAAAGTCTTTATTGTTGAACAAATAAAACAACCAAGAATTATTGTTAAAAAAAAAAACCCCCGTCAAAAATGAATTCTACGCGGTTAATTAGTAAAAATAAACTGAACATGGTTTGGAATTTTCGTGTGTATTTTTATTTCTGCCAAGTTTAGGGTTAAAAACAAAACAAAATCAATACAAATTTGTTTCAACTAAAAAATTGAGGAATTTATAAAAAAAAACTACTTGCCGTAGGAACTGAAAAATCAAATCGAATATTGGCAAAGTAAAAGTACTTTGGACGTCGTCCGAATAAACGAAAGACTTGATGAACTGACGGAAAATCTTAAAACAAAAACCGATCAAGTGTGGCGTTTAAAAATGACGGTAAGTGCACTTTTTTTATTTTTTTACTTAAAACGTGTATCACTAAGATACACCGCCTCGTAGACCTATTAAGATGAAAATTAATTAAACAGTTTTAAATAGTATTTTATGATTTACATAGAATAGGTAAGTATTAAAGTCTTTAAAGTGTGTATATAAGTATGTTTATTTGTATTAATTAAGAAAAACATGTTTTTAGGACATTCCTTAAAAAGACGATAAGTCAAAAATGCACCTGCATTTAAAAAATAGGTATTTTATTTACCGCGATAAAACAATAAATACCTATTAGAACAAAACAATTAAAGTATATCTAAGTATTTATTATTTTTATAAAAAATGTTAAATATTTTACTATTAGGGCAATGTATCTTTTTGGATACAAACAATAGATCTGGTGTACGAAGCATAGTATATTTTAGGATACATGGAGATTTTATACTTAAATAACTAAATATGTAATTGACTCATAGTTACACATCTTGAGTATATATCAATAGTTAAAAATTCAATGAAAATATTTTCAAACACCAGTTCGACTGTCGACTTATTACACATTTTTTTTTTGGGGGGGTGAGGGAAATTCCTAATAAAAATAAAAATTTGAATAAAACATTAAGTACACTTAAGAAAATTGTACATGTTTTAACGAGTGTTACTTAGGCAATATTTAAAAAAACACATATAGTGGAACTTGTATTAAAAAATATACAGACTTGTTTTTATTTAATTGTCACAGTTTTGTCGTTGTTAACGTTTCAGTTTAACGAAAGGCAAACGATTATCGAAGAATCCGTTGAAGCCAAAAGGAAATTGGAAGAAGAGAAAAGACTCGACCAACACAGAGAAAGAATGGCGATAAAAATCCAAGCCTGGTGGAGAGGCACCATGGTCAGACGTCGCTTGGGACAGTACAAACATCTCTTGGGGCCTAGAAAAAAAAGCATTAAAAAACCAGCAGCAAGGGGGAAAAAAAATAAAAAATAAATCGACCACCGTCTACACCAGACGTTAATAATATTATTTATCATTTAATAGATCATCTTAGGCCAAAAGCCGCTCAAGTGCAAAGCCTTAATAGACAGGAACCTACTACATTTTTTAGTTTGATGCATATTATAAAAAAAAACAACTTCCAATTTTTATTAGATAGAAGTTGAACAAAAACGTTAAATATATATATTTAATAAATTTAGGAACCATTCTACTAGAAGCCATGTTTTGTAAATCCATGTATTATCAAAGTAGTAAATGGGGGCACAAAAATGCCTATAGCTATTACTATCATCAAAATGGGTAAACTAGTCTTGACTTGTAATTAAAAAATAATACAATTTTTGTAATAAAAGGACAGCTTTGCGTCTAAGAAATAAAACATTGTTGTATTTACACACTTACTAATTTTTTTTAAACAAAACATAAAAAAAAAAAAAAACAAAATATTTGGTTACCTTGCTAAAACAATTTCGTTTTATTTTAATTTACTTAATATATATGTATTTATAACTATAAACTATAAATATAACTTTAACTTAACAAACATAATAATCTACTTAACAATTACTTAAAAGACTAATTAACTCATCATCAACATAACTTTTTTAGTATTTACAATAGGATACAAAAAAAAAAAAATGAATACCGGTACTTCAGAGATCACTGATTATTCACAAAAAAAAAAAAAAAAAATTCTGCTTCAATAGCATCTCACCCCGTTCTCTCTCACTATCACTTTTAAATATTATAGTTCTTTTTTTTTTTTTAATTATCATTATTACTATTATTTACATGGCAGTATCGAGAAAGTCCTATTTTAGTCGTAGATACATTTTTTCAGTCATTTTACGTTGGCGATTTGCATAACGCCCAAGTTAGTATTGACAAATTGAGAAGAAGTAAATTTTGAAAAAGACCAAACTTATACATACATAATATGAACTATTTTTTAAAACACATATACATATTATTATTTATATCTTAGAATATTGACAGCGGTAGATTTAACTTGAAAATTTAATATATATTTAACTAGATCGGATCACTCCATCGTGGGTCATGGGCCACAATGTCTGTGTGTGTTTTGAATTTATGCAATACTATAAGATATTATTTGGGGGGGGGGAATGTTTTATTTTAAAAAATAATTAACAGGGGGATATATTTGATTTTATTAAGCGTCACCGGACAAAAACCGATGGCCTGAAAATTACTTAAAAAAAAGTTCTTTTTACAGTTACGTTAAACTGTGTGTGCATCATATATAATATGTTTATATGATATTGTATTATTACCACAAGATAATAATTCTAGTCTGAACCGCTCGTAAAACGAAAAAAAATCAATTGGAGTAAGTAGGCTACAATAATTTTGTTTTTAGACGTACCGAACAATTTCAAATATTATTATACGATATTGTACATAGATATTATAAATGTTTATAATTTAACTCACTCTCCAAATAAAAATATTATTAACCTACTAAATATATATCTAGTCATGACAGCAGATAAAAAATAAACTATGCCAACTTTCTTTTTTTTTTACATTATTTCAGCAAAATGTATTGTTTTGTCAGTAATAGTTTACTTGTCTCACCACGGTTATATATTGATGTTTTAAATTTTAATTATTTATGTTAACAACGATAAAACAAAATTATCTATATATATATATAAATTTATATATATATATACATATATATACAAACATAAATTCCCCCCAGGCGTGTTTGAGCAAATTTTACCGGAGATTTTAAAGTACAAATGGTGTCTAGACAATGTTGATTTACATTTTTTTTTTTTCATTCAATATATCATATCACAGTAAAATAGCCTTTTTTTTTCTCGTCAGAAGAGGGTCGAAAATTCGCATCTTTTTTTCCTACATATATGTGTATATATATATATATATACTATGTGTTTATTAATTATTAATAAATAACAATTTTGAACACAGAAGGGCGAAATATGTTTAAGAGTATAAATATAAATATATTTTGTTTTTTCTTTTCTAACCAGCAAGACTGCCAATTTTTCTGAGCTTAAGAAAGATAATTAAGTTAAATAATACTATGAAAAATAAACAAAAAAAAGTGTAGGAATAGCTGAATGGGCTATAAACAGTCTTGTTTGGGGCTATTTGACTTTGATCGCGTACGAAAGCGGCAATTTCTTTTTTATTTTCTTTGCGTTTTATTGTATAGTCATTGACCTCATGTCAGAACACATTCCTTCTACCTGAGGAGCGCTCATGTCACCTCCGGCTAACGGATCTGCGCGACTATCTTCACTGCTGGACACTTCGGGATTGTCGGCGTGATCGGTGTTGTATCGGTTTATCCTGTTTCCTTTGTAAGACTGAAAGAAAGAAAAAAAATGTTCATAAGTATCTCGTTGTCAGTGGCGTTGTCGTAAGGTAGGTACTCACACTGTAGTTCTTTTTATTGTTTTGGTAGTTGTTGCTGTTATTGTATCTGGCGCCGCCGCCACCTCTGTTGAACATTTGCTGATGTCCGTTAGTGGGACGTATATTACCCTGAGCTGGATAAGGATAGTTTGGATTTAACATCACCTGAGGAACAGTAGGATAGTGTACTTTAGGAAACCGGTGACGATAGCCAGTGTTAGGAACATAAAATTGGTTAGCATAGGACGAGTTGACCATCTGTGGGCCGTTAGGGTGTCTGGGATGCGATAGAGGAGACGGCCCCGTTTTGTAAAACGTACGCGTCTCTGGATATTTTTTGGGGCCGTTTTTCATGTAATCGTTGTTGTTTTTAATGGACAAGTTATTGTTGTTGCCCTGATAGGCCTGAACGTCGCTGCGCTGCTTGTTATTGGCCGGATCCTTTTGTTCGGGACGAGCGTTGATGTTGGGCGGGGGATGTCTAATGTTGTACTGAATCTGGGTCATGAGTAGTTGATTGGATGGGTCGTTTTTTTCAGGATCTGGCGGAGATGATGTAGCGGGCTTGGAGACTACTGGTTGGGCGACAGACTGAGGAGGAGGCTCGGCTAAGCTTATGACCGGAGTCAGACACAGTTGTTGGGATTCGGGTGTATACATCTGAGGTTTGTCCTCGTCGTTTCTAACTACGGACATCAATGAAACAAATTGATTGGTGGTAATTACTTGTGCTTGTCCGACCTAAATTCAAAAAACAACAATATTGCAAATTAAACATCACCACAACAACACTAAAATAATTAAAAGCCTAGTCAATTTCAAATTTTATCTCAAACAACATTTGATATACTTTATTATTATTGTGAAATAAAATTGACAATTGCGGGTCAACAATTTACAATTTGTCTGGCATTGAAAATACCGATTAAGATTAAGAATTAAAAGAGAGTATAATGATTTTATCTGTAAATTAATGTTATTTTTTTTTTTAAATTTAATGTAATAAAATCAATATCTAGAAAACAGTGTCGCTAACACATTGTTTAGTATTTACCTAAAATTTGTATTTATCACATTAGCCTTTTTTTTTTTTGAAATTGTACAAAAATTAATAACCTATGATACTTTGTTATTAATATTATATACAGTGTGCAATAAATCGTTGACAAATTTTGATAAATTTACAAATTCATTCCCATTCGGAAATAAATTTTACATCAATAATAATAATTTATAATTACTGTAGTATCCGAGGAAGGCGGTCGAGAATTTGCACATTGTTCTGCGTACATTTGCGGATGAACAAGTTGAATATTTTCCATAGACGGGTCGTAGTACGGATAACTACCATCGGATGTTGTCACCATATAAGGCATGTATGGCGACATAATCGGCATTGGATAAGCCATGTCGGGGCCAGGAACCATATTAGACATTTGAGGTCCTGAGTAATAAGATGTGTCGTAAGGCATTGAGAAAAGAACCTTCGACCCTTGAGTGCCGTTGCATACCTATAAATTAGCATTAACAATTAATTATTCTGAACGCAGCGGTTTAGTCTCGAGCTGTGCGTACAATTGCACCACTATTTTTGTGAATTAAACGGAATTTGAAAAAAAAAAAAAAATGTAAAGGCTTACCGAACTCACTGGTAAGTTTGAATAAGACTGCTGTACCAACACTTGAGGTACAGGATTTGGATAGAAGATAGGTTGACCACTGTACCCTTGCATACTTGTAGTGTTCTGAGTTCCATAAGGAGCTGCTAAATGAATTTTAAAATATTAAAAATATTTTAACAAATTCATTTTGTGCGGGTAATTTAATTTTAAAGCTGCATTTACCAGCTGCGTAAACACTAGGGACGAGCGATTCCGACGAAGCCGAATTCGGTTGGCCCGGGGGTTGAGAAGTAATGGCGGAATTTCCGCTTACAGGCATATTAAAAAATGCCATACCGTTTTGGTAAGTATACATGACTGGCGTTAACACTGGTTGAGCTGATGTTGCCATCGGAGGAACTGAATACTGTTGGACTTGAGTGCTGTACGACATCAAATGGGCTTGCTGTTGAGAAGACGTGATATTGGTGTCGTTGTAGTTTGGCCTGTTGTCCTGACGGAATAAAGTATTTTCATCAGTAATACACAATACAAAACTAACTATCTATGATCATTACGAAAATATTAAATACTGTAACATTTCATACTTTTTCAAAAGCTGGAGCTATATTAATGCGTTTGTCTTTGAAAATCAAAACTGGTCCCTAAAAAAATAAAAACAAAAGAAAGGCGTTGATGAATCAAAGTTAATTTTAATGTTTATATTTTTACTAAAATACACCGAGCACAAGATGAACTTACCGCATCAATAATTTTTTTCACTTCTTCGTCAGACCCGAAAGTGATGAACCCGAAACCTTTAAGGGCTCCGGCCTTATCTTTGACTATTTTTACCACTTTGACTTCACCGTAGATTGAGAAGAAATTCCGCAGTTCTTGTTCGGTCGTACCATTGGTTAGGCCCCCGACAAATATTCGGTTTGGCACCATGGTTGATCCGTTCCGTCTGTCGGCCACCGTACGACTGTTATATCTAAACGTCTGTTGTTTGAGAGTGGACAGTTCTAGACGTTGGTATCTTCCTTCAAAACTCGTATAAGTAACCTAATTGACAAGGAAAAAAAAATGTTTAAATCAAATATTAATTTATTTTTATTTTACAACCATCTTTTAGTTAACAATCTTTACCGAGTGATATTATCATTTTATCATTAGCCAGAAATTTTACATAATTAGTTACTTTATCGACTCAGTTGTGAAGTAAAAGACGATCAGAATAGTATTCTATCGCATTCAAAAAGAGAGTTAACAATAGAAGTTAGTTATCTGGCTAGTAATAAAATAATTACCAAGTATAAATATATACATATTATTATGATATATACCTTTCGGCTGCGTTTCATGTGCGACATATTACACAGACAGTAATACAGGAATGAAGGATGAGAAATTACAAAGGAGACCTATTTAAAGGAAAATTAAAAACATATTAGCATAATAACAGTAATAAATATTTTCTAGTAATCGACTATATTTACTTTGATTGTATAGCGTAAATTAGTTTTGATTTAAACAATTACCAAACAATAACTTAAAAAATAATCTAATAAAAAAAAATAAATGACCTCAATCATATAATATCTAAAAAAGTGTATGTAGATCATACATTTGATTGTAATCAATGCTTATCTCAAAAGGAATTTGTTTTACAATGATAGTTTTTTTTCTTTGTAATTTATTTAACAAAAATAAATATAATTAATTAATTTATAAAAACAATATATCATTCAAAAATAAGTTAAAGGATTAAGAGAATAGGAATAGAACGTTATGCAGCACATATTGTAAGGTTATGATAACATCGTATAAAACATGAACAGATACATTTTTTTTTTAACCAATTAGTACAAAATTATTAGTATTAACGTCAAAGATAAAAAATATATAATATAATTTACTGATGATGTTTCGATTATCTAAGATAAACCCTTTAAATATACATAAGAATATCATATAATAATGTTTTATATTATGTAAAACGCCTGATACCTGGCACTCAATCTCTACGTTGAAAATTATCACAAAATCTACGCCATAGAAAATAATTAAATCACCACACAACATGAAAATGTCTGTATTTTTTTGTGAAGCGTGGCTATAATGATGTTTTTTGTCAAGAAATACTATTTGGCCTATTTAAACAATAACATACATTACTAAGGCCTTATGGATGAGTTATATAGATAGTCACAGTCCAATGCGCCAATTACAGAATGACTGGGCTGATTTTGATGCAGTTCTTTAATTTTTTTGTACAATCAACTGGTGACGATCAGGTTCGACAACAGACAGATGTGACAACTTGCCCACCAACCCAAAATACTACCCCGTTGTTTGTAAAAGTTGAATAGTTATTATGTACACAACAACATTTACAAACAATGTTAGAATACATACAAATGTTGCTACCAGTCGACTCGGATATAAATCACAATGGCTCAGTCTGACGACAATAATATTTAAGTAGAATGATTTTTCAGCAAACCTAGTTATAAAATAATTATTGTAGAATCAAGATTAAAATATACCGAGTTAAAAGTTCTTTATAATATGCGAATTTAAGAACAAGAAAAGTGTGAACATCCTCATAATGTAAATAGGTAATATTTAAAAAAGTCTAATCAACACCAAACTTTCATAATGATTTAGATAAAGGACACACAAACGTCAATGTCGTTTGTTATTTATGGAAATATAACAATATGCAATAACAATATAATACAATACACCTAATTGTTATTATAATATTATCATAGCACAGGAGTTTTCGCGTTGATTTGGAAATTTTAATTATATAATATTTGTCATATTTTATAATTATTCGTATACTTGACACGACTTTATGGCGTATTCGGCCATAAATCATAGATCTCACTAAACAAATATAACAATAATATAACCTAATAATACATCATTTTTTATAGAGTCGAGATTGTGTCGAATCGCATAATGGCGGCAAGGCAATACTCCTCATCAAAGGTGTGTGTGTGTGTGTGCGCGCAAAGGAAAGCGGCTTTTTTTTTTTACTTATTTCTAATCTCAAAACGAAACAAACATACCTATAATATAGTTATAGTTGACGTGCAAACAAAAGGACGGTCCTGATTTTATTTTAATTTAGCATCGGTGTCGGCCGATCCAATGGGAATTCCCTACGACCGACAAAATTATTATCGGGTGATAAGATTTTTGTCGATTTTCAAAAACGATTAGGTCGCAATATAATATAATATCTTTAAACGGACGCAGAAAAAGAAAAATTATCCAAAAATAAAACCCGATATTTTCCCGATCCGTTTGCTCAATTACACTCCCACCATTTTTTAGGGAAAAAAAACAATGCACGAAATCGTTTAGAACAATAATAATAATAATAATAACGAAAATTGTATGTTATACACACCGTCTATTAATAAAAATACCTAATCAAAAAAAAAACGGACGGCGGCGGTTACACACGGTGCTTCCCGCCCTATTGTCGACCACGACGGTGCAGCAGCACTTGACCACAGCAATGATAATGAAACGACATACACGATAGGTATATTATTATTATATATTTCAAATCTTCAAATAGGTAGGTATACTTACTGTTTTTCGACTATTTTCACCGCACTGCTGTTGTGTAATTATATTAATACTAATCTCGGTTGATCGGCGTCCGTGTTGCGAACATCAGCTAAAAACGACGAGCAAACGAGAGCTGCTGCTGCTGCTGTATACAGTTGGACGTGCGACGATAAATTAATATAATAATAATATATATTTTTTTTTTTGATAATAAAAAATAACAAAAATCGAAATCCACTTGACTACGGGTCGCGTTGGTGGGCAGCGGCGGCGGAAATTTACCGAGTTGAGCAAAACAAAAAAAAAATATAATAGAAATTTGTTTTCAATATAAAATAATATACATCGCGATATAGTACTATATAAACTCGACAAAAATAATATTATCGTGAACGTCTTTTGTTGGCCATGTCGTGTGTGTGTGTGTTGGATAGTTAGGGAAAAAAAGGAGAGAAAAAAAAAACGTGAAACGACGGCGGGAGCGGAAAGGAGTGGACTTCACATACAATAATATAATATTATGTAGAATTATATTAAACGAAATATTATTGTGTGTGTGTGTGTGTGTGTGTTTGTGAACGAAAAACAACTCTTGTAATATACAAACGGATTAATTTATCAGCGCGAGAATGATGGCAAAAAAAAAAAATTATATACACAGGGAGAGAAGTATAAAAGGCAAAGAGTACACAAACGCGACGCGATAATAGCTGTGTGTACTGCCGTTGGGTTAACAGTTTAACACACACACACACACACACCGGTGTGGCGGCGGCGGGTGTGGAGTAGGGGGACAGCGGTATCATAAGGGCACACGTGTGGTCGACGGTACATCGGTGACGTCACACCGTATCCGACGACCCCGGCCGTCGAAGATAAGCTGCGCCGGCAGTCGACGCTCTTAGTACCTACTTACCGTGTGCAAATTGCATATTATTATTTCAATACCTATGTTCCAAGTGTCGCAAGTTGGAATTCATTTTTGGGGGGGAGGGGGAGGGACGGCGGTATACTTATTATACATATATAATATACACCGTACCCCGGAGCAAAAGCGCTATTTATTAAGGGGCAAAGGATAGGCAATATTTGACAAAATTCGATTTAGTAGTCTTTTTTAATAATATGCCGACTAATTTTTAAGACGGAACAAATATATTTAAGTTATTCTAGTCATAGTATACTTTTAAAGTTATGGCGAAAGTTTGATAAAAATGACTTCCGCAGAACCCATTTTCTGGCGCATCTATTGGACGGATTTCAATGTGAATAGCTTACTATTTTTTCTATGCGGGCTAAAAGATCGATTTTTGATTTAGCAATTAGAAAATTAGTTAGATTTATTGGACTGATTTAATCTTACAACGAATAAACACAAAAAAAAACAACAATATTTTATACTCTTAAATATTAACGAATCACTTTTAATATACTAAGTGTCATCACTCATCATATAGGTTATTTTATATTACAAAATTAATTTTTTCTACATATCTATCTATCTATACAACATCATCAGCAGATATATTGTTGATGGATTTTTGACCTACCTGTGTAATAATATGTAGCAGAAAGCTGTAAATTTGAGCTATTTACTATTGTTCAGCACGTAGGACACATAAGACTGTTGGGAAGCGAATAATAAGCGTTAATAGAAAAATGAAACTTGCATATTATCAGAATTGGAACAACTAAGAACTAGTTACCTAAATAAACAAAAGTAATCAACGATATTACAAAATAAACAAAATTGAAAAACAAAATTTATGCTACACACTTGGAAAATCTGTCTAGAGGGATTAATTTTAAATTGATATTTTAGATTAACTCACCCCAGTATACATATCAATGAACTCGAATGGATATCGCTGTAGCCTGTACAACTATTTAACAGACGCTGTCAATAATTTTTGTGTAGGTACTTGCTTTAAAATAAGTTAAATCAAACATAAAAATATAAAAGATATACTGTATACTAATTAAATTGCAACCGTTAATTATTAAAGTCTAACAAAGACAAAAATGTTACACTTTTTGCTAAAAATTAAGAACTGTTCTACTTTTTGTATGATAAAGTAGGTATTTAAATCCATAGATACCGAATACACGGATTGTCCGTTTTCTTAATTTTTAACATGATACTATGTAAAATAGTATTTTTTTATTATCTTAGGTATCAATTTTCATTAATCATACCAGTGTATCGTAGAATAAATTATTTTATATAACTCTAGTTTAATAATATTTCCCTATATTTAATATATTTTTCTCCAAGGTAAGGACGACGTTATCAATGCCAATAAAACGCTCTTAGTGTTTCGCCATTAATCATTTACAAATTTACAAACCAATACTGGTTATCGACCAGTAAAAATGTGTAGCAAACGGCAAAATATTCTCAATTTAAAAAGTTTGCCTATTGACTATGTAGTTGGCAGAGCTTTGGAAAATACTAAAAAAAGGTATATACATTATAATAATTTTATAATATCTCAAATAAACATAAACTATAAAGAGAACTACCTCAATTTTTTCAAGAAGAAAACTACTAGCGCCTTGTCATTAACAAATGTGTTATCTGTTACATACTGAATGCGTGCGCACGAGAAATGTACAAAATATTTCAACGTTTTAAAATTAAATGAAAACAATTTTAAACGCGATTTTGCGCGGGCTTTCGTACCGACGTGTTCCGCACGCGGTTCGTCCGCTCGATCGGTGCACACGTGACGTCACCGACGGCCGTATCGTTATCAGCCGTTATCACGTTCGGCGCGCGCGTTCGTTCAACGTACCTATGCCACTTTTGACGCACCCCGCGGACAATCACAACACGCATCCACACACACACTGCACAGTGCACACGCACGCACGCACGCGCCACACACATTACCATTTTCCACGGCCGTAAGTGCGGTTATTATATTATTATAGCTGATTTTTTTCTCCCTATATTTTTCAATAATTATATTATAATACTTACTGATTATCACCGTCACGTCGGTTTTTGTGAATTTTTTGCATTATTTTTTATTTTAGATTCTCCATAGAAGACTTGGGGAAAAATTATTGCGGAAATCCGACCGATTTCCCACCGGTCAAGCGCGCAGCCGGCCGTCGTTCGTGCGCCTTTCGGATCCGCCGATCGCCGCCGCCGTCGCAGTCGTGGTCGCCCGGTGTCGTTGTGTCTGTTGCAGCAGCCGATGGCGATAAACTTTTATGGGAAACACAAAATGGCCGGTGTCAACGAGTGTTTTTCAATCGGCAGCGTCGTCATGTGCACCAACTGCTTCGACGAGGAGATCGAAGGCGAAGTGCTCGGTTTCGAGCCCAACACGAAAATGCTGATTTTGAGTATCCTTTTATTTATATATACAGGTTCGCATCAGGTCCGCCAGCTACTCTGCAAAGTCCCCGGCCGATGCCAGACGCGAATGACGTCGTTAAAACGTGATAAAGTACAATCAATGTAGAGGTTTTGGTTGCTGAAAAAAAAAGTATCGCGTCCCTGTAAATGGTGGGACGACACGACAGGTAGTGGGCGGCTCAACAGTCCGATTGTTCGGCCGCATCTCGGCTGTCTAAAGATTTACAAGTCGAAAAAGACGCGACTGATATCGTGGCATGCAAAATACATGGTTTGTTATCTCATTTCGCCTCATACCAGTAGATATAATATTATGACAAACTTAACTTTGAAAACTAAAGAAAAAGAATTGTTTAGATAAAGAAATAAAAACGTTTTTAAGAAACTAAAATTTCTCCTACTCTATTTATTATTATTGCATTTAGCTTGTATTGACCGGGAGTCAGTTTTAAAGCATAGTCGGGCGGTCACCTAAGATAATGGTTTTCTCTCTATTCTATTGATTCTATCATTAAAATTGCAACTAACGGTTATTTAAATGTGACTTTGATTTTGTTGTTTATGTTATGAATAAAATTGAAAATTACAATAACTATTGACTATGACCTTCAATGTTGTGGTCACCCTTATCTTTGTATCGTACCACTCGACGACATTTTCCCATGCGCGTTTTTGTCGATAAGTAAAGTTTGCTGTTTTCTACATTAAAATGTATCATCTGTATTACTTCCTTAACGCTAACTACTAGAATGTCCATCAACTACGAATAATCCAATGTTGAACGACATCAATATAGTTAACTTAGCTTTTGCCAAAGACGTGCAAGTCAAGAAGGAATCTAATTTCAATCCTCCACCTTTGCCTTCATTAAATTTAAATAGGGTGAGTTATTGGTATTAATTTTTTTTAATATTTTGAATCGTTTGTATAATAGTATTAATGTATATATATTTTTTTCTTACAGTTGAATAATAGGGTAAAAACCCAAATTCAAGACAAGAAACGTCAGATATCGGCTATGTCTGCAAATGTTTCTCCAGAGGCTCAAAAGCTGTATCTGACTATAACTAAAACGTAAGTATCTGGAAAAATCATCAGGGGAAAATATAACATAATGTTTTATCACCTACTGATTGTTATTATTATTTGTTTTTTAAGGATTCCAGAAGTATCTTGGCAAGGACAGAATATTGTCGTCTACGATCATGTAATAATAAGCCCACCGTATAAACCTGAAAACGTCAAAGGAACTGGAAATCAAGAAGACAAAGCGATTGTGTACATAAAAAATATTGTAAGATTTTGATATCATGATTACTTTGCATAAAAAAAAAACAAGTTACCTCAAGTTGCTAAATATTGTAACTTTTTTTTAATTTGTTGTAAACTACTAGTTGTTTCACGTCAATTGATCGTAATTAGCTACTGATATCACTTTTCTAAGCCTTCTGAACTAATCTAGACACGTCTAGATAACATGAATTCGATTCATTCACATCTAAACATATTAATGTTTTGTTATTTTTCTACACACAATTATTTTAACTTCAGATATTGCCAACATATTTCTTGTACTGATCCATTACAATAAAAAGGCGACGTAAAAATGTCGTCTCCATTAAAAATTTTGCTCGTTTTTGGTGACAGAACAAAATAATTTCAAGACAAATACGCTATTAAAATATTTTTGATTTCGTTCAGGTGGAAAAACATGTAAAAGACAATGCATCTGTTCAACAACTACCGGCCACACCAACAACACATCGAAGTAAGTCGACGGCTCCAGCTTCGCAATCTCAATGAAGTAATGTTCAAAAAAAAAAAAAAATGAGATAAAAGAGTTGAAGTGAAATTAATATATAATTTATTAAGTCAAAAATTATAACAGAGGAAGAACACCTGTGTAGAGATGTTTATTATCACTATGTCAGCAATATATTCATCGGATATACTTTGTTTTTCTTTATATATAAATTTTAAAAACAAAATTATATTCGTTTAAAATGTAAATTAATTGATTTTTTTTTTAACCCAAAGAAATCATCGAAATTAAATTGTTTGTTTTCTTTTATATTTTTGTATTAAACCATCATCGGTATGATTAAAATTCGTTAAGTATTATGTTTTCAAATATAAAAATTCACAAACAATCCAGTGGTTTGTTATATTAACAATTTTTATTTGGCAATAAAATATCATAGTTAATAATCATACGAGAAAACAACAAATTTATTTTTAGTTAAGTATTATCTGAAATTAATAACGTTTAAATAACATTTACAAAAAAAAAATTGAATTTTTTCGATTAAAAATCTGCTCAAATTTGAGACATAGTAAATTCTAAATAATATTATTTAGTTGTAAAACCCGAATTTTTTTTTGAAAATGTTTTCTCAATTAAACCAGACGTCTTTTGATAAACATTGAAAAACTGTAGTTTGATTAAACAGTTGCATAAATATTTAAAGATACATTTTTTTTTTTTATGTTTATTAAAGTTTTGCTCAATCGCTTTTTTGCAAGACGTGTATTTTTCATCATATTTGAAATGAAAAACATGTTTTTAAATATTTATAAAAAAAACAGTGTGGACACAAAAAATAAATTGCATTCAAAGTAGCTTCTCAGTTTTAAAAATAGGGTTTATTTTATACTAAGGAAAATATGTTCCCAAAATTATTGTTGATAATACATTGTACATTGTGATATCTTATTTTTACTTTAGCTCTGATTAAGCTTTAAATGCTCAAAATATTTTTACTTGTGTAACTATGATAGTACCTACACGTTACTTTTAACTCTTGAAAATATTATTTTCAGGGAAATTTTATGAATTAACGGTTAAATATATTTTATGCGCAAAAAGAACTATAATTTAATGTATCTTAACATTTTGACGTTCGACGAGGATTACACTTGGGGTTTCTTGTGTTTGTATTAAGGAGTGACAGATGATAGGAAATTTAGAGTCGACTATTTTTTAAAAGAATCAATTGTTGCGTTCATCTTGCTGCGCTAACAAATTTAATACATAAAATAAAAAAAGCAATTTAAAAAAAAAAAAACATAAACTAGAAAAACAACAAACTCAAAAATACTCTTAGATCGGTTAGGAGTTATTAATTTTGAACAACGCCGATGTTTGAAAATAAATAATTAGTTAACAATACAATCACAGATATATATTATAATAAACTAGATTGCTAACTAGCGATAAGAATTGAAGCCGACGATCCGCCATTCTGGTGGGATTTATGTGTGTTATCAATGCATATATATCTGAGATTGTTAAAAACATATATTATTCTCACGTGATAAGGTTCTAATTCCCACCAAGATGGCGGAAAGTGGCTGCTTCTTCAATCTTCTCTATTGGTGGCATGTACAGTTAGCAATCTAGTTTATTATGTATTATATTATATCTGTGAATATAATTGACACTTAGTAAAAATAATAGTTTATTTTTAAAATGTAAAATAGCGGTAAAATCATAAAAAATAAAATAAATTTTTGTCCAAATTATACAAAAATCATAATATTATAGTTTTGTCACTGGTAAGCAGTAAATCAATATCTCTATCGCACTTGATCGCGCTTGGTTTAAAACAAATAAAATAAGGTAATGCTGCATAAGTCACGTGTCCCGATGTCAACTATTAAAATATATCTTAAAAGAAAAATGAATATAAAAAAACCCACACACTATGATTTTTTGTGATTAAGGCCCCTGGTACCGATCATTTTTAAGGAGTTTTGTGTAGGCGATAATTAAGAAAAAAGTGGTTTTAATCAATTTCGACCATGTTAATTAGTTTACCGGTTAATTTGTATAAGCTTCATGGTATTATTTTTAATTTAAATTATTTTGTCTATGAGTAAAAGCCATTTTAGTTAATTTAATAGTACATTTTTTGTCCATCGCACAAGCTGAACCAGTGATCCGATAAGTAATTTGAAAACACATTTGAATTTGTCATGAAGTTTACTTGAGATCGGTCAGAGCACTTTTTTCAATTTTTAATTTTAACCCTTTCCAAATTTGATTTTAAAATTTGAAATTTTATAAAAAGTTTAAATGTGTTTTTGCTGAAAAATAAGGTGGGTATCCAAGGCCTTAGGTTTTTTTTTAAATAACTTATTAATTTTTTTTTTAGCGTGTTAATTATCAGCTTAACTTAAGTGTTTCATTTACTACCTTAAATTATAAAATTATAATAATCGTAATTGACTACATCTTTTCTTTTATTGATACAACAACAACAATTTTGCAAGTATACAATGTTTTAATATTTTTTTTTCAAAAAAATAAATAAATAAATAACCAAAAAAATAGTTAACAATAACAACAAGTAATTTTTACATTATCCGATTAATTATTGCTTCGTTAAAGTTTTATGTTTTATCTGTTTAAGACCTGATAAAACCATTTTCTCACCATCGACCTTATAAATTAAAAATTAAGTACATTCAAACAATTTAGGTAAATACCACCACGGTAACACAGTGTACAACATACGAGTAGTTCATTAAACTTTCGATCTACTGTTTTTCCAATACACGTCCGACTGCATTTCCGTGAGTCTCGATACTGTACGATCGAATGCAAATATTTCTTCGTCGCCAGTAAAAACATTTGCTTTTGCATCGACCTAAAACGTCCGATAATCGATTGTTATAATTAGCAAGGAGTATGGTTAGCATGAAACGCCGCACGTACCGAATCAGGATCCAAATTCAGGTCGTCCATAAGAACCTTTTGATCGTCTCCCAAGCCGCCCGTTTTTCTAGCTACGAATAACTCGTTGATCGGCTTATCGGCATACAGTATAACACAGACCTAAAAGTAGTAAATTATTACTACTAATTATTATTATTATTACTTTTTAACTATTTATGTCGTTACTTTATTGTCGTATAGTGTATCTACGAGCGTAATGAAACGTCGCATCGGCGATAACGAATCCAGGTCTAATTGAGGGATATCTCTAATTGCAATCGTGTGAAACATTTGCGATAAATACAAATAATCGACAGCACCTAAGGGCTGAAAAAGTAAAAATGTTTCTTTAATCATAAATTTGGTGGTGTAGTCGTCATTGAGAGTAATCCCATCTGTTCTTCTCCACTTTTATAATATGTGTATAAGTATTAAAATAACAGAAAATGTTTCAAAATAATAATAGCAATCTTTTACGTTATAAATAATTACCAACATTTGTCTTACCCGATCGCAAAGTTCATCGAACGTAGCATCTAATATTTGTCCACAAACCCGTTGGAAAGTCAAATTTCTCTGCATAATCACCAATGTTCTCGGCCGAACGGTGTCATTTTCGTTATTCGTCAATCGTTTAATAGCATTCTCAAAGTCTTCTTTGTTGTCAACGTTTTTTCTACAGGGACAGTTTTATCTTAATTTAGTGGCAATGATTATTACATTTAACCGATTAAATTGAACGAAGAGAATAAAAAAAAAAACATTTACAGGTATTTTTTTCTCTCCAAAAGACTCACACAAAATAAGATTTTGTTCCGCTTTTCGATTTCAGAGTTCTGTAGTCAATACCCGAATCCAGATTAACGACTACGCTGTGTTGTTTCAAAACGGGTATAAAAGGCAAGAATAAAAACCGTTGCAATCCATTTTTATACAAATCGTCAGGTTTTCGATTACTAGTCGCTATCATGACAATGCCCCTTTTGAATAATTCGGTAAACAACCGTTTCAGAATCATCGCGTTGGCTATGTCGGTCACCTGACAATACATGATAGACCTACAAATAAAACATTGGACACAAAACAAATGATTTCTAAACTACGGCTAAGCAAGAAATCAATGCTGAAGTACCTGAAATTCATCGAAACAAAGAAGCCAAGACTGTTCCAATATAATGTCGGCCACCATTGGTATAGAGTCAAAATTTTCTTTACTGCTCAGCCGTAACTTATGAATTTTATCGTGAACGTCCAACATGAACTCGTCGAAGTGTACTCTTCGTTTTTTTGTTACCTGAAACGTCAGAAATTCAAGCATTTTTTTTTGTTTTAATGAAGACAAAGAAAATTTTACTTACAACGCAGCCGGAAAAAAACAGGTCCATTAACATGGTTTTGCCACAGCCGACCGATCCGTGCATGTATAGTCCGTTGGGGGGCGCTTTTGAACGACCAAACAACTTAGAAACTATATTACGCGATGGCGGCGAATAACCTTCTAACGATTCATACACGGCATCCAATTTTCTTAAGATTTTCCTTTGGTGACTGTCGTCGATGAGCTCGTTGTTGCTTACTCGTTCATCGTACAATATAGACGGCTTTTTCTGTAGTCGAACACTGGTGAAAATCTTGCGTATGTGCATGTTCATTTGAATTTTCATTGTTACAACACTGGCGGGTGAATTATACTAAAAGGTGCTGCTGTTATAATAATAATATTACAGGCTATTGTGAAATAGACTATTTTACAGATACTCATAAACGAGGTCGAATTGAAGTGTTACTCGAAAGGTCATAAAACGAAGAGCTCTGCTTGACGATTAGTTGTTGATAACACGACGACGACATTTCATTAGACTTTTAACAGAAAGTTTAAAAATAATTAAATATTCGAATAACCTTAGATCAGACGTTTTCCGACGGCCAACGAGAAAAGTATTCTCAGAAAAACGTTATCAATAATTAATAAGATTTAAAAAAATTGTTATCACTTCTCATTGCAAATAAAATCCAAAGAGATTGCTAGCACACACACAAAAAAAAAAAATTTCTTGCATTAAAATAATTTTTGAATTAAAAATTTTAGACCAATCTCATAACAAGTATAATATATTATAATTTACATTAATATAGTATTTTACGTTTAAAAAATATCGTGCTGAACACATTTTAGTTATTAGGTTAACTTAATTAACTTGGTTAGCTTCGGATACCGAATTTGAAGGTATGAAATCTTCTTACGACTGACTTATTGACACTTGGCCGTTTTTGCAATAATGATTGATTTAAAATATTTGTCGCAATTGAAAAAAAAACCATACACGGTGAGCTTTTCCAAATTTTGACCCACCAGATTAGCGGCATTATTTACACAAACAAAAAATGCACAAGTCATTGTAAATTCAATATATAATTGTCTTAACATATTATTAAGTATATTTTAACCAATCGGTATTTTTTATCCACTTGAATCTTTTTTACACGTATTTTACTATCAGAATTTTGGAATGCTAATAAGATATTTTTTTTGTAAGTTATCTACTTATATGTAGCGTTCTCTGTAAGTTAGAGTTATTGATTAGAAATAGATTCCGTCCTTACCGTTGACCTTTACACGTTCAAAAGAGAAAGGAGCATCGCTGAGTATTTTTATAAGGAAAATGTATCGAGTCTTTCATCACATGCAGTTTTTTCACGATGAGGTGGCAACTTTCATTGACATTTGTAGTAGGTACCTACGTTTATTGCACAGTGTACATTCATCCTTTACCTGTGGTAATACTAGTGGTTCCTTGTAGGTACTTGTGCATACAAATAGCTGTATAGTTATAATTACCTAGATGACCTCCGAAATTTTGACTTGGTATAGCTCTAAAATATGTTTGTCCGATTTTACTTTAGTCCCTATGGATAGATTAGCAATGGTTGTGTTTTCCGGATTATAGTATAGGAAATGATCTTAATTTATCTTTAATTTCGTTGAAATGAGTTAGAAATATGCGGTAGAAGACCTTCAAGTGATATATAAGAAACTGTACCCTCAAGATAGAGACCGGTTTAGGTTATATTTTATTTGTATTTGATTAAAATTTCATATTCAGATCAAAGTTTGGAGTTATTTTTCGATAAACACGAAAGTGAACATCGAATAAAAGGAAATGGAATGGGAATAAGACTTTTCGTGAACTTATTTGTATAATTCAATCTATACAAATGCTGATGTCCAGTTATGAGTGGATTGATCTAAAAATTAAGTAGTTTTATAATTGAATTATTTGGATAATTGTCGATGGATGGCTAAATGTCATACAAGTAATTCCAAATAGATTCAATAAAGATATATGCCACACAAAGCATTTTAATTCTACCTATATACTATAATAACATTGTAACTACAATTGAATGACAATACTGACAAATCAAAATTTAAAGAAACTATAAGAGGAATAAGGCATAACATATTATACAAAGGACATAATAATTGGCAACTTACCCATTATTAATTTGATTTTAACATTGTGACAATATTATTCATCTTACCTAATGTCGTCGACTTGGTTGTATCAGATATCGGTTGCGGATGAACTTTACATTGGGACACCTATACATTTTTACCAACAGTTGTATTTAATGACAGCTCCAACAAGTGGTGGCTGATACGAAAAATAATGTAAAAAAAAACTTAATGACTTAAGTCAACTTAACTTATGTATTTTTTTTTTTTTCAATAATAGCACTATTAAATGTTATAAGTACAAATATTTGTGTAAAATCGATTGTTTTTTTGTAAACATAAAAAATGTTCGACTTGTGCAATGCACAATAGCTAATACCAACTAATATAATAATAAATAAATAACCTGGAGAGAAAAACAATGGATTAGCGTAGGATTGAAATCATAAACAATTATTTCGCCGTTGCACCGATTACTAAATTGTTTTTAATTGCAATTATATGATGACTTAACGTCGATTAGTATGCGTATGGTTTTCTAACATGTCGCCCGATGTGAACAGCAGCTGAAGTTCTTGATACCTAGTTTTCGTTTGGTTTTTACAATATGAACATGATGATGACTGATTTTAGAACGGAAATGGTCATTACGGAAATTTTGGATACCGAAAGATCGTATGTCCGGCACTTGAGGGAGGTGGTCGAAGTAAGTTTTGATCAATATATAAGATTTAGTATAACTTACTGAAATATATTACTAATCCATGTTGTAAGAACTCACATAACAGCTGAGGATAAACGTTATAATGTTATTTTGCACGTGTCAGGTTAGGTTAGGTATTATTAACCTAACCTAACCCAACAGTATCTAAGATACAAGTATTTCAAATACATTTTGTATCTTAATTTTAAGATAAAAAATATAAAATGCATTGTACGTTGTCAGCTCCTGTTGAAATACTTTTTTCATTTGCTGGTTTGCGCAGTCTAAATTACCAGATAAAGAATAAAAACAACTAATGTTCCTAAATGGAAACCAATAGAGTTTATTACTCAAAATGTAGAATAGAAATATTAGAATGTGCAATGTTACTTCACGATAACGAGACTAAACTTTAATTTTGTTATGTGTATCTAAGTTGTTGGTACAAATAGATTATTGTTTTTCATTTTGACCGTATTAATGAGTTTATCGGCTATTGTAAGATGTTAGTTTTTGTTTTTATATTACTTTTCGGTATTGTGTTGATAATCTTGGTAGGTACATATTATATCAATATTTTCTTATGTTGCTAAGCAATCATGCTAATCGTGGGAAGCCAATTTTTTTTATTGTTTATTGCCATTTACTTTGTTGGATAATATTGTTGTTGTATCAATGACTTTACATTAAGTATTCAGAATTCAATAGGTTTTTTTAAAAACCTTGATAACATGGTGTAAAGTATGCGATATCCTACTATAACGTGTAATATAAGGTTACCAAGTATATAAATGTTTAACAAAAAACAAACAATACTATTAATCATTACAGATTTTGTATTTTGACCAGGTATATTTTATATTTTGTATCTTATAACTTAAAATACATTTTGCCTATTCCTGATTGTAGCTTCATAAGCAGTTAGTATTATGTCCATTTCTCTATCGACGCAAAATTTGTTAGCTTTCTCAATTTTTATAAAAAATGTCAATAAAGGAAACTTAATCTGACTTGTTATATTTTCGCGCATTGTAATAAATAATATTGTACGTTATTTCAAATGGAATTAAATTCAAATAGTTTTAACGTTTCTTCGAATGCATTTTTATAGTTTGAAAGTAGAAAAAATATTATAATTTTGTAAAATATGTAACTCATTAGTCATTACTATGTATATTATTATTGTATAGGACTATTTAGGATACTGGAAGACCAGAAATGTGCTATCCAAAGTACAATGCAATCAGCTGTTTGGGAATATAACGGAAATCTATAAATTCTCCAAGTAAACACTATTTGATGTACTTATTATTTTCAGTATTTGCACTCATTAAGCGTTAATCGTTTTAATGCTAAGTATAAAATAAGGAAATGGTTTTTTTTTATTGCAGATTGTTTTTGTGTGAATTAGAATCTTGCAAACCCAACGCAAGAGAAATCGCTCGGTGTTTTCTCAACAACCGTTTGAAGTTTATTGTATACTCGACGTATTGCGTTAATTTCCACAAGTAAGTATCGCCATTGTTCTGAACGAACAACTTAATACAAATGATTTATTGACTTGTTGCCCGCAGAATTTTTATGCAATAAACAACAATACCGTATTATTCACCGTATTATTTTTATATTTTTTTGTTAGTCAACTAATTCAACTAATTGTTACAAACCAAAATTTGCGGTTTAGATCAGATTCCATACTATCAGACTTGATGCGAAATCCCCAGACGTTAAACACGATCCTACAGAGACAAAAAGATTTGGGTCATCGATTGCCGCTTGGTTCTTATCTCGTTTTTCCTATACAGAGAATGCTCAGATATCATTTACTCTTGGAGGTAACGCGTTTGAGATTAAATAAACAATTACTATACGGTCAGAATATTAACCCGTACCGCCTGTTAGACCGCATCAGATATTTGTTACAATATTGACTTTTGATACAATGTTTCAAACTGTATTATTAAGGTACCTTTAAATAGTCGACTTGTAGTTAAGTTGGCAATATTTAATAGTCTTAGTTTTAAAAATTAACTGAAAAATGTTCTACACTTCATCAAACTTAGGTACATAACATTTAAGTAAACGAGTAAATTAATAGAATAAACAAGTAAGAATCACGAGTAAACAAATTGAGAAAATAAGTCGAGTACACCAGCAATAAAATCAAGTAAACGAGTTAAAATATAGATTAACGAGTAAATATATCGAGTTAACGAATAAATTAATAAAATTAAGCAGTAAATAGAACTTTTAATGAAAACTAGTAATCGAGTAAATAAAGTGTGTAAATAATTTAAGTAAAGTTATATTGTAATATTATTATTTATTAATATTAATAATTACTATTTTATTACGGTTTATTTATTGTTGCGGTTTAAAGTAGTAAAACTAAACGAGTAAAATAAGAGAGTTAACAAAAGCGCATAATATAATCGGGTAAACGAGTAAAGAAAGCAAGCAAAGAATTTGAGTAAACAATAAGAGTAAATTATTTAAAAAAAAGAGAAAATGAGTAATTAAATTGAGAAAATAAAGCGCACAGTGTAATCGAGTATACGAGTAATAAAACGTATTAACGAATAAATAAAGCGTGTTAACCAATCAAGCGTACAAAGCGAGTAAAGAAATCAAGTAAATGAGCTAACAAATTAATGAGTGAACTAATTGAAAAAATAAACCATTTAAAAAAAATCCAATTAACGAGTAATTAAATTGAGTAACCGAATTAGTTAATACAATAAATGAGTAAATAAATCGAGTTAACGAGTAAATAAAGCGGGTTAACCCATCAAGCGTACAAAGCGAGTAAATAAATTGAGTAAATGGTTGAACGAACAAATAAAATCAAGTAAATGAGCCAACACATCGAGTAAACGAGTAAATAAACCTAATCAAATAAATAGATTGAATAAATAAAATAAGTAAACGAGTAAAATTGTTGCGTAAGCAAATTGAGAAAATAAATCGTGTAAAAATAATCCAATTAACGAGTAATTAAATTTAGTAACTGAGTTAGTTAATAGAATAAATGAGTAAATAAATCGAGTTAACGAGTAAAATAATAAAATAAACGAGTAAATAATTTTTTTAAAGAAATCTAGTAAACGAGTAAATTATTAAAAACAAATTGAGTAAATTAATAAAACAAACGAGTAAAGAAACCGAGTAAACATAAATTGAAAAAATAAAGCGCGTAGAGAGATCTAGTAAACATTTCGAGACATCGAGTAAAAAGTCGAATTAAATCGAGTAAATGAGTTCACAAAATGAGTTATCGAGTAAATATAATGTAGAATAAACGAACGTAAATAAAGCGAGTGTTATTATAGAGTAAATTAGAAGAAAAAAAATGGAATAAATGAGTAACACGTTGAGTAACAATATAGAGTAAATGCGTAAACACATGGAGTAAACGAGTAAACAAATGGAGAAAATAAAGCGCGCGAAGAAATCAAGTAAACTTATCGAGTAAACGAGTAAATAATTCAAGTAATGAAATAGAGTAAACCAATCGAGTAAACGAGTAAACAAATCGATAAGATCATAAAATCAAAAATAAACAAATAAAACTATGTTTTAACCGGACAGATTTTGATCTTTGATGTATATTATAATAATTTTCACTTAGGTCTGTTTCATTTTGTTTTTTTAAGAAATTAGCAATGTACACACCGGGCAATACGTCCGAGCGACTGCTAGTTTCGAAAGCCCACGGCAAAATGACTCTACTCGCCAGAATCATCGACGAGACGAAAAACAAATTCGAAAAAGGAGGTCGCATAAAAGAGATGCAACAACTGATGAAGCAATGGCAAGATAGAACAAACGTAACGAGACTTTACCGTGTTCTTGGAATAACGATAATAATGTGATCACAATACACAGCATATTATACGTCACGCTTTGAATATACTTACATACACACACACCACACACACACGTTATTATTGATAAGAATAATGACGATTCGAAAATGATCTATGTAACCGTCTCGTTGCAATTAAATTATGTATTAAAAATGTAACACCGAGTGCATTGTGTGTACCCTTACAGATAGAGCTGTCGAACAATTGTTTTGAACTGTACGCCGAAGGCGATTTGCTGATTGCCGGCACCAAGAAGAAGCTCCGTGTGATTTTATTGAACAATGTCTTATTGATAGCCAAGGAACAAAAATGCGGTCAGCTCGAATACAAAGATCATATTTCGGTGAATTTAACATAATATAAATTATAATATATGTATATACATATATATATATATATTTCAATCCAAAATTCACACTACTAACAATAACTATGTTTGCTTGTTAGAGCAACGACATGACAATCACCGAAAACGTGGACGGAGATCCGTTGAGCTTTTGCGTTTCGTCAAACGAAGATCACAAACACTCTTACAAGCTACAAGTGATAATATATATTTTATACTTATACTTTTTCCCCCCTAGCTTCGAAGCTAGGGGGAGCTTCGATGCGTATCCGAAAAGGCAGTGGCTTTATAGTTTTTTTTTTTTTAAATAATTTTTATTTTTTACCCGGACCCACCCAAACACCGGATCCAGTTCCTCTTCTTGTAGCTAGTCAATGGATAATATGAAAGCGTACCCGAAAGGTATTCAATTGGGTCAATAAAACAGTAAAAAACACGATTATAATCAACATAATATATTTTTTATTGTCAATAAATTATTTTTACATGTTAACTGTAATAGCTTTTACCATCTACGCATCGAAGAGGTTTTTTCTATGACTTTTAGTTATTTTTTGTCTTACTATCAATGTTTGTTTCAAAGGCTCGCGTTAAGAAAGAGAAGATTTTTTGGGTGAAAACATTGAACCACATGAAAGCGGACACCACTGGGTTTTCGGCAATGACGGGTTTGGCCGAATTGATAGCCGAGAGATTTTACCTACCGAGTGATTTACTTTAATTATTATTATTATTTGGTTTGACATCTAAAACATGTTCATGAAACTTTTTTCAATTTTTGAGACGTTGACATTTTATTATTAGTTATGTTTTTTTAAAATAATTATAATATTAAGGGATTTCAAATAATAAATGTATAGTTAGCTATTGTAAGGAATACAGATTATGACGACTTAGTGGAAAACTCATTGGCAGTTACTACAAGTGTTGTTCATCGATGTTACCGAAGAAGACGTGATGGGATTTATAAAACACTTGTTGTCATGTTGCAAAATTTTCGATTCCAACATGTTTCAATATAAAAATACTTACTCCAACTGCCAACATGTAATCCTTTCCTTTTTCTCTAGAAAATATAATCAATGAGTGTACACCGTAGAATAATAAAAGATATGCGTACCATTTAGTTTTCACGAGCACATCATTTTTGATTTCATTTCAAGTATTAAACAAATTCATACACACTAAAAATCATTCCTAAGTCAGTAAGAAGAGATTTAGTCGTGGCTTAATGAAAAAATCCGATTTAAAAAAGTATTAACAGTGTGAATACAGTTTAAAAACATACATGTTAAAAAAAATTAAAAGGCATTTTGTATTGGTATTGCATGAGGCTAATGCCCTGTTTTATATGGAGGAAGTAACTATCGAGTGTGGTTTTGTGCTTTTCAAATTTAAATGTGGTAAGTAGTGTTATGGGTCGGCTACCTTTTCAAAAAAAAAAAAAATATAGGTTTTATTACTCATTTAAGTGGTTCTGGAAAATATATGTATCACTTATGATACAATACATTACAAGACATTGTCGAATGACAAAGTAAAAAACAACTATTTCACATACTATTTTTTAAAAGTCTGGTATAAAGTATGGTTACTTGTTATAGTTTTGAAAAAATAATAAAAAATAAAATTCGTTTTATTGTGTTGCTAAATATTAGAGCTGTAACGTGGAAACGCATTTAATAATAAAAAATCCAAGAAGGATGGATAATTAAAAAAAAAAACAAGTGGGAGTAGGGGTGAAAATGCTAGCCGAAAGAAGTGGAGGATGGCATACCCCTCACACTGTCTCCTATGATGGTGGGTGGCAGTGTTGGGCGTAATCGACTACAACAATCATAATCATAATCAGTAATCATGATTAAATTAATCATTTTATAAAAGTAATCAGTAATCATGATTACATTTTGTAATCATCGAATATATGATTACATTAATCATTCAACTGCACTTTCTCTCAAATATATTATGTATAACCATATTAAGAGCGATGATTTGACCTTTGTAATATCTCTTGAAGAAATTCATTTTCTTAACCCTACTTTTTCTAAATATTTTCGTTAGCCAACGAGTAATTTATTTTTTGGAATATAACAAAATCTAAAATCATTGTTATTAATTTTTGATTTTGTATAATTAATAGCTGTTTTACTTGAAAAAACATTTCGAGCTTTAATAACGTTTATTACTTTATCATTACTTTTAAATTTTTAAACGACAAAAAAATACAATTCAAGTCGACAAGGAATATTTTTTGGCAGGGGAGGAGCTAAATTCATAATTATGATTACAAACGAACGATCAATGTAATCATGATTAGATACAATTACACGATTACAGTAATCAATAATCGTACATACCTACACGATTACTTTTCTGATTATGATTACATTAATTACTAACATTATGATTACTGATTACAATTTGCCCAACACTGGTGGGTGGGTAGGTGAGCGGGGGAAAATGGGGGGGGGGTAAGTGCGTTGCACCGTCGATGCGCGGTGGACGAAGAATATTATATCTTACTATGTGATGTTCTTAATTCTACAGGTTACTACGGTTATTATACTATTACCCGTGTTATATTATTATTATTATTATTATTATTATAAAACCTTGTGTGTGTGTGTGTGTGGAGCGATGGTAAGACCGGCGAAATGGTAGTGGTCGCGGCGGTCGCGAGGCGGGAGTAGACGGGCGGAGGACGTCGTGTCTTTGCCCTGGCCTGGCCCGGTCAGTGTTAGTTTTTGCGCGCACCGCTTCGACGTTACACGCTCGTCGATCTGTACATAATACCTACACAGTATTACATTGATACGATATAATAATACACTGTAAGACGGTGGTAAAATATTTATTTTCTTACAGTATACGTCCTACAACAGTGGTGTGTACAGAGCTGTAAACTTTACACACGGAAAAACGTCGTTTCGCACACTTTGGTGACTTTAACGCCCCGATTTTTTCCGAACGGGACTTTGTTTTTTTTTTTAGATTTTTTTTAATCAGTTTGCCGAACGATGCGCTGACATCGCCGCAAAAGTGAATCTCTGTCTATAACCACACTAAAGATTGTCTATATGTGCCCCAAAAAAAACCGTCAGCGGGCGTAACGCCAACGAAACACTTCGGTTCCATGCGATCTCGTCAACAAGTCTCACGCGCAACACACCGGCTCAGATTTCGGTAAGACCCGACTAAAATAATTATAATAGTAATAACAGTTGGTAGGTAGGTAGATTGAGGTAAAAAAAACCGGCTTCTTCCGTTACAACAAAAAAACAATCAAACGGAAACAACGGTTATTTCTCGATAATCGCGCTCTGCTAATCATCCAAGCGGTGTAATAATATAATATTTTTTTTTATTATTATATTATAATAATAACGTTATTATTATTAGAGGTATATACGACCGACCGCCGATAATCAGAACACACGGTCACGCCATCGATGAAAAAAATAAAAAAACTAAATAAATAAAAAACTCTCTCCTACCGCATCCCGCGTGCCGCGGCAAATAATAGATCCATGTGAAACTACTGTTGGGTTTTCTCCGTGAAATAAAAAAATTACCGTTGTTTTTTTACACCCGTTGGTCTTGTGTGTGTGTGTATTTGTATGATTGTCGTCAGGTCGTTTGCACATAATATAATAATATGTCGTTTACCACCGCGGGGTTGTCTCTTGGCGGCGACGATGACAACCGTCTCCAAAAACATCTTAAACACCGGTCAAGCAGCGCCCACGTAACCGGGAAAAGTCTTGTGTTGCATTTGTTTTGTGACGAACATGGAGCAGAGCTGTTACTTATGACGGCTGTGGAAGAAAGAATTGACATTCTTGTCGACAACGCGCCTTCCTCGGGGGGTCATTAGCTCGGCTTGCACAGAACTGGTTCTAATGTAGTAATAATAAATTTGTTTGAATCGTTCGGGGGGTTTTTTGTATTTTGTCGCTGTTGTTGTTTATGCAACGCGTGTCGGCCCGGCAAATACGGGAATGCCAATGAGTACCCAATTATTTAAAATATTTAATGGCCAACAACCGCACAAAGATCCACGCACACCAGCCACCAACCGGCTACCACTGCCGCGACTGCTTTTACAAGCTCATAAAACCGTCTAGACTGTCCGTCGGTCGTTCGCTCTTTAATATCTTCTCGGCTCGTCCCGTCTCACGTGTACTAAGGCGAATCGTCTTTTGCAACAGTCGACATAACTCCATCGAGACATATTTCAGAGTACACTTGACTAACTTTGGCCTGACTTTGGCTTTGTTGTATCAAACGATGTTAAAATCCAGAAACCACCAACAAATTTAGGTGCTTAAAAATGTACTTGCATCTTTTCTTGCACTAGAGATGGTTTAGCTATTACTAATAAAATAATAGTAAAAACCCTTAACCGTAAAAATTATATACTCTCCGCGAATACGTCGTATTTCGGCAACAATGTCATCTACAGCGCTCACGACTGACTGAGCCAGTCGGTCATAATTTTTATGGTTAAGGGTTTTTATTATTATTTTATTACATGTAACCATAAGTGCTTAAGTTTTTTCTTGATTAGCTATTACTAAATGGATTAGACCCTGTTGTGGCCGCAATGAAGGTTATGTCAGCTGGACTTTTTTTCTGGTGTTTACTTTTGAGCGAGCTTTCAACAATTGCTCGTGTTTTAAGAATCAGAAAGAGTCTTAGCGTAACAATATGTCACATGTTCGCAATAATCTTATGATGGCAAGTATAATGGACAACTAACTCATCTTGAGTCTGATGGTGTACATATATCAATTATTTATCTGGGTACCTCCCGCAGTCAAAATCGTCTACCCGGCACCATCTTTATCTTTCTTATAATATCTCAATTCGTCTATCTTAAGTTCTCATCGTTTGTCAATTGTGATTTTCAACGTGCTATTTTCTATTGTCTTAAATCTAATTTGAGGCATGTCTTTTCAATATTCTTCAATCGTTTTTTTTTTCAATCTCTAATTATCGTAAAATTGATTAAAAACTTGGAACCTTTGATGTCTTTGTCTGGTTTCTCCGCATGTATTAGTTCTTTTTGTATTTTTTTCTACTACAGTGTTGGAATATAATATTATATAATGTATATCATATTGTAACAATTGTCAAGGTTGATTCAACGAGAAATAACTTTAATAAAAAAAAACCTAATTTTTTTATGTAAATTCATCTTACTGAAAAAACACATCTGAAAGTCAATAAACTATGCGTCTTGCTTTGGCAGACAATTCCTATTAATAATTTTTCGTTTTTTTTTGCATTTAACCTTCACACTAAACGACTGACGACTGTAATCCTTATTCTGATTTTATTATATAAATGATAACGAGAAACTATTGAATTGGTTTTTTTTCTTAAGTTGTGTTTGCAAACACAGGTTTGTGACGTTTGCCTCGAGTCGTTTGATGGGAACTCCTCATTAAAACATATATGTTTTTTTTTGTCTCCTGGCGTATCGTCCTATTGCATGCAGTGCCCACCTGTAATATTAATTACAATGCCAATAGCTATAATACAATAATATGTGCGTCTCGGTTGTGAGTCATCTCATTAGGTTTCATGACTTGTCGCCCCGAGTGCGTATCTATTGAACCGACTTAACGGTACCTCTATAATGAAGGCACTCTATAAAAAACGGACGTACCACCATGTGTACACGGACCAGCATATTATTATTATATTGCGCAATACGAATTAATTTCAATATTTAAATACTATTGTTACAATCGAAACAGTGAAATCATTAGGTCCACGCAGATTGATTTTGAATGTCTAACATTAAACCGTGTCCTACGCGTAACCGAGCAATGTACCTAATGTGTTCCAAAACTATGGTCCGATAGTTAGCATCGATTATTGTCGCCACGATAATATTACCATCATAATCACTATTGTGCTCTTGTAGATATTAATATACGACCGAAATTGTCTGGTCATTGAGTATAATAATAATAATTATTGTGCGATGGCATCACACGGTGTTCTGGTAGACTTCTATGCAAATCGTATGGAAATCTACCAGATTGTGGTGATGCAAATGAGAATCGTTCACGTTAAAAAAAAATTACTTTGAAACAATAAGGATTTGTACGGGTGGGTAATAAATTGGCTTATGAATAAAAGTCCGTCAGGATCACTAAAGAGATATAGGAGAGATGACTAAAATATCTGGATGTAACGGGTATTCAGATATGAAGACTCTGGCATTAAAGACAGAAGAATGGAAGTCTATTTTTTCGCTATGACAAGGCTTAGCCTTTAGAAAAAAAGAAGAAGAACACTTATGAGAGCTCTCGTCAATTTAGCTTAAACATTAAGAGTATGTTTAACAATGCTAAAGTGATAGCCATTTGCCTTAGCTTCTTGTATATTGACCCATAAAAAGGTTTAACTAACCTACATTTAAAAAGCATATTTTATTAATTATTTATAAATTGGACGTTTATGTTTTTGGTAGCAGTTTTTGGCTACTTTGCTTACTTATTTTTAGGCGTGTTCTATTATCATCATCAGAAATATTTCTTTAAATGTTTGAAATATTTATAAATGATTCTGTTGTTATCACTCGCACTCACTTACTTGCAACACAGAACGATCTCTTTCCCCAAGAGCTGCCAAGCGAGCACCCATCTTCTTATATGTATAAATCTGGAAGTCTGTTTGTTATCTTTGTAAATCCACATTCTTTAAGGCGGAGCTATACAATTTTGAACTGGTTCATAACGGGATCCAAAGAGGGTGACTACTGTTCACATGGAAAATTGTTCATAAACAGCTATTATTGTTTTTCTTTCCTAATAATTAGGTCTTACACAAAGACAGAGTAGTAAATATAACGACTGGTTGCACTAGAACTGTAGCAAAGCTAACCTTCGGTTCAAAGCAATCAACATTTGATAGTTTTCATCATCGAATTTCCAATGACACAATTTTTTTTTACATTTATAATCAAACGAAATATTTAATTTTATTTAAAGTAGGTATTCACGTTTGACGTCACACTAATAACTTGGATACTGAACACCATCTGGGCTCCCAAGAAGGAGCACCCTATGAATGTGTGTTATGCATGATAACATAACAAATGGTAGGAAAGTTATGTAAACATTGTCTACCACGCATATTATATGTATGTCGGATACACATTATAAACTAGATTGCCAACTGGCGATACGACGTGAAGTCGCCATAATATTATTGCACGATACCGATGAACGTTGTGCGTTTTAAGTATCAATGGTAAGATCTTGAAATTATTTTTCTTTTTACCATCTTTAAATCTGCGCGGTCCGAAATTAAAATAAAGGCCCTTGTTGGCCTCATAATATTATGCTTATATGGCCAGCATAGGTTACTCAGTTGTACATAGTCGGCTGGGCTTTGTCAGCTAAAACTCAATAAATCAGAGCTTATAATCACAGTCTATGGACATGTTATTTTGTTGTAGGCGGGTGTTAAGTCATAGCTGAACAAGTCTCCTAACCGGGTTGGGCGTTTTTTGTATGCTACATTAGTAATATTATTGTATAGGCATATTAACACACCGCAGGTGTACGATAAAATAGATGTATCACGTGTCCACCACAACACCTAAAGAAACCCACGCTGTTTAATATTGTAATAGGATGTTAATATTATTGTCGAAACCGCAAATTTGCACTTATTGCATAAAAAAAAAACATTACCTAACACAACAGCTAATCGAACAACAGTCACATTTATGTTATATAGGTATCTTATTATATTGATGAGTCATACGACAATATTTATTTGCAATGTCTTTTAGCTTGTAAATATTTATTGTTTTTTTATACAGAATATGTACTTTTACAACAAACCGTTTATATATATATATATATTATTGTATACTTTGACAAAACATTTTCTAAATATACCTTATGAAATGATGCGGTAAGAAAAAATACTAATAGTATTCTTTATAGTTATCAAGTTATGACTTTTGAATTATATTCTAATATATTTAATATTGTTTATAGCTCTAGGTATGTTTTTTTTTTATATTATACAATTAACCTTGGTATATTTTTTTAAAAATAATTATTGGCATAACTTTTGCGGTAATTCGCAGAAATTACAATAACAGGAGCCTTCCTGACATTCTGTTTACAAGACGTGTCCTTTAACCAAATCGCTCA